ATTAAACCCCACATTAAAATCTTCTGCATAAATAAACTCAACTTTACAACATATAAACCATAACCAATATAGAGCCACATCAGCCCGTTTGATAATATAATTCAGCTCTGATCTCATTTGTTTACATTTTACAGAGACGAAACTAAGGTCTGCATGGCTAATTAGCATAAACTGTTAGCGGCGATAAAAACAGTTCGCTCCTTGTGCCGATGATGTGATTCAGCTTCTTTCGGACTAAAAGACACGACTCAGGTGGATTATGTGTGTTCTTTTTGTGACAAAAGAGTCGCTAATGATTGTAAGTGTGTTCTGTGCGTGTATCGTGTTGGAGATAGTTCATGTTTTAGCTTTTCAGCGATCACACGAGTGCAGGTCGTACAAGTGCAGATTGTACATGTGCAGGTTTAGCGCAGCTCTTTATTTTACAGACATTTCACTCATGTATGGTCACTTTATTTATGTTGGTCAATTTATTTATGTTGGTCACTTTATTTATATTGGTCACTTTATTTATGTTGCTACTGTTGAGGTGAAAAGACTGGAAAGTGTTTGTCGTTTGGACACTTGCGCACTCAACTTTATGTTGCAGTAACCGGGATACTGCTTTTACATGCCACAGTATCCCGGTTACTATCAGAATATAACCAGCTACAGTATCCCGGTTTCTAATAACCGAGATACTGCCATAACCGGGATTACTGCGTTTTACATAACCGGAATAATGATGTGCATGTGTACGCACTCAATGTTCGTGCCACAAGACTGCATGTGTATATATAAGTGTGTATTCTCTTGTCTCCTGCAGCTGTCCAGCCCCCCTCTCTGAGCCCTGATGTGACTCCAAACATTAAACAAGAACAAAACATCAGACAGGAGGAGGAACAGCTGCAAGTGTGAGTCTCAGACACTTTCAAACTGCAATTTTTTATTTGGTTATTCTTTGATTCTTATTCATTTCTATTACAAATATTCAGATTGGGTCTAAAATATACAAATGTGTCTTATTTTTCAGGTCTGTGCCAGAGTTTGGTGCTGTGAGTGTGAAGACAGAAGAGTCGTCGCAGCTTCAACAAAGAGAAACTGAGCAGAGAGAGGACGTCAAAGCAGAGCCACATGTCCACAGTGAGGACGCACAGAAGGAGGACATCAGACCAGAGACTGAAGGAGAGACTGAAGGAGAGACTGAAGGAGAGACAGAGCACTCTTCTGACACTGACAGTGATGAAGACTGGAGAGCTCCACCCAGCCGTTCACACATGGACACAGGGTCTGACGAAGACGAGTCTGCGCCAGAGACCAGAGCCACCGTGAATACTGGAGACACGACAGGAACCGGAGAAGGAGCTGAGGGCAAGAAACACAAGTGTTCTGTTTGTAAAGAGAGATTTGGGTCTAAATATAAACTACAAATACACCGCAGAGTTCACACAGGAGAGGAACCTTTCAGCTGTTCAGTCTGTAAGAAAGAGTTTACTGTAAAACTTAGTCTCACACTGCATATGAGGACACACACAGGGGAGAAACCGTTTGGCTGTTCAGTCTGTAAGAAAGAGTTTGCTACAAAATGTAATCTCAAAACACACATGAGGACACACACAGGGGAGAAACCGTTCGGCTGTTCAGTCTGTAAGAAAGCGTTTGCTGATAGTTCTGGTTTAAAAAGTCATAAAAGGACACACACGGGGGAGAAACCGTTCGGCTGTTCAGTCTGTAAGAAAGCGTTTGCTGATAGTTCTGGTTTAAAAAGTCATAAAAGGACACACACGGGGAGAAACCGTTCAGCTGTTCAGTCTGTAAGAAAGCGTTTGCTAAAGCCTCTCATCTCAAAACACACATGAGGACACACACAGGGGAGAAACCGTTCAGCTGTTCAGTCTGTAAGAAAGAGTTTACTGTAAAATTTAGTCTCACACTGCATATGAGGACACACACAGGGGAGAAACCGTTCAGCTGTTCAGTCTGTAACAAAGCGTTTGCTGATAGTTCTAGTTTAAAAAGTCATAAAAGGACACACACGGGGAGAAACCGTTCGGCTGTTCAGTCTGTAACAAAGCGTTTGCTGATAGTTTTAGTTTAAAAAGTCATAAAAGGACACACACGGGGGAGAAACCGTTCGGCTGTTCAGTCTGTAAGAAAGCGTTTGCTAAAGCCTCTCATCTCAAAACACACATGAGGACACACACAGGGGAGAAACCGTTCAGCTGTTCAGTCTGTAACAAAGCGTTTGCTGATAGTTCTAGTTTAAAAAAACATAAAAGGACACACACAGGGGAGAAACCGTTCAGCTGTTCAGTCTGTAAAAAAGTGTTTGCTACATCCTCTCATCTCAAAACACACATGAGGACACACACAGGGGAGAAACCGTTCAGCTGTTCAGTCTGTAACAAAGCGTTTGCTGATAGTTCTAGTTTAAAAAAACATAAAAGGACACACACAGGGGAGAAACCGTTCAGCTGTTCAGTCTGTAAAAAAGTGTTTGCTACATCCTCTCATCTCAAAACACACATGAGGACACACACAGGGGAGATACCATTCGGCTGTTCAGTCTGTAACAAAGCGTTTTCTCATAAATCGACTCTCAGACTGCATATTGAGGACACACAACAGACCGCATTTATAAATTGTCACAGCTCACGCTCTAGCCGCCGCGTTCCAAACAGGAAGTTCCCGTGCGGCTCGTCCGGCTCCTGCTGACCCCGGCTCCTGTTGATTTACGTTGGAATATTGGGGCCCCTGTCTCTGTACCTGCTGCTGTGAGCCTCATGATTTTGGTTTTAAAAAGTTCATATTAAGCCGCTTTACATGATTCTGCTGGTTTTCCACTATTTTGTTCATTAAAAAAAATCTAGATCCTGGCTTCAAATAATTTAACTTTGCTTTTTATTCATTGCAGTTTGTGTTTTTGCCACTTTATTTTACATTTTTAAGTTTTTGGAGTTAGGTTAGTGGCATGAATTAGTTTAAGTATTAGTTTATTGTCTATATTTTCTTCAAAAATATATTGTATTTTGAAATGTGTAATCCTGTTCATCTGTTCTGTTCATATTCTCTGTTACAAATCACATTTGTTGAATCACCTAATTGTTATTTTTTGTCTCCAAATTTGACTTCAATCTGTTTTTTAAAATTTATGTATGTAAATTGAATCTGTACATATGTAAGAAATAATAAACCTAATCAGTTCACCGGTGGTACCTTCTCTACAAGTGTTTCTCTACTAAACCTAATAAAAAAAAAAAAAAAAAAAAAACCTGTTACTAAAAGGAAACGTGTCAAGTTTGATTCTAAATGATAATTGTTCATTACTGGACTTCCAACGATTTAAACACATTTGTACATGACATGTTTTGTATTATATGTTAGTAGTTAAAGGGCCCATCTCATGCAAAATAACTTTTCACATTGTATCTTCTGCACATAAACAAGCACAATTTGGGTTTTGGAACATCCATTACACAATAGTTATGAAATGTTACTGATTTCTTGGAGGCATCACAGACCAGGAACTATGAAAGTCCGACTATTGCTCATCCCCCCGCCACTGTTGGGCAAGTTACTTTAAAACTATAATGCGTTATTTATTACTTAATACTGTCATTTGAAAGTAATTTGTTACATTACAATATTACTGCATTTAAAATGTAAGGCATTACATTACTATTGCATTACTTTACGTTACTCTCACCAAAATAACTGCGAAGATGCTGAACTTTTGCGCTGTATATGGACTGAACCAGTACTGAACCAGGACTAAACCCGATCGCTCTTTATGGACCCTGCTGCTCGGGCTCGCGGCCCTGATTTCAGCAACTATTTGCAGGTACAAGACTCTGTTACAGCGCGTAACTTCTACCTTCCTTCAGTGTGTCCAGAAGTCCAACTTTTTGTGCGATGGTTGCATCTTCCTCTGTCTTTTGGGTGCGAGTGCAGGAGACTTTGTCGGTGCAGAACGTTTCGTCGACGTTGTGGGTTTCGTCAGGGAGAAAACTTGCAACCGTACAGCACTTCAGAATCACACTGCTAGAGACTGAACATGTATTTAAATTTGGCATCTGAACACATTCTGCACTGTAGAGACAGGAGTCCCTTGGCCAGTCAGGACGCAGCGGGAGGAACGCAATACGCATTCATACACTGTAAAAACAACAGGCTTGCAAAATTGCACAAAAATAATCTACGAAACAGCGAGACCGCGAAAAGTGAACTGCGATAGAGCGAGGGACAAGTGTAAACCAGGTCTAAACCAGAACTGACCCAGGTCTAAACCAGGTCTAAACAGCGTGGAGTTCTTTGTCGGTCCTTTCGCCCGCGGTTACCTGAAGATCTACGGGGGCGCACCTCCGGCGTTTCACCGCTGCTGATATCGAGGTGATTTTAACGAATTTGTATGAAGAAAAAAACACCACTTCAATCCAGGTTAAAAAAACATTGTGACGTTACTCACATTTGTACCGGGTAAAATATGACTATTTTTCCCCCTGTAATGCCTTACATTACTGCGTTACAGCAAAAAGCAAAGCATTACAGTAATTCGTTACTTTTATAACGCGTTACTCCAAACACTGCCCCCCGCCCCAGGTTTTCTGTATCGTTATTCACAAGAAAAAATTTTAGTGCATGAATTTGAATGTTTATCTATTTATGCAAGTAAGATTTTTAATTTCAAATTAGGACACTTTTAGAAATGTTTCGGGGATTCAATCTTTGAAGAGCTAATAAGTGCAAAAAATGAAACAAACTACAACTAATGAAAATGGTGAGGGACATGTGGGTGGAGGTGCATCTGAAGACTCTTGTGGAACGAGAAAAAGAGAGGGGTAATACAGGAAGTGCGCCGCTGTGTTTTTAAACTCCATACACCTTTAATAGAATCGAATATGATCAGGCTCACTCAAACAAAAAACAATGAAGAATAAGATGGAGGAACTTCAACTAAACCCTCTTTCTGATAATAATAATAAAAAAATCTTTACATCTCATTTTAGGCTTAATTTTTGACATTACAAAGAGCTCAGTTCACAGTCTGGAGTCTCTGAAGCCTGATCTCTAACTTTCTTGAGTCTGACTTTAGGCCCACACTGGTCAAAGCTGCAGCTTTTCTCTTGTTTCAGATGTTTCCTCATGGACTTCAAAGCCTTCCCTCCTTCACGGTCACCTGCTTCGTCTCCCGTGTGCGTTCGGTAGTGACCGGAGAGTTCCTGGGACGTTTTAAAGACCTTTCCACACTGGTCACACTCGTACAGTCTGTGCCAGTAGTGAGTTCTCATGTGTCTATTAAAACTTGCTAATTGAGAGAAAGCGTTCCCACACTTGTCACATCTGAACGGTTTCTCTCCTGTGTGGATTCTCCTGTGCGCTTCTAGGGTGCCCAACTGTGAAAATGCCCTGTCACACACATCACATCTGTACGATTTTTCCCCTGTGTGGATCTTCTCATGGTTACGACGAGCAGAGGAGTCGCAGAATGCCTTCCCACAGTGTTCACATTTAAACGGTTTCACTCCTGTGTGGATTCTCAAGTGCAGACGGAGATGACCAGACTCTGTAAATTTCTTCCCACACTGCTCACATTCAAATGGTTTCTCTGCTCTGTGGATTCTCATGTGTCGATAGAAGCTGCTAGAAACTCTAAATTCCTTCCCACACTGGTCACACTCATATGGCTTCTCTCCCGTGTGGATGCCCATGTGTGTTGCTAAGGAGCCCGACTGTGAAAAGGTCTTCTCACAAATGTCACATCTAAACGCTTTTTCCCCTGTGTGGACTCTCATGTGTCGTTTGCAGGAACGAGATTCTGTAAATTTCTTCCCACACTGGTCACAACTGTACGGTCTTTCCCCCGTGTGAGTTCTGTAGTGTTGTTTCAGTCTGGCAGGTTTTGCATACACTTTTCCACACTGGTCACATGTGTGCGGCATTCTGTTGGTGGATCTTGTATCTCTGCATTAGAACAAAAGAAAGGAAGTGTCAAAATAATTATAATAAATACACATAAAATCACATCTAGTAAATCATTAGGGGTGTAACGATATCCAAGTCTCATGATACGATATTTATTGCGATATTTTCTGGAGGCTAAACAGCTAAAACTGTTAATATGCTACTTTTTCCTCTTAAAATGCCTTAAAAAGACTTAATCCAAAGAATTAAGGCTTAAAAGTGCTTAGAACTGTTATTTCTTCTTGTAGTCTGCACTGAAGTGGAGCAATTTGGTATATGGCTACACATGATTTAGATTCATCAGCTGGTTTCACTTTGTGGAAACCGTCTGACCTCGCAGCAGGATTTAGGATTTGTTCGCTCAACGGTAGGCGGACACTTTTTTTTTTCACTGTTATTTGGTCGTGACGTATGTAATGCGCCAACTCCCGTAGGAAGAAGGGCAATAACATCTTTCCCCTTGATAAAATTCACCAAACATTCTCTTTGTTCCGGCTTTAAATCCTCGATCTCGGGAATCGTCGCCAACACAGAATGTCTGTCTTTGTCTACATCCATCTCGACGCTTTGTTTACTGTTGTGCTGTTCCACAAAAGGGACCCAGACAGGCGCGACGAGTTTGACGTCATGACTTCACAGCTCTTCACTGATTGGCTGGTGTGCGGTCTACAACTTCCGGGGTTTTTGCGAACTGTCTAGTGTATTCTGATTTCTGACCTAGTCACTGGAGAGAAATGAAATTGAGCAGAGGCACTAGATGGTGCCAGCCTGGTTAACACTCATTTCATCTATCCATGCTTTTACTCATATGGTTTATAATTCACTTCACTTAACATAAACTATGAACTATTTGTAGTTCTTTGCAAAGACTGAAGATTGAAAGCATTACAAGTCCTATATTGTTAATAATAATTACTCATGTCCTAAAACTTCTAATGATTTAAATAAACTTTGTTTATACTGTACATATTTTGCTTCTTGTTTTGTTAACTAATGAGATTTAAAGTTAAGATATCACTGATCTCCCTTTGAATTGTTGAGGTTTATGTTTTTAAATGTGCCTCTACATCCCATTTGTGGAACTTGCTGTAAAAAGTGTTTTTTTTTTTTTTGTGCAATTTCAATGCAAATGTTTCTTGTGTATATTTAGGTCAGTTTAAGTGGATCAGTATCAAATATGAAGCATATTCAGGTTTCTAACGACATAATACACAGAACAAAGGCAGATAACCCGGTTCTGAACGCGGGTCACAAACGAGTCCGGCGCAAATACTTTTTGTTATCTGGATACGTGCTTTTAGCTACATAACAACGAGCACTAATCACAAAAACAGTACACCGATACCTGCTCAGTAACTCACCGTTCAGGAAGATGCGGTTTGGAATCAGAAAAATCCACCAATTCACAGATTGAATAGATAGATTGATAGAACATCAAAATAAAAGCTTTATTTTGATTGATTTTTATTATTAATACTTCAGAACCCCAGATGCAAACACACACAAAACACAACAAATGCACAGAAAAAAAAGTTCATGTACAAAGGGCCCTGATCAAAGAAACAAATCGAAATCATTCATAAAAGATACAAGAAACCTGGCCTCTTTTCATTCATCAAGTGAGTTACTTTTGGTTTTATCTTTAAAAAAAAAAAAAAAAAATATATATATATATATATATATGGTCTGAAGGACAGCACAGAGGCTCTGATCCTGGCTGCTCAGGAGCAGACCCTGGGCACTCGAGCAATAGAGGCCCAGATCTACCACACCAGACAAGACCCACGGTGTAGACTGTGCAAAGAGGCTCTTGAGACAGTCCAGCACATAACTGCAGGTGTAAGATGCTGCAGGGAAACAAACACGGAGTGACATAACCAAGAGGAGGGCAGAGTGTACAGAAACATCTGTGCAGAGTACGGGCTGGAGACTCCAGGATCAAGGTGGGAAACACCTCCAAAGGTTGTGGAGAATGACCGAGCCAAGATCCTGTGGGACTTCCAGATACAGACTGACAGAATGGTGATGGACCAATCAGAGATAGTGGTGGTGGACAAGAAACAGAGCAGAGCCCTGGTGGTACATCACAATACCAAGCAATGGTAATATCAGGAAAAAGGAACACGAGAAACTAGAGAAATACCAGAGGCTCAAGGAGGAGCTGGAGAGAGCCTGGAAATGAAGGCATCAGTGGTGCCTGTGGTGATCGGACACTCGGGGCTGTAACCCCCAAACTAGAAGAGACTACTGCAGATACTGGGAAAAACATCAGACATCTCAGTCCAGAAAAGTGCAGTACTGGGAACAGCAAAGATACTGCACAAAACTCTCAGGCTCCCAGGCCTCTGGTAGACGACCCGAGCTGAATGAGGGTGAGACCAACCACCGTGGAAGGTGACAAACACAGACACACACACACACATATAAAGGAAAAACACACACCACATATTTTCATATATTTTTATATTTTGTAGAATATGAGGCATTCTGAAAAAAAATGACAACCATTTAATATTTATATTCATTGACGAGAGAGTCATCTTTCATGTTAGAATAAGGCAGAGAACCAGAAATCCAGACTCTCAACCAGGCCTGTCACAACATCGTATACATTTGTTTTGTCATGGACCATTTTTTGCGGACATATTTTCATTTTGTGATCGTCTTACACGAGGACAACAATAAATTGCTGTAGAAGCACATATAAAGACCTTCTAGCTGTTTAGTCTGCAGTGTTCCAGGCCAACTCCTGCAGCAGACTTTTCCTTTCTGCTCACGCACACACAGTTCACAGGCGTCCATAGATGTTCTCAGGTGTCGAGGTGGGGTTTATCTGCGGTCCGTGCTGCCAGACTTCCTCTTCCCGGCGAGCAGGTGTTTGGGTTTGAGGTCAAACACGTGTCGGTCGGACTCGCCCTTCTTTCCCTGTCGGTTCATGCCCTTCTGAGAGTTCTTCATCATGGTCTTGGCCTTCTTCATCATCTGAGGTAAACACACAAAGGTTGTTTATTTTAAAGGGGAAACTAATTTGGCGTAGAGTGACAGATAAAACAAGAAGAACCAACTCTCATGACATACTGCTGCACTGATTTTAGTGGAATCGTCCATTAAAAAGGAGAAAACTGTGCAATAAAAACAAGAACTGTAAGAATGTTTCTGTTTTTTTTTTTAATAGGTGTGCAATGATATTCCCGTGTTGCCATTTATTTTGGTGGGAAAGGGAAACGGTTATCATGGCGTCCTCCCCAGATGCAGCAGGTGAACAGTTCCAAAGAAACTCACAGCTGAAATATTCTAACGGAGGAGGGTTTTATCTTTCAGTAACTTGTTTTTAATGAGAAAAAAAACAAAAAACGGCTAACAACCGTTTTCTGTTTTCGTGACTTAAACTATGATGCCGGACTTTTGCGCTGCATACGGACTAAACCAGGAGTAAAACAGGACTAAAACGGGACTAAAACGGGACGAAACCAGAACTGTACCAGGACTGAACCAGGACTAAGCCAGGACTAAGCCAGGACTAAGCCAGGACTAAGCCAGGACTAAGCCAGGACTAAGCCAGGACTAAACCAGAACTGACCCAGGTTTAAACCTTGAGTACACCTGGACTGAACCTGGACTGAACCTGGACTGAACCAGGACTGAACCAGGACTGAACCAGGACTGAACCAGAACTAAACCGCTCTGGTCCCGGTCCCCGTGCTAACTGGTCCCGATCTCAGTCCCGGGCCTGGAGCCAGCTAGTCCGGTCTCAGCCCCGGTCTCAGCCCCGGTCTCAGCCCCGGTCTCAGCCCCGGTCTCAGCCCCGGTCTCAGCCCCGGTCCTGGAGCCAACTAGTCCCGTCTCAGTCCCAGTCCTGGAGTCAACTAGTCCTGGTCTCAGTCTCGGTCTCAGGCTGTACATGGCGCAAAAGTCCGGCATCGCAGTTTAAGTCACAGAAACAGGAAACGTTATCAGTTTTTTCCATTTTTATTTAAACACAAAATCTAAACTAAAAAAACAAATCGTTATCGTTTTTTTTTTTCATTTTGGTTTTGGAGACAAATAATGAAGAAAATGTTTTTTAGTTTTCTTATTTTCGGTTTTATTTTGAAAAACAAATTATACGCGGATTAAAAAAATGTTGAAAATATAATTTAGCAATAATTGAAAGCGTGATTTTAAATGTGATTCATTGCACAGACTTAACCTGACCCTCTTTAGGTCTAATAAAACCCTTGTGCTGTTTGAGTGTTTGCAGTGAGTTACCTTGGGATCTCTGAGTCCAGACTTGTCCCGTGGAGGTCTGGACGCGCTCTGGCTGCGGGTGCGGGTTCTGGAGGTGGGGGGAGCGGAGGCCTCGCGTTTGCGTTTCTTCACCAGACTGCGAGAGCGTCGGGCCTGCTGCGCGTAGTGACTCTGAAAAACAGACAGAAAACACACGAGGGTCACGCGCGGTCTTCTCATGAGATCAACTGGACTCACACGTGGAACTCTAAACGTACGTCGTCCTTATCGTCCATGTCCAGACCCAGAGAGCCCATCTCCTTCTCCAGCTGCTTCCTCTCCACCTGGAACAAGAGACACAAGGGACCGGGTCAGAGCTCAGGTTCATCTCTGGGCGCCTTGACGTAGACCAGAGTGAAGTCTACAAGTCTTATATAAATTAGTGTAGATTTCACTCTGTAATACAAAATTATGCTTCAAAAAATAACAAATCACTGATCATGTCTCACAATACATGCATCCCCTATTTCAGACTTCTGGTCATCGCACAATTCATACTGGGAAGGATCCTCTAAAAAAGTGAGCATCAAACCTTCATGTTTGTTTTCCCAGTGGGATGCGTCTATTGTCAAAGTCGATCTTTTCAAGTCTTTTGAACCATATCACTTTTGTTTTTGGTTCTGATATTGTCATATTTTAGTTTTGGGATTTGGACATCGTAATTGTGTGGTTGTTGTGTTGTTCCAACAGTGGAAAACGGGCTTCGGAAGTTTGCGAACTCCGTAAGTGCAAAAGTGAATCAGATGTGTGTGACTGCAAACCTCCGTTCAAACTGTTTCTCTTCCCAACGGAATTGAAAAATAGTGAAAGGTGAAGGCGATGGGCAGGACTGATCCACAGGAAGAACCAAAAAGGAAACCTTTTGTCTGCCTAAGAAATCATCCCGAGTTTGCAGCGAACATTTTGTATGTGGAGCAACAACAAAACAAAATTATTTTTTTGTCAACTGATAGATACAAAAGACAAACAGACTGAGCTGCACTTTCTTGTTCGACTTTACAGCAACATCACGTCTCTTTGCAGTGGAAGGTGTTTCTTGGTGAACAGCTGGTGCCTTTCACTTTAGTGTTGACTCTTTAAATTTGTAAGTGAGGTTGAGCGAGGGATCAGGATTTTACTTTATTGGCGCTCCACATACAAAATGTTTGCAGAGAACTCGGGATGATTTCTTAGGCACTTTGGCCGCACGTGACCAACGTGACCTGACCCACAGTCCTACACGGGTCCATTTTTAGAGACCTGCACCTGCCCGGACCTGTTAACATTCCACCCATTACCGCCCGTGCCCGTGATAACCCAGGAGTAACCCAGGACCAAGGTGCGCCCGAACAGACCTTCGGGTGACCGCAGGCGAAAGGACCGGCGTCGAGCTCTGCACCGCACAGAGTTAAGAGCGGCCGTCGCCCGATCGCGCTTTGCGGACACCTGCTCCACGTGCTCAAGCACAGTGACAGCAGGAGAGATGCAGTGACGCTTGTTCCAAAGCCAAATGTTACTTCTCCCACACTACACACGATATATCCACAAGACAACCAACGTACATGTGCCTCTACAAAAAGTGCATAATCGGAGAGAGTTTTCAGTTCCGCTGGAAATATTATAACTCCGGGGGATGGGGGGTGCGATATCATTGCATACCGCGCTGTTGAGCCGCTATACTGCACTGTAGGAAAAAATCCCTAACCCTGACAGTCCTACTCTGTCCTACAGACTCAAGTCATTTCACACAAGGGGTTTTGGTCCTGAGCCGAGTTGCAACAAACACAAACACCAGGGCCTAATCGTGCCAGATTCCACTGGAAGGCAGTGCCTCCAGTGGACAACTTGGGACACCTAAAAAGGGCTTGTATAGGCTTTTGCACTAGGCTCTCCGTCTTATGGACATGTGGGATATGTTTTACCTCGGGGACAGTGCGGGGACAATGTTGGGACAGTGCAGGGGCATGTTTCACCTTGGTGGCTGTGCGGGGCATGCGGGGCCCGTGCTTGTCCTTCTCCTTGGACTCCAGGACCATCAACTGTTTCTTGTCTTTGATCTGCTTGGCCAGGACGCGGATCTCCTGCATTTCCTCGTCCTCACTGTCCTCGTCCGAGTCGTACTCTCCGGCGCGCTCTCGCAGCTCCTCCTCCCGCTCCAGATCCTCCAGTTTCTGAACAAAACAGCACAAGAACGACCGTCTTAATTAGATATTGTACATTTTAATCTTGTATAATATTCCACTAAAGCTCAAGAACTAAGTGAGCATCTCCAGAATCGTACCTTCATGATATCTGGGTCGATGTAGTCTGCGATGTTGTGTCCCTCCCACACCTCGGGGATCTTGTCCTGCTTCTCCTCGCTGTTCATCAGGTCCCAGTACTCTGCGCAACAGAAGGGAGGTCAGAGGTCACGAGAAACCAACGACCAAGGCAATGGAAAACAAGACTCAAACTACTATGACCTCAACCACGTGATATAAGACAAAAACAGGAGGAAATAAAGTTAACGGACCACCCTCTCTGACGTTTTTAGAATAGTCCACACCGCCTGGTTCAGATTTTAACATTTGCCCCCATTCGGCAAAATAAAAACATTTCTGAAGTCTGTAGACAGCTCAGACCAATGGCTGTTTTATACCGAGGAATACTAGCCAATATCTTAACTTATAGCTCGACTTTGTATGCTTCCCTAATCTATGCAGGATTTGTGACTGTTGTGGGCCTAAATTTTTGGTGCATTGTTCTCCAGCAGAATGTTAGATTTAAACAGGGGGCATTGATTAATTACCCATACAACATATTTAGATCGCAATGTTTATTATTTTTAAAAAGCTCTATTCGCTGAAAACAACATACTGACATGTTTTACAAGTTTCATTTTTAAAGTCAAGCGACAAGGTCTGGGGAGAGTTCACAAAATTACTCAAACATGCATAGACGACACCTTCAACCTCTTCAGATATGTTTTTGAAGAGGGAACACATAGACACAGACACGTTTATTATGTGATCCGTGTTATATGTGCTCATTTTGGAATAGTCTAACCCTGGGGTCTTCAACATTTTTCAGACCAGGGACCCCCAAACTGATGAAGAGCTAGAGCGGGGACCCCCTACTATATATATGGCATATAATTGTTTTTTATATTAAATTGGGCCTAGTGTCATGTATAAACAGCTACTCTGTTATTGTAGATTCAACACCAGAGGGTATTTCATCAAACTCAATTAACAAGTACATTCTTAATCCTGAGCTGAAACTATCTCCATGTCCAGCTTAAGCCTCAAACCGGTCAAAGACAGAAATAAACCTGAGTCTGACCAAAGCTAATTCAGCCCTGAAGTTTAAGCTGCTCTTTGCGCTCAAGGTGACTCCAACAAGGCCAGAGCAACGACATCACAGAAAATGTTATTAGGTTCTTTTATTCAGACCTAGAGTGTTATTTCATACCTGACAGTTTCGACTGCTCACTAACGTCTTCCTCAGAGTCACGTGATGTTGCTGTGACGTGTCTGGTCAGCTGATTTAAACAAGTTTATATCTCTATATGTGTCAATATCAACACACCAGTGAAACCGTACAGAAAACTCAGACAACTACCCGTCCACCCGAAAGACAAAATAGAACCGGAGCATAAATGTAATGTAATATACGAAATACCCTGCATGTCCTGCATAAAACATACATCGGGGAAACGGGGAGGGCGTTCAGTACACGAAAAAAAGGAACATAGAACAGAATGCGAGAAGGAAACAGCGAAGGCGAAACACGAGCAACAAAACACAAAGCAGAACAGGAACAACTCAAATCGGCCATTTCTGACCATTGTAAAAGACAGAACCACGTTATGGACTGGGATGGAGCAAACATCATTGGGACAGAGGAAAACAAACATCGCCGCTGGATTAAAGAAGCAATCGAAATACAGAAACGTGCCCACAGGACTGTAAACCGGGACGAGGGGGCTTTTACACTCTCACACACCTGGGATGCTGTCCCGAGGAAGTCGGACTGCAGGTGGCGCTGTCGTCCTGCCTCCACCGGTAGGAAGACAGCGCCAAAATCTGTTTAAATCAGCTGACCAGACACGTCACAGCAACATCACGTGACTCTGAGGAAGACGCTAGTGAGCAGTCGAAACTGTCAGGTATGAAATAACACTCTAGGTCTGAAAAAAAGAACCTAATAACACAGAATATTGGAAGATCAAATGAATCTCATTGGACTATCACAGAAAATGGGCTCAAACTGTGACTTTTTTAATGATCAGATCAGATTAAACGAGAGAGGAGCCACAGCGCACGGACAAGAGCTTGATTAGGGCCATGGAACTTTTCTCGTCATTCTGACCTGAGGACCGAGAGGAAAGACGTGACTCCCCCCTCCTCTCCTGTTCGCTCTCTGGACAGAGGAGTAGCCTGACCCCCTTCCCGATGCGCGGTAGTACGCTGTGTCCTTAACAAGAAACAATAAAATCTGCGCTGACATGTTTGCAGTTTGACAGGGAGTGAGAGACGAGGGAATGAAGAGAGAGAGAGACGTGATGAAGGAGTGAATAGACAGAACCCACTGAAAACCAGTTCATCCTTCAAAAATGACGTATAAAAAAAAAAAAAGACTTCGTGACCCCCCCTGCAGTACCAAACAGACAGAGGGAAACTTACTCTGCAGATCCAGAATGTAGTCGTCTCCCATCTCCAGCTCCAAGTCGCGCTCCTGCAAAATCACAAAAACATGCACTTTTATGAAGAAATACAAACTGTCTACATCTCCTAAAAGAGCCCTGCCACAAATCCTGTCACATGTGAAACTGTAGAGGAGTGAACATGACCACAGGCAGAGAGCAGAAGAAGCCTGAGCCAGGTTTGGTCATACAACACAAAGTTATTTAAACTGAAGTGAAAACCAGCGCAGGTCAGGATGTAGAAAGAGTCTGTACCGTTTTGCGTTTGGGTTGGTCCACCTCCATGGCCTTCTTCCTCTGGAGCGCCCCCTCTGGGATGAACGGAGGTCTTTCCTGAAAAAATAGGCCTCAGCTTTAGAGAGCATATTTGACACAAGACTGAAATATCAAAATGAACTAATAAACGGAATTTTAGAACAGTGATTTTGATTCCAATATCTAGTGCAGTTCTTGTGGGGCCTGACCTTCTCATCCCTCTTGTTGGGCATGGCCAGGTGCAGGCGGTTCAGCACGTCATGGACCTTCTTCGTCTTCATCTTTGCGTCGACTCGGTGAGCCAGGAGCCGGTCACACGCCTGTGGTCAGCGACACAACCACGACAAAGTTACAGAAACCAGATTGTGGATCCATGGAGGAAGTGAGAAGGTTCTGACAATAGATTCAGTAGGAAATAATTCAGAATAAAGTGAAAGTGGGTCACCTCAGTCTTGACCTGCATGACGCCCTCTTCTGTCAGAGTGCTGCTCTCGATCACAGGAATCCCATCAGACACCAGGTCAGAAAAGATTTTCTGTTCAAACAAAACTAATTAATAAGTACACATTTGGTGACGATTTATGACCGGCTCTTCAGAATCAAACCAAGACTTTTCACTGACAAAAACCAGAAGTTTACTTCATATCAAGCCATGTGACTGACCTGGTTTTCCTCTGTCAGCTCACTGATCTTCTTCACATCACATTTGTTGGCCACAACAATGAGAGGCTGAAAATACAAATTCCATTAAAAAAGAAGTGTCATACCAACCCCACTATTCCTTTTCACATTTTAAAGCAGGGGCCACCAAACTTTTTTCTCTGGCTGTCACATCATTGCTCCTAACTGTGATGGGAGCCGGGGTTGGGTTGGCCGTATAACAGTATGACCCAGACCAAAATGACACCAGCAGGCCTCAGCGTGTAGAAGAAATTACACAATACAATATCAGCACATAATTCCTGGCACATATTTGTTTATCTTTACTGGTGGTTTGCAAAAGTAGTAAGTACTTTGTTTGTTTTAATTTGAAATATCACAGATATTCCATTTATTGCACTATCTGCACTACAGAACTTTGTGCGTGACTGTCTCTTTTTGAGCTTGTCAGGTGATGAAAATTTGGTGGCACATATAAATACGTCATATAATTATTTAAATATACATTCATATTATTATATATACATATAAATACATAAACATATAGTTTTTTTATTTAAAAAAATACAAGATGCACATGTGTTATTAAACAGACCATGACAAATCTTGAGGATTGCCTCACAGGGCCAGTTCAAGTAGTGGGGGGAGGGGCTGGGGACCGGTCAAAGGGGTGTGGCGGACCGGAGTTGACCCACGGGCCTTAGTTTGCTGACCCCTGTTTTAAAGGAACTGTGTCAACTTTTGATTTTAGATTTCATAAACATGAGCTGTGTCCTTAGATATGAGTTTACATGGCACAAATCAAACACAGCTTTTACTGAGAACAATCTAAAGCTGTTGATTCATTCTTAGTTACAAAAACAATATAATGTCCAATTATTATTATTATTTGTGTTACAATTAGGCCGATTACCCAATCAGAAAACAGAATGAGCCTCACATGAGTCTCATTTAGGTTGCACTGCTGAAATACAGTAGGTTTAAACCTATAAGGACTCTCTGATCTGAACGGTCACTCCTTAAACCCCATCCATAAATCCTCTGCAGCTCAGGGAGGGAATTCTGGAGGTTCTGAGCTTTAACACAGGCCAGAGAATGAGGAAACTAGTATATATACTCTATCTGCAGACAATGGCACTTGGAACACAGGTTCAGGTGTAACTGTAATACCTTTTACAAAACAGTAAGAGCACAGGATACATGCTGTTCTTTTGTGTTCCATGCGTAAAGTGTGTGAAAGTGATCACTTAGTTTTGATGTGGGTTTGTACCTTGTTGGCAAAGAGCGGGCGGATGTTGTTGAAGAGCTCCACCTGCTGGCTGAGTGTGTGTCCGCACTGCTCGGACAGATCCATCACGTAGAGCACAGCGGCGCGCAGGTGAGCCAGGGCAGTGATGGCCTGCATCTCGATGGTGTTCCTCTCCTCCAGAGGGTGGTCCAGGATCCCCGGGGTGTCCACTACCTGAACACACAGACGACACGCACAAACAAACATCACAAACATTCTCCTCGTGCTGGGGGAGTTAGACATGGTGCAGAGACGGTGAAGTTACCTGCCAGCGCAGATATCTGTAGTCCATGTGACCTACAAAAAGAGACTTAGTGGTGAAGGCGTACGGCTGCACATCCACATCTGCCCTGGTCACCTGCAAAACACACAGATGTTCACATTCACAGTGTTAACACTTTTTTTCACTGACAAAATGTCATAACTTTTCCATGACTTTTTCACGACTTTACGGCACCTGCATGTGTAGAATTGGTCAGACTTTTTCAGACTTTTAGGGCTAAATATGAAATGTTAACTCTTTCCACTCACCTTATGGTTTGGGATTATAGTTTTTTAACATTCAAAATCCTGTCAGTGCGTTTACTGTCGTCTCTTTTCAACAAAAGGTGCATAAGTTTGGAAATAATGATAACAGCCTCATGAGAACTTAACAGAACACTGGAGTTGTGTGAAAGAGATACTAAAATTCCATGACATTTCCAGGACTGGAAAATGACATTTTCAATTTTGATGACTTTTCCAGGATTTCCATGACTGTGGGAACCCTGCATTCAAATGAACAGTCAGCTTTCAACTTTTGCTTAGTAGATTGGCAATTCCAGACATCCTAGTGAAGGTGTATGGAGTTTAAGGGTGCAATCAGATTAGGACTTTAGAACTGGCACGGATCGCCCCTAAAGCACAGTACGTTTGTACAGTGTGAGCGCAGTCGAACTGTGCCAACGCTGTTCCGCACTGTTTTTATATCCATAAACTCACGGACGAGCATATCATAAAAGGACACACATCAGCCTCAGTATTTAAAAGATATTTATGCCATTGGACTTTTTTTCTCGATCTTAGCACATGTAAACAAACAGCGCAATGTCACGACGTCATCAGGCCGTGGTCCGGTTCTGATGTGCAAGTGTGAGTGCGAGCCATAGAACTCTACGCAATTGTCCTCGAGCACAGCATGGTTCTTAAGTCCTAGTGTGCGCTAAAAACACAGTGGAGCACTTCCATATAACTGCAGGGTTTGTGTGTTAAATGTGTGAATGAATTTAAACAACTCTGGGTATGTTTTTGATAAGGAAACAGCATTTTAACATCAGAAAATAATGGAAAATGGGCCCTTTAAAGCCACTGTAGATTAGACAAATGCTTTCACTGCGAGTGCCTGTATAATTCAGAAGCAAATTGTTACACAGACTAAAGCGGCGTCGAGGCCTGGTAAACAGGTAAAAGGGGGGGCGCACCTTGTTGATGAAGCTGGACTTGCCCACGTTTGGGTACCCACACAGCAGCAGGGTCCTGGTGTTGGGATCGATGGAGGGCAGACGGGACAGATGCTGACGCACTGCAAAAAAAAAAAAAAAAACAAAAAAGATGTTCAGACACCAACTAAAATACACCGAACTGTGATCTGTGTTACGTCTGTGTCCCCTCAAGTGTCCTCGCTTTTATAAATTTTGACTTAATTCTGCACAATTTGACTAAAAATCCAGTGTTTCTTTCCATCTGCCTCTGTGTGTGTGTAAGACCTGCTCCTCCTCTCGCTCTCTGATCCAGCAGCAACTCCTCACCTTTGTTCCTGTTTTTCTCTCCTCTTATAATCCAAATTACACAACGTAAACAATTATTTTATCACCATAATGAGTGAACCTTCTCATTTAACGCATGGACATCGCAAGTGTTTCCTTGTGTCTTACTAATCTCTGTACAATTAAATGTGAATTTCTTCAGAATTATTGGTCCTATCAACGTGAAATAAAAACTGTAGTGGTCTGATTCTCTGCTCTCTATGCCTGAAGTCCTTCTGTCTGTGTTTTCAATAAGATCAAATCGAAAATCGAGACGAATCAATATGGGGGAAAAAAAAAAAAAAGCGATTCTTTTTTCACATCACCCAGCCCTTATTTCTAACGATTTGTGTTTATTCATTCTCCAGTTTTATTTTCTTCTTTCTCCAGGGAAGCAAATAGCGGACACTGCATCATAAATGTTACGCAGTGCAGCTTTAAAATTGGATGTACTTGACTGTGACGTGCAGAGTGTTGTTCATACCCTGCTCCAGGTACTCCAGGCTGGACTTCTGCCTCTTGAGGATGGTGCACATTCTGCCCAGCGCGGCCCTCTTCAGCTGCTTACATCTGTACAGCGAGTCTCCGTACTTCATCAGACGCACGTAATCTTTAGCCACACTGACACAACACAGACAAACATATATTAAATAAAATCCCTGTAGTTTGAAATGTTAAATTTGCATTTTAACTGTCAGATTGCAGATTTGTCGACCTGGTTTGTAGTTAAAATCTAGAATAAAGATTACTAGACTACTGCGTCGGGAGGGACGGTTTGCTGTGACTGGTCATTCTGAGTGTTGAAGTCGGGTTATTTTACTAAATTATTTTGTTACAGAGCTACAGTTTTGTTGCTTGTTTAGTGCAAGGAAACTTGTTTATGCAACAAATTTGTCATTTTCACTGTTTTGATGAAACTTTGATGACTTCTTGCGCAAAGTTTCATAGTTTCATATTCACTTTGCAAAAGAAGTGGTTTAGCAAAGACTTTTAGTGTCACAGCCATAATTTAGCCTTTATTTTTGATTGAAACATATCGATTTGAAACACACACACATTATATATTTTTATATATATATATAAATATATATGCGCATCGTATTGTGGCCTATGTATCGAGGTATGTATCATATCGGCAACTTCTTAATGATACCCAGCCCTAGTCGCGAGAGATTTTTTATTTATAAATCTCCACGCAACCCCGCTCCTCGCTTTCTCAGAAGCACCGTCTTGCCTAACCAATTTTTTTTGTGGGAAACTGATTACTGTTTTTCCTTGTTTAAAACTTGAGAACCGTATTTTCGGGACTATATCCCTTAATATTCTGAAAAAAGATATGCGCCTTATAATTTGGTGCTCCTTATGAAAATAGACGAGAGAATTCAACATTATTGATACTGCGCCTTATAATCCAGTGCGCCTTATAGTCCAAAAAATAAAGTAATGCAGTTCAGGGAGACACAATCACTCAGTCAACAATAAAATATTGTCATTAATGTTCAATAATGACCACAATTTTTTTTTTTTTGCGATTTAAGAGTAATGTATATTAACTTGGGTTGTGAAGAATTGTGACTTTTAAAATATGGGTCCTCAGAAAAAAATCTTGGGGAAACAGTGCAGTAGTGTTGGAGTAATAGGAGGTTCTGTACTTGTCAATGAGGTTCTTGGCGATGTTGATCTGTCCCAGAGCCAGTTTGTAGTGGTCCTTGTCATAGAGCACGTTCATCAGGTCTGCGTAGAACGGGTGGATGTCCTGCAACACAAACGTCACGTCAGCCACCATCCTGTATCTGGAAGGTGCCACCCAGTTTAATCAAAACAGGCTAATACATCATGATATAGTGATACTGCGAGGTGGGTTAAGTGTCTTGCCCAAGCACACAATGACAGCATTCATCTGTGGGAGTTCGAATTGCACCTCCAACTTGTGGATCTGTGGATCTGACCACTCAACCAATGATGTTTCTTATGTCAAGAGCGGGAATCGAACCACCAACCTTCAGATCAGTGGACAAACACTCTAAGGCTATGTTCAGACTGCAGCCTGAAGTGACACAAATCAGATTTTTTTTGGCCCCTGTGCTTCTGTATTTGATCTTTTAAAGACAGTCTGAACGACACAGATCTGATTTTTTCAAACGAGACCCAGTCCACTTGGATATGTGCTCCTGAAACCGATGCATATCCGATCTTTTGACATGTGGCTTCAGTCTGAACGGCCAAGGCGCATTCATCCCACCTACACGTCAGACTCCGAGTCTCGTCAATGGAGGGAAAGTGAGGTTAGTGAGTTCATTCATATTTGGGGGGGATCGCTGTATTTAGGCCAAATTGGAGGGGTCTTATCGGAACCGGATGGTTTATGAAATGATTGCCAAAGAAATGTCCGAGCGCGGCTACAGTCGGTCCTGACTCCAAAGTCAATGAAAAATAAAGAACCCGCGAGCCAAATACAAGGAGGATAAAGACAAAAAAAACAAACTAAGCGGCCGTGGATGTGTAACCTGTCCATTTTACCAAGAACTGGACCATATTTTGGGGACAAGCCCAGAGTTTAGGCGACTTCTGTAAACACTGAGCAGCTCCGTGTGACGTTGTTGTGTCCTCCAATGCGCATGCGGGACATTTTTGGGGCATTTAAATTTCACACTGGAGATCACATACAAGTGGCATTTAATTCCAAACGTGAACGACCTCGCAAAAAAAATCCGAACTGAACATTAAGCCCTGCAGTGTGAAGGTAGCCTTACCAACTGAGCTACTGTCACCTCAATAATAATAATAACAGAATAAAGTGGCGAGGAGCGGTTGCCTGTTGTGGCGTGACTCACGTCAAGCTTGGGGAAGTCGGTGAGGATCTGGCTGAGGCGGTCGTGGTAGTTCTGCTGGGTAAACTTGACTTTCCTCATGTAGAAGTGGCGGATGCGGTGGATCTGGTAGTGCTTGTGCACCACGGTGGGGGTCTTGCGCTGGGTCTTGGATAAGGTGATGTCAATGAAGTCCTGCAACAACAAAAAGCACACATATCTGTTGGACACGGTAAGGATCAGGGTGAGTCATGTTGAAATATTCAAACACTACTGTGGCGGTGCATCAGTATTGTGTTAGAACGTGCCCCTAAATGTCTTGGTTAAGGATCGTGCAGCATTTTTTATATTCATTTACTCCACTTACACCAATCTACGCGCACACTATTCACGCACACACCACTTTCAAACTAGGCAACGCGAGTGAAGAAGAGTCTTGCCTCAGGACTGTTTCTTAGTATAGAACAATAAACAACTGTAATATACAAACTACTGAAATGAATTTACATTATTAAAAGAACAGCTTAAAAGATTAAATATTGGTAATAAGTGATGACAACACTCCAAAAGGTGAATTAAATCCCTGTGCCATCAAACACTGCTCAAGGTGCCATTTCAGCTTACCCATCTTTTCTTATTTTTTATTTTATTTTATTTTTATTTATTTGAGACAGGGACAGCGCACAATTTTCGCATTAACCTTGACAGGAGAGATGCATTGTACATCAGGTTGTAGCATCAGTGCTAATTTCCACCTGTCGTCCCTGGACAGGTTCATTGACTGACTGTATTTAACTGACCTTGACTATCAACTGTTCTGGAGACCTGGGGGAAACCGGAGCACCCAGAGGAAACCCATCCAGACACGGGGAGAAACATGCAAACTCCACACAGAAAGGCCCTGGGCGACCTGGGGATCGAACCCAAAACCTTCTTGCTGTGAGGCATGAGTGCTAGCCACTCAGCCACCGTGCCGCCTTCTTTCTTTCTTGATTTAATATGAACAATGAAAATGTATTTAAATTGTTCATACAGCCTTCAAAACAAAGACAGTGAGGCTTGTATGACGCGTCTCATCTTTTTAATCAACAAAAGCACTAGTATACAGAAATATGCGTTCCCATGCACAGGGTTCCCACTCTTTTTCACTGACAAATCTCAAAACATTTTCATGACCTAAAGTGAATTTTCCATTTCCACTTTACAGCACCTGCATGTTTAGAATTGCTCAGACTTTTAGGGCTAAATGTTAACCCTTTCCACTCTCTCTTTTAAACAAAAAGTGCAGACATTCAGAAATAATAGTCTAATGCAGGGGTGGGCAAACTTTCTGGCTCGCGGGCCACATAGGGTCCTAAAGTTTGACTGAAGGGCCGGACAGAAGACAGGACATGACGTGTTAAGAGCTCAGATTCATTACGTTCTTATTCACATTTATCTAGGACGTCAGACGCGCTGCACGTCTCATCACTGCTGTGAAAGATTCAGAACACATAAAACCGTTAAGACAAGTTCCACGACACACCACGAGTGAATGTACGTCGTGAGTTCACTGTTTTTGAATATAATTGGTAACAGCTCAAAAACAAAGCTCACACTGTTCAACCACAGATACACACCTGTGAGTGTGGTAAAACCTGACTCCAAAACGTTGTACACATTAACAAATACAACTCAGAGTCCATAGATTTCCTTGATTGATTTATATCAACTCAAAATGGAAGCAGTCTTATATCTTAAGCACCAACTACTTCACTCATGGTCTGAATAACTCCTGTAAGAACACTTTCCCATAAAGCATTGCGGCCAACATAATACGCCGCAACTCAATGTATATATAGTGCGCCATCTACTGGGAAATGCTGGAAATGCATGACAAATAAAACATCAACAAGGTTTATTATTGTAATTTATTCCAGTTCGGCGGGCCGGATTAAAAGGTTTAAAGGGCCGCATACGGTCCCCGGGCCGTAGTTTGCCCACCCCTGGTCTAATGAGAACTTAACACGATGCTGGAGTTGCGTGAAAGAGATACAAAAATTCCATGATTTTTTTCAGGTCTGGAAAATGACATTTTCAATTTCCATGACTTTTCCAGGATTTCCATGACCGTGGGAACCCTCAATACAGTGTTCAAGAGCACCAGGTTAGGTTAGGTTAAGTCGTTTTATTCGCTATACATAATAAATACATATAAAAACACAATTACAAATAAAGTGTTGCAGAGCTCCAGGGCATTTGTTCCATAAATAACTCATTTCTCAAACTAGGGGGTGTAACGATATGAAAGTCTCATTGTACAATATCCAAATTTCTCTGTATGATATTTTCACGATACACATCACACGGTACGATATTTATTGTGATATTTTGTGGAGACTAACAGCTGTCAACAGGCTATTTTTTCTTTTAAAATGCCTTGACAAGACTTAATCCAAAGAACTAAGACTTAAAAGTGCTTAGAACTGTTATTTCTTCTTGTCGTCTGCACTGAAATGGAGCAAAGGATCATGGTCTATGTAGTTCCCTCTGTCTCTTTTTAGCTGTTGCTGCATCATAACTCTTCATTTAAGCAAAGAGACTTGTAATTTAATATATTTTGATGGTCCGTGATCAGTGTTGGGAAGGTGACTTTTAAAATGTATATTTAAAAACCCTACAGATTACAGATTACACACACACACACAATGTAGTTTGTAACGTAATCCATTAAATTACTTAAAGTGAGTAACGTAATCTGAATACTTTGGATTACTTGATATTGTCATGCTTTTTAGTTTAGTTCTGGTTTTAGTCCTAGTTTAGTCCTAGTTTAGTTCTACTTTAGTCCTAGTTTAGTTTAGTTTAGTCCTAATTTAGTCCTAGTTTAGCTCTGGTTTTAGTCCTGGTTTAGTTCTGATTTAGTCCCAGTTTAGTTCTAGTTTAGTCCCAGTTTAGTTCTAGTTCCAGTTTAGTTCTAGTTTAGTCCCAGTTTAGTTCTAATTTCGTTCTGGTTTAGTCCTAGTTTAGCTTTGGTTTTAGTCCTGGTTTAGTCCTACTTTAGTCCCAGTTTAGTTCTGGTTTTAGTCCTAGTTTAGTTCTGGTTTTAGTCCTAGTTTAGTTCTGGTTTTAGTCCTAGTTTAGTTCTGGTTTTAGTCCTAGTTTAGTCCTGGTTTAGTCCTAGTTTAGTCCTGGTTTGTCCCAAAATGTGAAAACTGAAAATTACCGCCCTGTAATCCATTTATTTCAACAAAGTAACTGTAATCCAATTACCACTCACTGAAACAGTAACTGTAACTGAATACAGTTACTCATAATTTGTACTCTGATTACTCTGGTACATGTAATCTGTTACTCCCCAACACTGTCCGTGATATTATTGTGAGAACTCTGATGATTCAGTATTTAATTTTAATTAATTTATTCATGAGTACAACAGCAGCTGGAACGAAACTACTTTTAAAAAGATTTGTGTGACTGTAACAAACTGCACAGAAACGAGATGCTTCTCCCATTTTATCCACTATTGAGATATTGCAGCAGAAATAACACCACTGTAATAAATGTTAAGTGTGTCCACGTTGAGTTTTGTATTGTTATTGTGGGCAGAGGTTTATCACATGGTTCTACACATGCGCAAAAAGGACCTGCCTCCCCACGACAACACGCAGCTTATATTATCATTATTATTAGACCAAGAACGTGATTTAAGTGAAAATACGGGTTCGAATAGTTATGGTTTAGTATTAGTTTAAAGCACAGGTGTCAATCATAAGGCCCGGGGGCCAGATCCGGCCCTCCAAGACCTTTAATGTGGCCCTTGGGTGATTTTCTACTAAAATATTTTAATTATATTTTCTATTATAATATTGGTAATTTTCTGTGGTGTTTATCACAGCAGCGTCTCCAGTGTCTCTGTACGTGGCCCCTCCCACCAGAGCAGCACAAATGAAGACTTGACAAACGCTCTTAAAGGACGATCGTTTTGACTGTTGACCGTGACACCCTCATCAGAAAAATGTCCAACATGAGAAAAGTGGAGCCGAGGGCAGGATTTTACAAGAAAAATTGACTTATTCCTGTTTGCATACAAGTTCATGTTAAAACATTGTGTTGAAATTGCATTTTTCTTAAAGTTTCAAGTTGTTCATAATATTATAATATTTTGTAAAAGAAAGAGTTCATCAATTAAAAAAGATTTCTGTAATAGATTTGTGTTTCTCTGCACAAATATTTGAACTTATTGCTTATTTTTGTGGTTTATATGAGATGAGTTTTCTGATCCGGCCCCTTTGGAATCAAATTAGGTTGGATATGGCCCCCGGACCAAAATGAGTTTGACACCCCTGGTTTAAAGCTTAGACATGTAACATTAATGGTTAAGGTTAAAATCAGCCTCCAAGAATTAAATGGAAGTCAAAGTAGGGAGGCCAGACATCCCTGTTTAGCCGGGACAGTCCCAGTTTTGAGCCCTATGTTAGTATTTTGACCAATTTGATCCAAACCAGGTCTAAACCAGGTCTAAACTAAAACAGGACTAAAACAGTTTTTTAGACTAGTCTGAGCCCCGGTGCGCACACACGTGTTTCTCTCTCTCCACAGACTCTGGTCTAAACCGTATTTTGTCTCGTATTTTCTCGCTGACAGCCTCGTCGGAAAACAGCGCGGGGCTTTAGAGGTTCGGAGAGTTCGGACTGGACTCACCTTGGCGGTAGGGACCACCATAATCTTCTTAAAATTGTACAGTGCCATGTTTGGACGGTGGAGACGGTCCGGCGAGGCACGCGGAGAGGACAGGAGCACTTCCGCCCACACCGGAAATGATGTGGAGGAGCGTTTTCAAAGGAGCGCCCTCTAATGGTACTGCCCACAGAACTATAATGGTACTGCCCATAGAACTATAATGGTACTGCCCATAGAACTATAATGGTACTGCCCATAGAACTATAATGGTACTGCCCATAGAACTATAACAGAGATCTCAACCTGTAGCTCAGGACCTACCAGTAGCTCAACAAAGGATTTTGGAATTATACCATTCTGCTGAATAAGAAGGGAAAAAAAAAAGTTAATTACATGCCTATTAGGCAAGAAATCTAGGGGTAATAATGGACTCAGACTTTTAACTTTAACAGCCACATCAAATCAATAACATCTGCAGCCTTTTACCATCTGAAAAACAGAGCAAAAATCAGAGGTTTACTGTCTAAATCAGACTTGGAGAAACTTATCCATGCGTTTGTCTCCAGTAGGTTAGATACTGTAATGTTCTGCTCACTGGTCTCTCCAAACGAGCTGTGAGACGCTGCAGAACATCCAGAACATCCAGAACATCCAGAACGCTGCAGCTCGGGTCCTGACTCGAACTAGGAAGTACGAGCACATAAGTCCTGTGCTCAGGTCTCTGCACTGGCTTCCTGTGGCTCAGAGACTTTAAAGCAGCTCTGTTTGTACAAGTGTCTCCATGACCGAGCACCAAAGTCCATCTGTGACATGTTAGTGTCATATGAACCATCTCACACTCTGAGGAGCTCAGGGACCGGCCTCCTGCTGGTGCCCAGAGTCACGACTAAACAAGGGGAGTCAGAGTTTCAGGTTCATGCAGCTAAAACCTGGAACAGTCTGAACATGTGAGACAGACTCTTCTGTGATGCTGTTTAAATCCAGACTCAAAACATTTCTGTTTAACTGTGCAAATAACTGAAAGGTTTTCATTCCGCACTCTTCTCTCCAATTTATGTCTCTCTTTTTTAATTTTAATCTTCATGATTATTTATGTTTTGATTTGTTTTTATTATGATTTTAATGTATTTCTTTTTCTGTAAAGCACTTTGAATTACTTTGTGTACGAATTGTGCTGTACAAATAAACTTGCCTTGCCTCGCCTATTATGATTGTAAATGTATAATTTTGAAGCCCAACTGTGTGCACTAACTAATGGACAATTGTTTATGTTGTACAGGCATCTAAGTGTACCCAGTGTTGGGAAGGTCACTTTTAAAATGTATTCCTCTACAGATTACAGATTACATACCCCAAAATGTAGTTTGTAGCGTAATCCATTAATAGTTAATTAATTATTACTTAAAGTGAGTAATCTCTGAGTAATCTGAATGCTTTGGATTACTTGGTTTGCTCTAGAGAAGCAAAGACTAGGACCAGACTTTCCTTAACCGTATTAAAAATATTATTGATAAAAGAGAAAGAGACACAGTCTGCACAGCATGATTTAGTCCTGTTAAATCCTGTTTGAGACATAGTTTAGACCTGGTTTTAGACCTGATTTAGACCTGGTTTAGACCTGGTTTTAGTCCTTGTTTTGGTCCTAGTTTAGACCTGGTTTAGACCTGGAGTCCAGCAATGAGTGGAATTACTGAAAAAAATAAAACAAAAAAAAATAGCCCAAAATGTGAAAACAGGAAAATACCTCTGTATCCATTTATTTCCAACCAAGTTATTGTAATTCAGTTACCACTCATTGAAACAGTAACTGTAACTGAATACTGTTACTCTTAATTTGTACTCTGATTATGTAACTCTGGTACATGTAATCTGTTACTCCCCAACACTGACTGTACCCTCGTCCTCTTTTTTTATAATTGTCTCAATTTCTTTCTGCCGTTAAAATGAGTAGCTCTCTGGCATTTTTGTTTTGTAAAAGTAGCTCATTGGAGGAAAACGTTTTGAGACCCCTGATCTATAATCTCTTGTCTCAGGAGCACAGACTCACACAAACAGAAGCTTCATTCTTCCAGCTAGTTGTTGTAGCAGTGGAGAAATGCAGCATGTCTATAAAATAAAGGCCTTCATGTGTGACTTTGGAGCTAAAACATCACAGCTCTGCAATAAAAAGTTGTTGGGGCTGATTGAATCTTTTTATTCTAAGAATAAAACAATTTCCTATAATTTTATTCTTAAATCAAGTAAGTATCTATTTTCAAATATCATTCAACAAATTGTGAAGCTTTTCAGCAGCCAAACTCTGAGCTCTGTGCTGCCCTCTAGAGGACAGAGGGACAATAAAATCGCTAAAACAAATGCTGATTGTTCAAATGCTGATTTTTGTTGCAACAGAAGAAGTATTAACATTAATATCACCAGAGCTAAAATACTTGTGTACTACTACTAATACTGTAAATGGAGAGGCAAGAGGGTAGACATCATAAAAATTATGACGGTGAAGATAATATTAGTTTGAGTATAGGGACTAAAAATGTTTATTTAAAAATGGGGGGATACAATGAAATGCCTTTAAAATTACACTTTGAGTTTGTAATAAGTAGCAGAAGATGATGAAAGGAAATTAGTTTAATTATAAGTATAATAGTTTAAGTAAAGGGACTAGAAATGTTTATTTAAAAATGGGAGAGGAAAAAATAAATAAATAAAATAATTGTCCGTAATGTGTCAATGTGAAGGGCCTAGTGGTGTGTTTTTGTTTGATTTAGCCAAATTTGTGTCAGTGTGTGTGTGGTCAGGGAGAAATGGGGGCTTTTTTTTGTGTTTTGTTTTATGTTGTTTATTGTAATTTGTTAAATGTTGATTGTTATATTTTTTTAATGTTATATTCTGTTGTCGTTAATAAAAAAAAAAACATCATAAAAATCACATTACACACATGTAAAAAACAGATAAAACATCATAATCATCATAATAATAAATAATAACAGCCGGTTTGTGTGACACAGACCAGCAGCATCAGTCTCTCCTCTCTGTCTCTCTCTGGTCTTATTTCTAACCCTGATTGACCCTGATAATTTAGATCACATGTTACGAATTAATTCTCCCTCCCTTTGCTCTCCACGTTAAGTCACTCCCCCTTCAGAGCGCCATCACAACACAGTCAAGAGTGCAACCCGCTAATGAAGCTGCTGCACATCACATCAGGTTTGTGAAGTTGTTGTGCACAGTCTTAGATCGTACTTTTGTATTTATGGACGACCAGATGACAACGGCCAGATGTGCGAACCGAATTGCCCTTTGGGATTAATAAAGTTGCTGATTGATTGATTGAGAACATTAAGTATCACCAGGGATCAGGGATGGACCTTCACTGGAGACCAGGGAGATGGTGCAGTTGTTTGGCAAGAGGACGCATCAGACTGAACAGCTATTGGTCGCTCAGTGTGTCCATCAAAACGCATTTATAACATCTTTTTTTACAACTTTTTAATGCGTTTTATCATATTTACATATTTATATTTAAACGTTATTTATCAAAATTTATTCCCACTGTGATTTTAACCAAGTGTTTATGAATATTTATTTGTTTTAATCACCTTTTTTAACATCATGTCACTTTATACATGCAGTCTATTGTGTGTCCTCATGTGTCTTTTGAGACTAGATCTTACAGCAAAAACTTTCTTACAGACTGAACAGCTGAACGGTTTCTCTCCCGTGTGTGTCCTCATGTGCGTTTTGAGATTAAACCTCACAGCAAACACTTTGGCACAGACTGAACAGCTGAATGATTTCTCCCCGGTGTGTGTCTTCATATGAGTTTTGAGATTAAATCTGACAGCAAAAACCTTCTCACAGACTGGGCAGGCAAACGGTTTCTCCCCGGTGTGTGTCCTCAAGTGCGTTTTGAGATCACAATTTTACAGCAAACACTTTCTTACAGACTGAACAGCTGAACGGTTTCTCCCCGGTGTGTGTCCTCATATGTTTTTTGAGACTAGAACTATCAGCACACACTTTCTTACAGACTGAACAGCCGAATGGTTCTTCTCCTGTGTGAACTCTGCGGTGTATTTGTAGTTTATATTTAGACCCAAATCTCTCTTTACAAACAGAGCACTTGTGTTTCGTGCCCTCAGTTCCTTCTCCAGTTCCTGTCGTGTCTCCAGTGTTCACGGTGGCTCTGGTCTCTGGCGCAGACTCGTCTTCGTCAGACCCTGTGTCCAAGTGTGAACGGCTGAGTGGAGCTCTCCAGTCTTCATCACTGTCAGAAGAGTGCTCTGTCTCTCCTTCAGTCTCTGGTCTGATGTCCTCTTCCTGTGCGTCCTCACTGTGGACACGTGGCTCTGCTTTGACGTCCTCTCTCTGCTCAGTTTCTCTTTGTTGAAGCTGCGACGACTCTTCTGTCTTCACACTCACAGCACCAAACTCTGGCACAGACCTGAAAAATATAAGACACATTTGTATATTTTAAACCAAAACTGAATATCTGTAATAGAAATGAATAAGAATGAAAGAATAACCAAATAAAGAATTGCAGGTTGTTTTGCACGAACATAAACGCTAAACTTTTTCGCCTTCGTTAACATTATTATTAGTTTGTACGACCATAAACGAAAAACAAATTTAAAAAAAAAGAACGAGGAAGAAAAGAATTTTGGTTTGTAAAATATTTGGCGCAATGACTTTAAATATTTCAACACTGCAGAAACCTTTTAAAAAAGAGTATAAACTGTCATGTTTTGGAAAATATGGAGCTCTGGAGTTGATGAATTGTGCATTGAGTTTTGTTTGTTTTACTTTATATTTTGTCTCTTATATGTACAGTGAGTGGAGTTGTGAATGTAAACTTGTTGTGAATGCGTTTGGTATCTTTGTTTCAGCTCGGACTCTTCCTGTCATGACCCGCGTAGTCGTGGTTTATGTTTTGTTTTTGTTTGCCGCAAATTATCCAATTGAAAAAAAAAAGAAAAAAAAGAATGGCAGTTTGAAAGTGTCTGAGACTCACACTTGCAGCTGTTCTTCCTCCTGTTTGATGTCGTGTTCTTGTTTAATCTGTGGAGTCAGATCAGGGCTCAGAGTCGACACCTGGACACCTGCAGGAGACAAGAGAATACACACTTCACACACAAAGTTCATTTTCTACATGAACTAGTTCAAAGTTCAGTTCACAAATTTCATAGTTCATAATTGTTTACAGTTCCAAGAAATTAACTAGTTCATAGTTCTTTTTTTTCAATACTATGCTGCGATCGATTATTTTTCAATATCATTGCCAAAGCCCAAAAAACAATCACAGACAACAATTATTTTATCAGTTTTAACAATGAAACTATGTATTAGATTTCATCTTCATGTCAAATTTGTCGCTGAGAGACTGCACTATACTGAAGTCTTAAGGTCTTACTGTACTGTACTGATTACTGTCGCTGTCAATGGGATTCGGGTGGAGGATCTGTCTGTACGGTCTTTTGATTTTGTCTGTGCTTTCATAAACCTTGAAAGTCTGGCCCGGGTGCTTCAGTACAATGTGTCATTTTAAGTTTACTGTTGATGTGAGTGAAGTTTTTGAAGATTTTGTTTTTGAAAGGTGGCAGGCAAAATTTGTAAGTAAATGTGAGGTTATTCCCTTCCTCAGTGACCTTGTCAAAGATCTTGTGAACAATAATCCTTTTTCATATAAGTGCAAAACGTCCTGTTCTGTAACCTTGCTGCTTAATGCTCTGTTTTATGATACAAACGTCCAGAAGATTCCCAGAAGTAAAACTATCAAGTCAACTAAAAATAACATTTATAAATAAACAATACAAAAAGCTTTGGGCAGACTCCCTCAGGCCTTTAGACTCTGATATTTTTTGTTTTTTGTCACACTGATGCTGTGAATTGTGCTGTAGCATCATTAAAGTTTCTGTATCTCTGCCTCTGCGGCTGGTTTTTCATTTTTGCAAAGATACAACAGAAATCAACAAGCTCTTTTAAATATTCACAAGATAAATCCTTGTTGCTCCTACCTGCTACAGTCACCTCCATGCTGCTCACAGAACTATAATACTGAATATTTATTTATAATGTTTTTTATTATAGATCCATGCTGCTGCTGCTTTGTTTTGTTTTGTCTTGTTTCGATGACGCACGCGGCGATGCGACGCTGGAGGCGCGTGTTGCCAGATTGAATGTTTTTCCGCTAAATATTAAAGGCTTTTTACTGTGTGTTTAGCCGGGATTTCGGCTACAAAAATCTGGCACCCTGTGAGTTAAATAGAAGCGCATGGCGTTTACAGACACCGGGACGAACGCGCTCACACTCCGTTCATCAGTGACACAGTAAAAAAAACAAAGTGTTTACACATTTACGCCGTACACTTTGGCTGGTCATAAAACAGCGCGTTCAGTTCACGTTCGCCCAAAATATGAACAAAACAAACACAACACTGCGATTTACATTATACATTCATATTGGTCAGTGGAAACCAAACAACCTGCATATTTTTAATTAAAATCATAATGTAAATAAAGGTACTAGTTATCAATTGATTTCACAATGATAAAGGCTTAAGATAAAAAAAAACAAAAAAACAAAAAAAAAACAAATAATAATAATTTGGACCGTTGCCATAGCAACTGGCCTAATAATTTAAACAAAACATCTTATCTTTTGAATAATGAAGAAAAATCTGCAGTAGCGGCACGCCCAGTCGTGGATAGTGAGCGCCACAGACCGTATATATGAACTATAACTTTATTTTGCTTTATACAGTCTATGGTGAACACAGAGGTTTGTTTTTCATCTTAAGTCACCAGTGTAAAACTGCAGTGAATGATGTTTGTCCTTCAGAACCATCTGCACCATAAACTCTACATATGATCTGCACATGACTCTGAGGAGCTATAGTATGTAGCACAATAGAGAAATTGTAGATGACTTAAATATTTATTTGTTGTACTATTTTATTTTCTGAATGAGGCTAATCAGTGCTGTGTTTTAGCAACACAAATGAAGAAAATCAAACTTACTCTGCATCTACATCATCATAATAAACTGAAGGGGTTCTAAAATTTCTGTCATCTCTGGTATGCTCCTCATTTTTCTCATCATCCAGAAAGTCAGAATCACAATCTCCCTCAATAATTCAGTAGAGAAATCTTTCTGTTTCAGTTCTGTGAGCTCCAAAGGGAAGTTCGATCAAATACAACACAATTGTCCCAGAATGAACAATGAACTGTAAAACTGAAAGCCGCTAATAATGCAACGATTCATTAATTAAACATGCTTTACTGCTGTCCCTGTACTGAAGTTGTTGCAACAATATAAACTCCTCATTAAGTTTTGATTCTTTTCTCTGTCTGCCTCCTGAAGCTTCCTCATGTTTACTCCTGTCTTGGTGACACATTTGATTGACAGCTGAAAAAATGGAGGAGAGGATTCAAGGAGAAGGAAGCAATGAAAGAGAAACTAGATGCGGCCCTGTGCTCCCTGCTCTTCTTCTGTTAGGTTATTTTAATAGATAGATAAGAGACAGTGTTGGGAAGGTGACTTTTAAAATGTATTCCCCTAAAGATTACAGATTACATACCCCAGAATGTAGTTTGTAACGTAATCCATGAAGTTACTTAAAATGAGTAACTTAATCTGAATACTTTGGATTACTTGATATTGTCATGCTTTTTAAAACTACATGAATGTACCGACCACATCCTGAAAATTCCTGTTTGTTCTCTTCAAATTCTCTGTTGAGCCCAAGTCTCCATGAACAGGCAAGTGTTTACTGTAGAGAAGCAAAGACCAGGAAATCTTATCATAAGATGTTTTGTTTTGTCTGCTAAAAGACAATAAAAAGCCCAGTCTTTACTTAAGCATATAAAAAATATTGTTGATAGAGAAATTATTTCTATATGAGATCACGGCTGCCTTAAATTATGTTCACTCTACTGTTAGGTGTCATATTGTTTAGACCTGATTTAGTCCTGATTTAGTCCTGGTTTTAGGCCTGGTTTTAGTCCTAGTTTTAGTCCTAGTTTAGTTTTAGTTTAGTCCTGGTTTAGACCTGGTTTAGACCTGGTTCAGTTCTAGTTTAGTCCTGGTTTAGACCTGTTTTAGACCTGGTTTAGTCCTGGTTTAGACCTGGTTTTAGTCCTGGTTTAGCCCAAAATGTGAAAACAGGAAAATACTGCCCTGTAATCCATTTATTTCAACAAAGTAACTGTAATCCAATTACCACTCACTGAAACAGTAACTGTAACTGAATACGGTTACTCATAATTTGTACTCTGATTATATAACTCGTATGTAATCTGTTACTCCCCAACACTGATAAGAGATAACAAATTCTATTTCATACTTTTATTGTGAAAGCCAAATTGACAAGCCTGTCTTTTATTGTGACACCGGATGTGCTCCGGTGCGTTTCCGCTCACTCCCTCTCTGCATTTTGGACAAAACGTGCCCAGCGCTATGGATTATGTTCCAGAGAATGACATTTACTGCGCGATACTGCACTAAAAACCTGTAACTCCGTTTTGAAAGTGAGTAAAATTAGTTCTTTGTTCCAGATTGTATTAATAGCCTATTAGCTGCTCGTCTACGGTTCAGACGAATGCACATTGATAATAACAAAACATGTCATGACGTTATGGCTAATCCCACCCAGATCGTATCCTAGTGTTATTGTTCGCGTGTTTCTGCAGGTAAATTCGTGTAATTATCGGTGTTCTGTCTGGATTTATTCGTTATAATCGCGTAACAACAGCTCAAACGCCCTTTTTTCCTCTCATCCATCAGTCTGGAGCTCTGAGGCAAGTGTCTGAAGCTTTAATCTGCCCAAACTCCGCACAATATCACACCAGCTCAAGTCCCTGTTTATTTCATTTTTATTTTTTTTACCACCTTTTTAAATCTGTAAGTCTTGTGTGGCTGGGGACGGGTTGCCGGTTTTAGTCCTGAAATCCGTGCGTGCGTGATGTGTGCGTGATGTGAAGGGCACCGTGACAGCGACAGCCTCAGTGTGACATCTCCACGGGCCACGGGAGTGTTACTACACAGCCACACTCTGTAAGAATAATAATCAGACAAAGCTGGATCATTTATTTATTTATTTATTTTTATTCTTATTACTGTTTATTTTGGTACAATCACAAACGATAAACTTTTGTGCCTTCTTCATTATTACTATTATTAGTTTGTACTAGGCCTGTAACGATAACAGATTTTGCTGGAAGATGAATTGACCAAGAATTTATTGCGATAAACGATAATATTGACATTTTGAGACCGATTTTAACTATTATGATGACTAGGGGTGTGCAAAAATATCGGAATATCGATATATCATATCGTTTAATGTGATGATACAGTATCGATATCGTGGGCTACTGTATCGATATATCACCAAGAGTATTTTTACGTGTGTTTTACTAAATTATTTTGTTACAGTGCTACAGTTTTGTTGCTTGTGGTGTGAAAGGAAACTCATTTATGCGACACATTTGACATTTTTACTGTTTTGATGATTAAAATGTTTGTGTTTCATATGAACTTTGCACAAGAAGTGGTTTAACAAAAACTTTTAGTATCACAGCCATGATTTAGCCTTTATTTTTTATTGAACCGTATCGAATCGATTTGAAATATATCGTATTGAATCGAAAGTGCACTGTACAGATATGTATCGTATCGTGGCCTGTGTATCGAGGCAACTTCTTAATGATACCCAGCCATAATGATGACCTTGGAATAAAAATGCAATTACACCCTTTCAAAGATCAATAAAAACCTTCCTTTCTAAAGAACATTTAACACAGGAACTGTAAAACAACCGGCTGTTGGGGTTTGAGACATTTCTTCTCGTCGTTTGTGTTTCGCTGCATTTGACGCACGTGGCTGTTGAGACGTGTCCCGCTCACCAGTGTTGATTCGGCATCGTGACTTGTTTTGGCACTCGGCGATGAACTGTTTTCTGAAACGCTTTCTGCAATCAGGCTGCGCGCGCATCCGCTGTGCCGATAAACACAGCGCACGTCGGTTCAAGCGTCATTACACTTGTTAAACGAGAGGAGTCAGAGCGGTAGAAACTTCTAACATTCACCCCCTTTGAGAGCGAGAGAGAGCGAGGAAAACAAACAAGCTGCAAATAGAATTTATCGTGGCCGGAAAAGTTATCAAGCTCGTTAAAAGTTATTGTACGATTAACTGATTTATCGATTATCGTTACAGGTCTAGTTTGTACGACCATAAACGAAAACAAAAAAATCCCTACATTTTTCATTGTCATTACTGTTTATTTTGTACGATCATAAATGAAAACAAAAATCCTTAATTTTTTCATTACTATGTGAATTACTATGCACCAACAAATCCTCTTTTTGTTAAGCTAAAAGTACAAATTTTTTTTTTATCTTGTCGACCTGAGTACAGCTGTTGTGATGTACCTAAAATCATCTGGTTCCTCTTTGTTTACAGGAGATATCTGAGCAAAGAGAGAGTCAGTTTAACCTTAGAGGAGCAGGTATCTTCAAAAAAATGAAGATAAGAACTAAGAAAAAAAGTGATTGTATTTCTATTAGAGGGGTTAGTTTATTTAATAACCTGAGTGATGATTTAAAAAAGTTTAAACTGAAGCCTTTAAAAATGGGTATAAAGTGGATTGTTTTGAAAGATATAGAGCTATGGATGAATTATGCGTTCAATTTTGTTTGTTTTAATTTATATTTTGTCTCTTTTATTTACAGTAAGTCATAAGTAAAATTGTAAATGTAAACTTGCTGTTCATTTTCTTGGAATTCTGTCATTGTTTTTACTTCAGCCCAGACCCTTTCGGTCATGATCTATGAGGTTGTAGTGTATGTTTTGTTTTTGTTTCTACTACAACACTGGAGCTTTCACATCGACCAGAAATCCTAGAAATCCTGAAGTCATTATAATATGCACATACTGGCTGCAAAAACGACATGTGCTGGGAGGAGGATAACAACTACACCATGTAAACAGGAGGAAATGAATACAAAGAAAACTGTATTGTGGTTAGTGGTTGCATTTTCTTTCATTCATGTATGTTTGAGGAAACCGGCAGCTCAGACCACATTGTTCCACCTGACAGGGCCTTAACTCGATTAATTGGTCGATGATGTTTCAGCACCTTCTCTATAGCAGGGGTGGGCAATTATTTTTCCATGGGGTCGCACTCAATTGTGCATAATATTAATAGTATTTTCTTTATAAAAAGCAGCAATAAAAAGCATTCTTTTGACAAGCTGGTCAGGCTGGTAAGAGTTTATGCTATGACTAAGCAATGAGAAGTGAGGTTGCCTTACAAGAATCTCATTTAAAAAAACACTTCTAAAATGAAAACAATGCAGCTTTTGTCCATGTATGATGTAAAATTAAAAATATGTTTATTTTGTAATTCCAAATGAGTTTAAACGGGCCGGTCAGAGTCGACCAAAGGGCCGTATGTGGCCCAGGAGCTGTACAGTGCCCAGGTCTGTTCTATAGACACAAATCAGATTTATGCTAAACAAGAAGACTACAGCCAAGGAACAACATCACCATGGGAACATACACCATTTTTGGGGCTGAAAAGTTAGATATTGTGGCTTTAAATATGCCTTTCCAAGAACTAACTGATGAAGAATTTCTTTAGTGAATTTAAGCCCTAATCCACTGATGTCATGATTCACGAGGTGTTGCACCTCCTGAAGGTGACCTTCACCACATTGATTATTCCAGCACAATTTTACCTTCACTTCAAAGCTTGTTTTTTTGCTTCTTGGACAAAACTGGGGCTCTAAAATGTAGGATAAAAAATGCAATAGGAATCAAACCTGAATGAATAATACTGTATTACAGGTTAAGTAAACTCAGGTAACTAATATAGGGGTTTGTAATTAAAATACATACAAGAGTTAGGGAAAGGAAACAAGAGAAATGCCATGAGGTCATCTCTGACATGAGGTCGCCTTGTTCAGCAGCTGTGTGCACTTTGGAGTGTCGTGGACGTAGCGCACACAAACATGTGTTTGTTTTGGTCACAGATCCGGACTGAGGAGCCATGCCTGTGGAGAGCAGCAGCAGCAGTGCAGCGCGTCAGGCCAAGCAGAAGAGGAAGTCCCACAGTCTGTCCATCCGGAGGACCAACAGCACGGAGCAGGAGCGCAGGGAGCTCATGGAGAGTCAGGTGCGCTCAGGAGTCACTGCACAAGCGTGTGTGACATTACAACATTCTAAACTCAGAATAAATGTTTGAAAATTTCATCCATTATTCTAATTTGACTTAAGTGTCACCTGTATATTATTTGAATGGTTACAATGTGGAGATTCACTGTTTTTGAAATGAATCTCCAAACTTATGATCCACAAATGATAAACCTTCTCATTATTTGTTTGGAATTGGCTCCACAATCTTATCTTAATCTCTTTTATGATTTGAAGTCCTTTCATCTGACAACAATCACGTTTTTGGGGTTGAATAACGGCACCAGTTTTGAAGCTTTTGTGAAAATATAACTTCACCTTTGTTTACTTTTTCCACTTTTTGTGAATATACACAGTAATTTCAGAAATATTAACCATAAACCAGATCAAAACATCTACCATCTGACAAATTCATGATGGCAAATTCTACCTGAAAATTCTAACCTGTCTTCAATTTGCTCAGTCTGACTTCTAATATAAACTAAAGGGATTCTATAGTTAGTTCAGTGACTTCTGTGGTAGCGTTTAAAAGAAATAAATTATAATCCTAACCCATTTCATAATTTTGTTATTAGTTAAAAGGACTTTATGTGAACCCAGTGTCTACAAAATGAAACACAGATCATATTTCAACATTTGTGGATTTTGGTTCAGAGATACCTTCCCAGATAAGTGAAGTCTCTTATGTCAAAAAAAGAACATTATTATCCATTATCCATTTTTACAATTTTAATTCCCAGTGTAATTCTGGCTGTACGTTTGTGCTGTTAACACAAAAACTCAATTATTTAAGGATCAAGTAATGATAATCATGATTTCAAGTGTGCTACCTGGTCCTGATCAGACCTGAGTAAATACCAGGATTATAATCTGAATGCTTTGTTGGCTTTGTACGCTGGTAGTCGTCAGATAATCTGGAGTCCCTGGTTCGCCCGGAGGTAAGTGACTCTACAGTGGAGATAGTTTGTTTTCCTGTAGTGTTTAGATCCTACATTTTGGGTTTGTGGAGTAGTTTCGTCTTCCTTAGGACACCAGGAGAGTACAGTGTATTTGTCTGAACATTCTAAATAAATTACCCAGGGGTCTGCATCCTCTAGCTGTCCACCCCCTTCCAAGTAGCTCGCCGAGGGATTTCTGAATTATACGTAGTGTGCTGCAGAAGTTGAAACTGATTAAATGCCTGTTACTATTGTAAATGTATAATTTTGATGCCTAACTTTATACATTAATACAGGGTTCCCACACGGTCAAGGAAATTCTGGAAAAGTAATGGAAATTAAAAATTATATTGTCCAGGCCTGTAAAAGTCATGGAGTTTTGTAAATTCAATGAAAGTTTTGGAACAGTCATGGAACTTTAGTGTCTCTTTCATTCAACTACACTGTTCTCTTAAGTTCTCATGAGGCAAACTAAAGCTCGGGGGCAAAATGCGGCCCTTTAATCTTTGTAATCCGGTCCTCTGAACTTGATTAAATTATAATAGTAAAAGTTGTAATGCTTTGTAATGATATTCAATTGAAATTCAAGCACAGGTTTTCTACATACCCCGTGTTATTTTTTTCTCTTATGTGGTGGATTACCAAAACACTCCATCCATCTGCTCCTGCTCCGGCCCTTCCGTCAAATTTTAGAACCCTTTTTGTGGCCCATGAGTCAAAAAGTTTGCCCACCCCTGCATTAGGCTATTATGATTATTTCTGAACGTCTACGCCTTTTAGTTTAACCCTCTCCAGGCAGGCGTTGCAGATTTGCAACAGCTAAATGCCAATTACCTACTTATTCCACATCCATATTTTATGAGACTTTTTTACTAAGGAGCCTTTTTTCCCATCCATGCTGATAAATGTAGATGATGCAGACTGTGCAAGAACGGCTACACGCAAACGGCCTGCCAGAAGTGCAAAGTACTTTTGTGCTTTACAAAGGATAAAAATTGTTTCTTGGAGCACCACACGAAAAAGTGATGTTGTTCTGCCACTGTAAAGCTGTTACACTGTGCTTTATGTTTTCATTGTTATGAAAAGTTGTATTACACATAAAGTTAGTGTTCATATCATTTTCAGTCTTCAGTGTTAATTTACCACACCGGACCAAATCTGCAACCTCCCAGAACGCTTTGGATGTGAAGGTCTGTCTCAAAAAAAAAAAAGAAGTCAGGATTGTATATTACTACCCCATATGATAATTTTCCCCAAATATCAGATTTTTCCTGTCACTAAAACTTAATTTGAGCCTGAGAGGGATAAAAGAGACGACAATAAATGCACTGACAGTATTTTGAATGTTAAAAAAATGATAATCCCAGAAATGGAAAGATTTAACATTTCATTCATATTTAGCCCTAAAAGTCTCATCAATTCTCTCATGTAAGTGCCATAAAGTCACGGAAAATTCACTTAAGGTCATGAAAAAGTCTTGGAAAAGTTTTGAAATTTTGTCAGTGAAAAAGAGCGGGAACCCTGTTAATAAATGGATAATGGTTTATGTTTTATAGACATCTAACTGTACCCTACCGAAGGCTCGCTATGACTTTTATATTTACTCAAATACTTGTAATCGCTAAAACTAGTCGCTCTCTGGCATTTTGGTTTTGTAAAAGTGGCTCACCGGAGGAAAAAGGTTGGAGACCAGTTAAATACTTACTGTTACCCCATTGATCACCACGGGGAACTGGCCAAGACGTCATGAGGTCTTAAATAAAATAATGATCTTTTAGCAGCCATCAAAGGAATTAGGAACCAATAAATCATTTATAGATTTACAGATGAGACTTAACTAACCATTGACAACTATGCGATTAATATTTCATTGATAGAGCAGGGAAGTTTCACAGTGCTCCTTTAACTTCTGTCATAATTAATTTGTAGATAATGTAATGCTGTTGGTAGGAAACTGCACGTCCGTGTGTCTCTTGAAATTTCTGTAATTTAGACCTCTTAGTTTTTATGGTAACACTTTTAACACCTGCAAATTAGCACAGTTGTAGATGGTAATTTGTCATTAATTCGTATTTATTAAGCCCTTATTAATGTCTAATTCCCCATAAGCTTATTCTGCAATTAGCTAGACATTTACAAACACTTCGGCAGCATATTTCAGTGTTTGCAGCAGGACAGCGGCTCAGTAGAGAGCGAAGTGACAGTGGTACAGGAGTAATAGTCGTACTAGATACTGACACACGAGCCTAGAGCCTCTCGTGGCTGTCAGTCTGAAAAACGTATAATCCGAAAAATACGGTATTTGCACTTAATACATTTACTCTTATGTACTAAATCACTTTCTATTAGCTGTTAATAGAGTCCAACTAACCATGAATTAAGTAAGCTAAATTTATTAAAAGCAAATAAGTAAAAGCTACATTTCTTGTGCAACTAGTCCTTAACAACACGCTTATTACCAAAAGCTTATTAGAATCATAATTCATGGACAAGACCGGCCTAGTATCAAACTAATAAGCAGTAATAAGGAGTGTATTAATAGGAAAGTGTTTGTAAATGTCTAACAAATAGCAGAATAAGCTTATTAGACATTAATAAGAACTGAATAAATACTCATTAATGACAACTTAACCATCTGCAACTATGCTAATAAGTAGGTAGTTAGATGTTAATAAGTGTACCCTAAAATAAAGTCTTACCGTTTTTATTCCAAAATTATTAGTCTGTGAATTGTTTGTGGTTCCTATAAACAAAGAGAAAGCGTCCACCCTCTAGATGAGCAGACCCCTCCCTCCCATGTAGTGTCCTTATGTAGCCTGCACTAGCCTGTCTTAGTCATTTCAGAGTAGATCTGTCACCATCACTGGGTAGAGTAGCCAAAAATTGTACTCAAATAAGAGTATTGTTACTTCAAAATAATATTACTCAAGAGGAAGTACAAAGTAATGTTCCAAGAAACTGCTCAAGAGGAAAAAAGTATATGGGAAAAGTAGAGAATCCGTGTGTCATTCGTTTATTCGTTTTTCAATATAAAACCAAAAATAAGAAAACAAACAAACAACTGTTTTCTTCATTATTTGTCTCCAAAACCAAAATGGAAAAAACAGATAATGATTATTTTTTTTCAGTTTTCGATTTTGTGTTTAAATGAAAAATGGAAAAAACGGATAACGACCGTTTACGTGACTTCCGTGACTGCGATGCCGAACTTTTGAGACTTCCAGGCCAGGAGGACTCAGAGCCCACGGCAGTCGAAGCTGAGGCTCGGAGTCCACTCTGGTCCCACTCTGGTCCCGCTCTGGTCCTGGTCTGGTCCTGATCTCAGTCCCGCTCTGGTCCCGGTGTGGTCCCAGTCCTGGATCAGTCCTGGTTCAGTCCGTATGCAGCTCAAAAGTCCGGCATTGCTGTCACGGAAGTCACGTAAACGGCCGTTATCCATTTTTTCCTTTCTTCATTTAAACACAAAATCAGAAAGTGAAAAAAACCCGAATCATTATCTGTTTTTTCATTTTGGTTTTGGAGACAAATAATGAAGAAATCAGTTGTTTGTTTTCTTATTTTTGGTTTTATATTGAAAAACAAATGAACGAATGATAAACGGATTGTAGAACTCAAGTAGGACACACTTCTCAACTCTCAGAAACCAGTGCAGAGTTTTGTTGTCACAGTAATGCTAATGCACACTTCCTGATTATCAGAAACGAAATTGCTTTATAATTAGATCCAGATAGTTTGCAGCGGACATATTCTGACATCACAAGCTGCGTTTACAATATCTCTGTACTGCGGTGAGACACATTTTGCTCAAATACAGAGGGAAATATTGAGGTCCAGGGACTTTAAAATGAGTTTCGATATTGTTGTTTGTGCGACTCTTTAAACTGGGCCCAGGTCTGAGCACACGCAGCTGTGAGGCAGAGGGCTCGAGTCTGAAGAAGCTCTACGCCTCACTGGGCTCTTTATGAAAACTCACATCACACACACTGGAGAGGTTATTTATAGCGCTGAGAAGAAAGACCCGTCTCCACTTAAGAATTCACTCTGGTCCTAATATCGACCACATTTTAACCCACTTTAGTCCTTTAAACAACTGAAACATGACTCAAAGCTCTGAAAAGTACAAAATACGTCAGCATTAAATACAAATAAAAAACCTTTTAGTTTTAGTTTATGGTTTAGTGTTGTCCCCTTTTTAGTCACAGTTGTGGTTAGGAGTGTCACGATATTCAATTGATACGATATCGTCACAGTATGAACCTCACTGTATGATATTTATTGCAATATCGTGGGAAAGCTCATGATATGGTGGGAAGGCTCACAATTAGGGATATAACAATATCCAAATCTCTCAGTACAATATTTTCACAATATACATCTCACAGTATGATATTTATTGCGATATCTTGTGGAGACTAACAAACAAAACTGTTAATACGCTACTTTTTCCTCTTAAAGTTCCTTGACAAGACTTAATTCAAAGAACTAAGACTTAAAAGTGCTTCGAACTGTTATTTCGTCTTGTAGTCTAGACTGAAATGGAGCAAAGGATCATGGTCTATGTAGTTCCCTCTGTCTTTTTTTATCTATTGCTGTCCCATAACTCTTAATTTAAGCAAAGAGACTTGTAATTCGATATATTGTGATGGTCCACGATATTACTGTGAGAACTTTGACGATATGATATCACTATATTTCGGTTATTGTTACATCCCTAATTGTGATATTGTTGATTAAAAACAGGTACAGTTTTAATTCGGATCTATATTTGATCTACTCCTATAAATAATTGTCATCTTTACTACAAACTTTAATGGTGTTATGTTAGATTTAAAATTTTACTAGAAGTTCGCGTTAGCATTGAGTCACAAAGGCCCATTTTAAGTGTCGTCTGCTGAAGCGACTCGGCAACAGTTTCATAGAAATACCGTATTTTTCGGCCTATAAGTCTCTCCAGAGTATAAGTCTCACCAGCCAAAATACTGCATAATGCAAAAGAAAAAAACATATATAAGTCGCACTTTTTGAGGGAAATTTATTTTATAAAATCAGGGACCAGGAACTGACATTTCCTGTTGAAAGACAAGTTCTGGTAAAAACAATAGAATAAAGAACAACGGGCTGAACAGGCGTTAATATGATAACGCCACATATGAACATTTCTTCAGATAACTATAGCATAAACAACAGAAAATAAGTTTACCAAACTCTCGATCTCACTCCAAATCACTAAATCCATTCAATTCTTCATCCTCGGTGTCACTTCTGAACAACTCCGCGCAACTTCGGTTGTCACGTGAGTCCATGATTTGTCATCCAGTGACTTCCGGGAAAGTTTCATGTCGCACCCTCCTGGTTCCCGTGAAGCTGTGTTCTCCATCCCCGCTTTCCCGCAGTCCCTCACAAGTTTCTCGCTCACTCCAAACTTTCTTTCTGCTGCTCGATTACTTGTTTTCTGCTGCATATTTCACTACTTGCAGCAGGACAGCGACTTTTTCTGCCGGAGACTTGCACAGAAAACTGATACACAAGCCTAGAGCGCCATCTCGCTGCTGTCAGTTTGAACATTTCAATATATAAGTCACAGGAAACACCCAAACCATGAAAAAAGTGCGACTTATAGTCCAAAAAATATGGTAATAGTGGAAATGGTTTTGCCGACCGTCCCTCTGACACACACAACCTACTGAGCATTTCAAATTTCAGACAGTTTACAAAGGTAGACCATGAAATACATCCTAATCTGACAAAAAGCACTTGTGTAAATCAATTCTGAAAAATGCACCGAAAAAGAGCTTTTAAAATAACATTTGTCTCCACAGGACTCTAAGCTGCCTCTGTCCATGCGCTCCAACCTCCTGGACCTGTTCAGCCAGATCGAGAGGGAGTTTGAGAACCTCTACATCGAGAACATTGAACGTAGGCTCGCTCTCGTCCCTCAGCGCCAGTGTGCCTCGTGTGGGTGTAACAGCTGTGCTCTGTGTCCTCAGTGCGCAGAGAGATCGAGACTCTGAACGACCGCCTCACCGCAGACGGACAAACCATAGAGGGATCAGACTTGACCAAAGGAGCTCTCAAAACTAAAGGTACCGGCTCAAATCAAAGTCTTCATTGTAAACTAATAAAATGTTATCGGAAAACTACTATGTACCGTTTTTAGAATAAGATACAGGATTTGTAAACGTTTTCGAATATTACTATTAATATTATTTCGAATTTTGGACATAGGACCTCATTTCCTAGTGAGCCAGAGTGTTGGAGATATGTGGAGACACTTTTGTAAATATTCCATCTAGTCCTTGTATTTGCAGAGGTCGCTGATGCTAGACTAGTGCATGTCAATGGTCATAGATATCCTGCCTCTAAAAACAGTCTTACCCCCTCCACAAAACACCGGAAACAAATCTATTATTACACCAGACTGTTGATGTAAATGTCAGTGTTGACAGAATAATGTTTGAAATAAAACTAACCTTGCATCGCATGAATTGTTGCACGTTGAGGGACTATTTTCTCATATATCAGTCCGCTGCTGCCGAGCTTTCTATCAGGAAGTACAACTCGCTGCTGCTCAGACATAAATCCTTCAAATGCAAGGTTGGTTTTACTTCTAAAATTATTCTATCGACACAGACATTCACATGGACAGTCTGGTGTAATAATAGATTTGTTTCGGGTGTTTTGTGGAGGTGGGTAAGACTGTTTTTAGTGGCAGGATAACTATGACCATTGACATGCACTAGTCCAGCACCAGCGACCTCTGCAAATACAAGGACTGGATGGAATATTTTAAAAAGTGTCTCCACACGTCTCCAACACTCTGGATCACGAGGAAATGAGGCCCTATGTCCAAAATTCCAAAATGTCCCTTTTTAAATACTAATTCTGGACTAAACTATGACTCAAAGAGATGGAATTTTAATTTTGTTTTTTAAATTTAATAAAGGTATCTATGTCCCCAGATATGCAGTAAACATGTCCAAATCAAATAGAGCTTTTCCTGGTAACAGTTTATTCTTCATTACTAAAACATTTGGCATGATGGCCGAGTTACTTAAATTTGTTGTTTTGGTTCTCCAGACAATTATCCATCAGAAAGCAGAATGAGCCACGTGTGAGTTTCTCATTTGCGCTGCCAGATTCAATGCCGAACCTAAAACAACTCTCTTAATGTGCTAGTGCAGCCTCTGCAGCTCACTGATTCTGGAGGTTCTCAGATTTCACATGAGACATAGCCTGTCCATATACTGAGAACTTGTGTGTGTCCTCTATCTTCAGGTTAAGTCTCTGGCAAACCAAAACACTACAACTTAGTGTTGGGCGGTATCCAAATTTTGATACAGTTAAACCTTCTCAGGATTTTACCGTGGTAAACAATATTACCGTATTACCAAAATGTTTTAATACGACTTTGGGAAGACATGAATCCCCACTGCTGTACGGTCTGTGTGTACGACCTGCAGACTTATAATCTCTGAAAAGTTTCACATGAACCTTTTTCGACAGAAGCACAGAACAGACTCACCATCAGCAGCACATCCTCTGTCACAGAAAGAACACTCATATTCCACTGAGTCGTGTCCTTTAGTTTGACAGAAGCTGAACCACATCAGCGCACAAGGAAAGAGCTGTTTTTATCAGCGCTTACTGTATAGTTTATGCAATTGAGCCATGTGGTTTTAAGTTTTGTTTCTGTAAAATGTAAACAAAGGTAGAGGTACTAGAATTTTTTTTGGGACCAACTCTCCTGCGGCCAGACTGACCATCTTGTCTTGGTCTCCCATATGAGCATCATGTGACAACGGAACGAAACTAAAATGAAACTCGAACGTCATCTCCCTATGCAGTTAAAAGAAACATTATAGACACTATTAGTTTTAAATTATGATAGCATTAAACTGAAAATACAACCACACTTTCATTTGTGCTGAGCAAACAAATTTAGGTATCAATAAATTATAATATTATATTAGGTGCGCTGCAGATTTTTTTAATGACGGTAATGAAATTGATACCGTTGTTGCTTTTTGATACCACGGGATACTGTAATACCGTATTACCGCCCAACCCTACTACAACTAATATTTGACTTTTAAAATAGCTTTATGTGTCAAAGCACATGTCTAACTTTAGCTGTATCAGGACATAAATACAGTATGCTAAGAAATCCGTGTATCATTCCTTCATTCGTTTTTGAATATAAATCCAAAAATAAGAAAATGAAAAAACAACAATTTTCTTCATTATTTGTCTCCAAAACCAAAATGAAAAAACAGATAATGATTCGTTTTTTCAGTTTTTGATTTTGATTTTGTGTTTAAATGAAAAATGGAAAAAACAGATAACGGCCGTTTCCCGTTTACGTGACTTTTGTGACTGCGATGCTGGACTTTTGCGTTGCATACGGACTGAACCAGGACTGAACAGGTCCGGGACCAGACCGGGACCAGACCGGGACCAGCCCGAGACTGAGACCGGAACTGAGACCGAGACCAGGTCGGGATCAGACCGGGACCAGACCGCAGGCTCAGAGCCCACGGCAGGGCCGGAGGTCGAAGCTGAGGCTTGGACCCCGCGGAGGCTCAGAGTCAAAGCTCGGAGTCCGCTCTGGTCCCGATCTGGTCCCAGTCTGGTCCCGGTCTCAGTCCTGCTCTGGTTCCAGTCTGGTCCCGGTGTGGTCCCGGACCTGGATCAGTCCTGGTTCAGTCCGTATGTAGCGCAAAAGTCCGGCATTGCAGTCAAGGGAGTCACATAAACGGGAAACAACCGTTATCTGTTTTTTCCATTCTTCATTTAAACACAAATTGAAAACTGAAAAAACAAATCATTATCCCTTTTTCCATTTTGGTTTTGGAGATAAATAATGAAGAAAACAATTGTTTTTTAATTTTCTTATTTTTGGTTTTATCTTGAAAAACGATTGAACAAATGATACACAAATTCTAAGATCCTTTCTCTTTTTCCAGCCAGTCACAGCACAAGTCAACTCTCCCAAAAACTCAAGACCACGTACAAAGCCTCCACCAGCAAGGTACAAGTGTTTGTCTGTGTGCTAATGCCTGTGGGTGCAGTACCGCCTGTCTGCCTGTGTGTGGGGCTATTCCATGTTTGTGCTCTGTCTTCATCTTCACCTGTCTCTCACCACTCCACGCTCCAGCCGCGCTCAAACTCGTGCCAGGCGCGCGTCACCGGAGCCCCATACTTCAGCGTGAGCAGCTGGGAGCTGTGGGGCACGGACTCTTGGGTAATCTTGACTGACCTGTGCCCTTTCTGTGCCACTATGCATGAGCAGGGCAGCCACGGGGGGGAGGAGTCTGCCGCCTCCCCTCGAGAACTCCTCATCCACATGTATGAGCGCCCCCTTGTCCTACGTGAGATAAACTACAGCCTGCGACCGCTGCGACCGCGCTCTGTTCAGATGGGGCATTCAAAGCACCTCGAGACCTTTTATCTCTGTTAAACTGCTTATGACAGCTTTTCACCTTACTTAATTTGCTGGGATAACAAAAATGGTAAATATTTATCATAGTTTTACATCAATTAAGTGACAGTTTGCAGAAAAATATAAGAAGAAGCACTGAGATAAATCACAATCTCCTCTAACTATGTCATCAACACATGCTTTCCAAAATAAGGAGACAATTTACGCACGTTGAAGGCATTTTTCTGACAGATTAGACGTTCATTTTACAAATTAATCTAATGATAACTATTGTGTATATTGTGTTTTTGCCCTTCAACATTATGGTTGAAGGGCTAATCTTCTTCTAAATTATCTTTACGTTATGTCCAATCTGCTGCCTGTTTCCAACCGGAAAGTAGGATCAGAGTCCTGCACGGGTCCATTTTTGGAAACCCGCACTCGCCCGTTAACCCGTGATTATATCAAAGTTAAATCTGCGCTCGCCTGGACAGTTAATAATCCACCCGTTACCCGCCCGTGCCCGTGATAAATCGGGGTCAGCTCATTAGTCTAACAGCATAATAATCCAGGACTAAACCAGGACTGAACCTATGCTGTGTCATTAGTGGATTATAAATATATACACGCTTCATCCGCCAAGACGATCGCCAGGTCTAAACCAGGTCTAAACCAGGACTAAACCAGGACTAACCCAGGACTAAACCAGGACTAAACCAGGACTAACCAGGACTAAACCAGGACTAACCAGGTCTAAACCAGGTCTAAACCAGGACTAAACCAGGACTGAACCAGTGTCATTTGCATAAACATATACACACTCCAACCGTCGAGCCAGTTGCCAGGTGTAAACCAGGAGTAAACCAGGACTAAACCAGGACTGAACCTACACCGTGTCATTAGTGGATTATAAATATATACATGCCGCAACCGCAGAGCCGCTCACCAGGACTAAACCAGCACTAACCCGAGACTAAACCGGGACTGAAGCTACGGCGTGTCATTACCGGATTATAAATATATACATGCTGCAACCGCAAAGCTGATCACCAGGACTACACCGGGACTACACCAGGACTCAACCAGGACTAAACCAGGACTAAATCAGGAGTAAACCAGGAGTAAACCAGGAGCCCAGCGGAGCCAATCATTTCCGCGGATGGTTCTATGTAATAAATACACTAAAGTCTCTCTCTCAGCCTGGTCTGCCATCGTTCCGGGAAAAAAAAATGGGAAATGGTTCTTAGTTCTTAGTATTTTTCTCCCGTCCGTCATTCATTTGATTCACCTGATCCACCCGTTTGTAATCACTACCCGCCCACAAACCTGCTTGTAAAATTCCAGAACGTTAAAACCCGCCCGTTTCTGCAACCATTTGTACCCGACCCGGTGCAGGACTCTGAGTAGGATCATATACTCTAAAAAAATGAAAATATTTAAAGTCTCCATGTACAATAGAAGTAATCATTTAACTAGTCGACTACAGAAAAAAATCTGACTAGTTGACTCCTAAAATGATGGTTAGTTGCAGCCCAATTGAACATTTCAAATTGTGCTCTCCAGCCCCAGTTGTAGTCCTTCTGGATCTGGAAACGTTTGGGAGCAAATGTAAAAGTCGACGCACGTGTTTGATCGAGGGGTTGGTTCTGTGGTGGTCTCTGGATGCCCGCTCTGAAACAGTGTCTTATCTCACTAACATCCTCTTCAGTTGCGCCTCACGCTGGTACACCGTGGGCCCTCACCTCGTGTACTGGTTAACCGTCCTCCCGGGACAGTTGGGATGCTGTGTGAAATGACAGAAACAGTCAGACCTCATGGTGTGCGGTGTTTCTGTGTTAAGTTTGCATGAAAAACCTAGAAAAACCCCTGTCTGTGTGTCCACTGATGAACGTTAATGAAAGAGCAAAGGTCACGTTTCTACAGCACATTTATAAACATTTACACTTCCCCAATTATTCCACAAAGGATAGTTTAATCCTAAAAGATAAACACACAAATGAAAGTAAAATGCGTTACAGAACTTAGCAGAGTTTGACTTAAAGAGCATCTGACAGATTAATATATTTTTGTAATTATGACTTGGTGTGGTGGGAAAACAGTAGAAAACAAAAAGTTATAAATACAGGAAGGATCATTTATGTTATTAGGTTCTTTTTTCAAATCAAGAGTTTGTTTTCATACCTGACAGTTTTGACTGCTCACTGCGATCACGTGATGTTACTGTGACGTGTCTGGTCAGCTGATTTATACAGATTTTGGTTCTGTTTTCCTATCGGTGGAGGCAGGACGACACCAGAAAGACAAAACAGAACCAGAGCGTAAATGTACTGTATTTTTTGGACTATATATCTTCATCCTCTGTGTCACTTCTGAGCAACTTGGCCTCAACCTCCGGAGGTAAACGGAGCGCCGCTTCCTCTTCTGTGTCGCTGTCGTCAGACTCAGCATCAGTTCCAGTTAGAATTATTCGGGGCCTTTCTGAATCCCGACAGGATGGTTTCGTTGTCACTGAAGTCCAGGCTTTGTCCATCCATAACTTCCAGGAAAGTTTCATGGTGCATCCTCCCGGTGTCACAGGTTTCTCTCTCACTCCAAACTTTCTTTATGCTGCTCGATTACAGTTTTCGGCTGAATATTTCACTACTTGCAGCAGGACAGAGGCTCTTTCTGCAGGAGACATGCGCAGTAAAGCCAAGTGACAGTGGTACAGGAGTAATAGAAGCAGCAGATACTGACACAGAAGACTAGAGCCTCAGTGTGAACATTTTATGATATAAGTCGCACCAGAATATAAATAGCAGGAAACACCCAAACCATGAAAAGTAGTGCAACTTATAGTCTGAAAAATACGGTAATGTCATATATGAAATACCCTGCACGTTCTCCAATAAAACATACACCAGAGAAACAGAGAGGGCATTCAGTACATGAAAAAAGGAACATAGGACAGAATGCGAGGAGGAACCAACAAAGGGGAAACACGAGCAACAAAACACAAAACAGAACAGGAACAACTTAAATCAGCCATTTGTGACACTGTAAAAGAGAGAAACACATTATGAACTGGGACAGAGGAAAACAAACGTCGTCGCTGGATTAAAGAGGCAATCGAAATACAGAAATGTTCCCACCGGACGATAAACCCGGACGAGGGGGCTTTTTTACTTTCACACACCTGAGATACTGTCCTGAGGAAGTCGGACTGCAGGTGGCGCTGTCGTCCTGCCTCTACCAGTAGGAAAACAGCACCAAAATCTGTTTAAATCAGCTGAGCGGACACATCACAGCAACATCACGTGACTCTGAGGAAGACCACAGGGAGCAGACGAAACTGTCAGGTATGAAAAAAAAACCTAATAACTACTTATGTTATCGACTGTCACAAAGCCAAAAATTCATGCACAAAGAAGGATGTATTCTGGCAGTGTGGACATTAATTTCATAAAACAGATGTGTTGTAATAAATTTTTATTTGTCAAATCATAACTATTTTATAGTTTCGTGTCCAGCCAGGAAGCAAAACTACAAACCTCACCACACGTCACTACAAAAGAGTAGATCTAAATGAATCTACTGATGTTAACCTGTCATTTGCACTTTAAAAGCCAGTGTAAAAAAGTCTTTTCAGCTCTTCTGTACAGGGGAAGAGAGTTCCCAGAGTTTGTTTTACACAGTGTCCCAGTGTTCGGCTGCTGCTGCTCTCTTAGTTTGACTGGGCTTTGCAGTCCCCCGCTGCTTTAGTCCAGCAAGTTATCGCCGCATTTTCATCATGTCAGTTCTTCTCTTTGGCCCAAAGCCCAGCCTAAAGGAAACCAAGTGTCGCTGTGTGAAGCATACCTGCTCTTGGCTCATCAATCATGCAGTGTAGTGGTCCAGCAGACGCAAATCTAGGCTCTGGATTAGACTAGGGCTGCTTGATATGATCAAAAATTGTAATATTCAATAATAGGGATGGAACGAGACAAAATTTCCATGACATGAGACAAGATTGGGTCCATAAGAGCGAGACAAGATGAGATTTGAACATAATTCATGGTTCGATTTCCAATTTTGGCCTCACAATTTAAAAAAATTTTTTTTAGTTTCATACTTTTGTTTCCATTCTACTTCTGCTTTTTGGGACTGTAAGAGATATAACTCACCAACAGGTACCGTATTTTCCGGGCTATTAATCGCACTCTTAAGCCTTCAAGCCCATCAAAAAACGACCGCTCGCCCCACAATCCAGAGCGCCCTATACACGAATCCACCCGGGTGTCCCAGCACGACTTCAGTAAACTACAAAGTCGCACCACCCGCAGAACACGCAAACACACACGGAGCAGACAGCGACCGCGCGGCGAAAAACACCCACAGACACACTCATCACTCCACGCCGACGAGGAACGGAACGGAGGAACGAACCTGAAAAAGCGAGCGCAATGTGCCGCTTCTAGACACGACTGAACAACCGAGTCACTGTGAACACGCCAAACAAAGTCCCACTGACACATCCATCTGTTGTGTTTCGTTTAAAGTCCGGTGCGGTTTATTTGTGAAAAAAGATTGAAAATAGACCATTTAATCCAGAGCGCCTAATAGCCCGGAAAATACGGTAACCCTTTTTTTGTCCAATCTAAATGTAAACACTTGGGAAAACATCTCACAAGATAATTTTTCTCTCGCGTGCACAGTCTTGTGGCAGTTTTGTCTCGTGAGATCTTATGGCACGAGATCTTGTCCCATCCCTTCTCAATATTTATGTTAAGTATTGAGATAACTATTTTTACTCTGATAGTTTACGATAGTCTACAAAAAGTTCAATTTAATTAAAACAAAAAATGTGCATGCCTTTGTTCATTAGTCAAAAAATGTGTCAAAACAAAAACAGAAAGTCTTTCCAAAAACAGGACATACATATATTTCCTTTTCTTGCGTTACTGATTATTACTTTTGCCAGTATATATTATTATCTGTATTTTTGTAATGTATTTTGCAGCCCTACTGGGGACTTTTAACTTAAGTAGCGTACCCACATTTTTTTTTTATTAGTTGATTAATTATTTTATTGGCGTATTAGGTTTTACATGAACCACAGCGGAAGGGAGAGGGCTTGTCGTAAATTAGTTTAAGATTAAGGAGTAAATCTGCTTTTTTTTAACGCTTCAAATACACGATACTTGTCATTTTCTGTATAAATATTTGTAACTGCATGAATTCTTGTGATCAGGTGAGTGCAGCTTGCGTTAAAGACTTAATTGCTTAAAAGCTTTTGTCAGCGCCACACTTCGCCCTCTTTTGGTTCACTAATAATCGATGCAGAGGATTTAGTCGAGCAAGAATGCCGTTGTGGATTGTAGCCTGAATGGGCCTGTACCTGATTTTAAACCATGAATCAGGAACATGTTTAAGCCCCGCCCACTTGGTCCTTTTCTTCCCATGGATCTGTAATAAAAACTGTGTAAGACCGACTACTGGCCGCTCCAGGTACTGCATAGAAGCGCAAGGCATTTTTGGGGGAATTGAAACTTTCACAATGGTTGAATTTTGTAGGGATTCTGTTTTATTTTCACAACATAAATAAAAGTTAGTTGTGTAAGACTTAGCCTCGTCCCGCTTTGAAGCCGCACTCGCTCCGCTCTAGCAGCTCTCGTTCTGATTGGTCCAAACTCTTCACGCCGCGCACTTTACATACATCACACGGGTGGGAGGAGCTCGTCCCGTATTGAGGAAGTAATGCGGAAGAGAAAATGTGTATGGAGTACGAAAGCTTTCAGAAATATTCGTGTGCATATTTAACTGTAGTTGAGCATAAAATAAATACTCGTAAACTCTTGAATGAGCCCAATTGTACGTAAAATGTGTTGTGTGTATTTTATCCATCAGAATACGAATTGAAAAGTTACGACATCAAGAATTAGAATCATGAGCTGAAGATTTACGATTACGCTTTCTTCAGTACGAACACGAATTCAGAGACGCGACTTTACTGTCAAAAATACGTCGTCACCTCACAGGCATTATTTATTGAGCAGAAGAAACATCGATCGTATACAGACTAAACCTAGCCTGACTCATCAGCCGGTTTTACTTTGTTTCACTTCGTAGAAACCGTCTGACAGCCTTAGATTTCGTTCGCTCGACGGTAGCTGGTACCTTTTGTTATTTAACCAATCGCTGCTATTTGGTCGTGACGTATGTACTTCGCCGCTAACGGGGCTAACTGGAATATTAAGCTTTTCCCAAATCCCGTAGGAAGAAGGGCAATAACGTCTTTCCCCTTGATAAAATTCACCGAACATTCTCTTTGTTCCGGCTTTAAATCCTCGATCTCGGAAATCGTTGACAACACAGAATGTATGACTCTTCGCTGATCGGCTGATGCCCGAACTTGCACTACCGGGGTTTTTGCGAACCGTCTAGTGTATTCTGATTCCTGACCTAGTCCCTGGAGAGAAATAAAAACTGAGCGGAGGCACTAGGTGGCATCAGTCAGCATCGCTAGACTGAACCAGGAAAGAACCAGGACTGAGTGTAGGGACGTTGTGTTGGACCTATTCCTTGAAAGAAATAAACTTTGTCTTTGCTTCAGCATTCATCAGTATCTACAAAAGGTCTTTTTCCACAACATTAACAATATAAACATTAGTTCCTCCCATCTTTATTAAATAATATTGGCCTATAGAACGTTGTCACATCATCAGTACCTGCACAAATGAATATCTAGTTTCAATCCTAGTTTTAGTTTTTAGTTAAATCTGGTACAGGCCCATTCATTTTCAGTATGTAAAGCACAAGTGTCCAGTTGTTTTCCTGTTTGCCTGTTGGTTTTACTGACGAGTCTTGTCTTGTGTGGACTGGGTAAGTGTCTCTGTGCTCTTTCAGCTGCAGTTTGTTCAGTGGAATTTTCCCCAAACGAGCCGGCACCAGCCCCGTGTGCATCGTGCCCATCTTCAACGTAAACACTACGCTCCGCAAAACCTACTCACGCCTTCCTCGCATTTTGAAGTACGACACACAAGGCCTTGGGCTATGAAAAAAACACAGACATGCAGTATTTTGTGTCTTTAATCGTGTTTTTCATGAAGGCTTCGATAGTGTCAGTTCAAAATGTGACGAAGATGAAGGAAGCTCCAGTTCTGACTAATAATGACTGACAAAAACCTTGTGTATTCATGGGTTTCAGCTTCCTGTTGGTTGACCATTCAAATTATATATATTTTGAATGGTATTTTTTTTATATTTTGCTCTGTCAGTGGTCCTAACTTCTCATCATTCAAGACCCATGGATACAGTGTTTGATCCCCTTTTGTTGCATCATAAAAATACTTAATGCTTTTACAGTGCAACAGGAGGCATAGACCCGCACACAGTGGGTTTATGCTTTGCTTTGATTTGGCTTTTTCCATGCTTCTCTCTCCTCTAATCCTGAATTATTCCCGATGGATAATAATTGCAAACCAGCTCTTTTTATGTTCGTTCAAAACATCTAAAATCCTTGCCTTTTAGAAACACTGCGTAACTTTTTGGTGGCAAGCTGCCGGTTAAAACCACAGTTTGGAACATTTTTAGAGGATATAAGTTCTAAGCAACTGTCTTCCATAGTGATGAGCAGGTGGTGTGCCAAGTTAGAGTCATATCTGTGGAAGGGCAAGCCTGCTTTGAGAGTTTCATTTAGAGAAACTTACCTTCACAAGAGAAAGATGTTCAGTTGCAGACAAAAATACCGTTAAGCCAGGGGTCATCAAATTAAGGCCCGCGGGCTGACTACGGCCCTCCACGCCCCTTTGACCGGCCCCACACCACTTGAACTGGCCCTATGAGACAGTGCTCAAAAGTTGTTTAAATTACTTTTTGGGAAATAATAACACATCTGAATCTTGTATTTTGTTGATTTTTTCTATAAAAAAAGGATATTGATATGAAGTATTTATATTTAAATAATTGTATGACGTATTTCTATTTTTGCCGCCAAATTTTCGTCACCCGACAAACTCGAGATCAAACAGTGACAGTCGACGCACGCGCAGAGTTCTGTAGTGCAGTTAAGGACAGAAAAATGGTAAGTGTTAAAGTACGAAAACTTGACAGAAAGTGCGTGAGTTTACAAAAAACAGTAGACGACTGATTATTTTGTTGTCCAGTGTAAGGAGCGTGCAGTTTGTCCGATATGTAAAGAAAGTGCGGCCATTTTATAATCTGCGTCGCAAAGGTCATAAAATTCTGTAATTCGGCCCCCCGTCACAGTCAGGAGCGATAATGTGGCCCCCAGAGAAAAAAAGTTTGGTGACCCCTGTGTTAAGCAATATGAAACGCACATTTATGAAAGTAAAAAAAAAAAACAACACTAAAGAAACACATACACACAAGTTAAACCCGAGCTTTTGCGCCCCGCCCTCTCTAAAGCGCAGGTTAACCGTCCCCTCCCCTCTCTGAAAGCCTCTTCAAACTGCTCGTCTCTCACCGCGCGCTTGTCCTCTGGCTCAGATCGTGTCCAGCTTCAAGGCCACCACCTCGCGGGCCGTCTGCCAGTTGCTGAGGGAGTTTGTCGGGCATCGAGATGGCATCTGGGACGTCAGCATCACGAAGACACAACCCGTCGTCATGGGAACAGCTTCTGCAGGTGGGTATTCAGCAGAGTTATGTCGGTAAGAAGAACCGAAATATTGTGAGATCGTATTGGCAAAAGTCTCACAATATTTGGAATTATAAACCTCTTTGCTTAAATACATTGTTTTATTGCAACAACAACTAATAAACATTAATTAATTATTAATCATTGCATTTATAAAGCACCGTTTAAGACACCCAAAGCGCTTTACAGAGCATTATTCATAGAGCTCCACACTCTCTGGTAGCAGACTGATAGAAGTGAGGCTGCCAATCTGCATCACATCCCCTCCGACCACCACCAACACTCAGGCAAACACCACTTTCATACTAGGCAATGTGGGTGAAGTGTCTCGCCTAAAGACATAGCCCCACTGTGACAAGATCAGGCTTTGACAAACTGGTTTGGTCACAAGGGGAAAGACAGAGAGCAAAGAACATGAATACATTTCTTTTACATCTTAATACTTGGAGTTATGCATCTGTGGTCCTTTAGCACACACCTGGTTGTCTGGGTGTTCCTCATTCCTCTCTCTAAGTTGTAAGTTGAGGTGTTTGTGCTCTTCCTCAGACCACACTGCCATGCTGTGGAGCATTGAGACCGGGAAGAGTCTGCTCAAGTATCTGGGCCACCAGGGGTCAGGTGTGTGCTGCAGACATAAACTCAGATTTAAACATGAGAATATGTCTTCACCTGTCTCCTGTGTTTGTGTTCTACAGTCAACTCCATCAAGTTCCACCCCACGGAGCAGATGGCCCTCACAGGTATGGGCCGCCTACACGGTTCACATCAGCCCGAAAGCACTGATCACTGCGTTTTCATAACACTGGGATTGAAGCGCCGACCTGTACGGGTCACAGCTGATGCATTTGAATATGACTCACAGATTTAACTGAGTCACCAGCAGAATTATTATGCACAGCATTACTGTTACAGCCAATCTGTGCGGCACATTTTATTTTTCATTACACACATGCTTTAAGAGTATAATGCTAAATCAGTCTCCTTGTCCTTGTTGTGTTTCAGCCTCTGGAGACCAAACGGCTCACATCTGGAGGTTCATGGTGCAACTGCCGACCCCTCAACCTGTCACAGACACCACTGTAAGGAGCCGCTCTGAGCTCTGAGCCGCTCTGAGCCGCTCTGAGCTAGTGTGAATGGGCCGAGCTCAGTGGCTTGTGTCTCTTGATTAGCCTTTAGGTTAGGCACAGCTAGGTACATCCTGTTGGGTTGTTTCTGGAGGCGCTCATACCCTTTGTTTGCTTTCTATTCTGCTATACTGAAATCACTTTGTGACATAAAAAATTAAACGCTGGAGGAAGTTCTATTTGCAGAATAAGAACGCAAACGTTTGTCCAAGTTTGATGAGACGTTTCCCAGTAATTACAGAAAAGCACACAAAGCCTAAGAAACTTAAGAGGGTGAATTAGACTGGACGAAGACCCAACAAAGACCAGACATAGACCCCACAAAAGACCTGCCAAAAAGCTCCTCCCAGGTTATGCCCATAAACATACAGTCTTTCTTTTTTCAGAGACACACTCGACTAGTCTTGATCATATGTAGAACCAGGTGTGGGTTTGTTTATTTCTCTCTACTTAGAACTTTAGAAGACTGTCATATCTATCTGCGCTGTTGGGCAAGTTACTTTAAAACTGTAATGTGTTATTTTTGACTTGTTACTGTCATTTCAAAGTGATTTGTTACATTACAATATTACTTTGTTTAAAATGTAAAACATTACACGACAGCACTTTTAAGTTACTCTCACCTTTTGCGCCGTATATGGACTGAACCAGGACTAAACCAGGTCTAAACCAGGAGTAAACCAGAGCTGAATCAGGACTGAACCAGAACTAAACTAGTTCTAAACCAGAACTGAACTGAGGACTAAACCAGGACTAAACTAGGTCCAAATCAGGACTAAACTAGGACTAAACCAAAGCTGAACCAGGACTAAACCAGGTCTAAACCAGGACTAAACCAGGTCTAAACCAGGATCAAACCAGGACTAATCTTGGACTAGAATTTGGATGCGATTGGGCGTCAGCTGCGGTTCGCCCCATGGAGCTCAGAGTTCTGCGCCGTCCTTTTGCTCGCGGTTACCTGACGTGTCTCTGACGTTTCACCACTGCTGATATCGCGGTGATTTTAGCAAATTTGTATGAAGAAAAACGAAAAACCCACCACTTCAATCCTTAAAAATGCATTGTAACTGGTCTCCTCTGGCACAACTGATTGGCAGACGGCCCAGTGCTTGTGTAATACCTGCACCCGTGGTACACTAGTATGCAGGTGTTAAACCCTGACCGCTCTCCTGCCCACCGATAAACCCAAGCTCACATACCACATGACCACTCTGACCAATCTAGAAACTCCCTCTCCAGTAAACAGGTCCATGGGAGCCGCTCTGATCTCGCCTCTACTGTACTCTGACACCACTGCAGGTGAAAATAACAGGAATTTTGTTTCTCAGCAGACGTCTTGTGAGGAGGACGTGGAGTGCTCGGACAAAGACGAGGCCGACGCAGACGGGGAGGGGCCAAACGAGTGCCCGTGTGTGCGCGTGCCCACCACCACACTGCGCAGTCACCAGGGTGTGGTCATAGCTGCGGACTGGCTGGTGGGGGGCAGGCAGGTGGTCACCGCGTCGTGGGACCGAGCGGCGAACCTGTACGACGTGGAGACCTCCGAGCTGGTGCACTCGCTCACTGGTATGACACATGCAAAGGCTGTTGATGTAAAACTGTGAACTAAAATGTATATTTTCAAAAAAGAAAATCAAATAAAAGGGACGGACAGAGACGAAATCCAAGCTCCTAATGAAACAGTACAACTTTAAAGGGTTACGAAGTTAGTTTTCTGGTGGGGCGTCTAGAACCTGCTTGTCTCCATGGAAATGTTTTAGTCTGAACTGTTCTACAGTATGGAAGTTAACATATCTATTCTGGATTTACCGTATTTTTTGGGCTATAAGTCACTCTGGAGTATAAGTCGCACCAGCCAAAAAATGTGCAATGAAAAAGAAAAAACATATATAAGTTGCACTTTTTTGGGGGAAAATCAGAAATCAGGAACTGACATTTCCTGTTGAAAGTCATGTTCTAGTATTAACAATAGAAGAGAGAACAACAGACTGTTAACGTCACATATGAACAGTTCTTCAGATAAACTATAACATAAACAACAGAACAGAACAAGTTTAACAAACTCTCCATCTCACTCCAAATCACTAAATCTATTGAATTCTTCATCTTCGGAGGTAAACAGAGCGCTGCTTCCTCTTCTGTGTCGCTGTCGTCAGACTCAGCATCAGTTCCAGTTAGAATTATTCTGGTCTTTCTGAATCCTGACAGGATGGTTTCGGTGTCACTGAAGTCCAGACTTTGTCCATCCATCCAGTGACTTCAGGAAAGTTTCATGGTGCATCCTCCCGGTGTCACAAGTTTCTTTCTGACACTTTCTTTCTGCAGCTTGATTAACGTTTTCAGCTGCTGATTTCACGACTTCTGATCTGATCTGATTTTCTTTTGTGTTCAGTCTACTCAGTCGTCTTTATAAGTTTGTTTAAGTGTTAAATTGTTCAGTGGTGCAGAAGTAATGGTGCGATCGACTGACATGATACAGACAGGACAGTGGCTCTTTCTGCAGGAGACATGTGCAGTAGAGCCAAGTGACAGTGGTACAGGAGGAACAGGAGCAGCAGATACTCACACACAAGACTAGAACCTCTCATCGCTTCAGTGTGAAAATTTTAATATATAAGTTGCACCGGAGAATAAGTCGCAGGAAACACCCAAACCATGAAAAAAAGTGGGACTTGTAGTCAGAAAAATACGGTACATTGCTCATATTTACCTTGAAAGACCATTTCAAAATCTGGCAAATTGGCCTAGTCGCGATTCCTGCAGGTCTCCATGGATATAGACATTTCTGGAGACAATTAGATCCTTCAAGCTTTCCGACTATCTCTCCCACAACTCTACGAAGTTTAAAGCACGAGTCACCTGCGTTACGAGACACACATTCTTCAAAATAGTAAAAGACAGTGACTTAACCCCCATCGTGATTCGTGGGTTCACAAGCCACTACAGTCACATTATGATGGTAGAACATTTAATTTTGGAATAAAATGATGTATAGTACTTGTAATGTATTGTACCTCATAAGGTGATGTTTACATTCCTTACACCACACTCGTATGCCAGAGGTGCCGTTTTGTGGAACATTCCTCCTGGTTGTGTTGTAATTTGTGAGTCTGTTGTTCAGGCCACGACCAGGAGCTGACCCACTGCTGCACCCACCCCACCCAGCGCCTGGTGGTCACAGCCTCCCGGGACACCACCTTCAGGCTGTGGGACTTCAGAGACCCGTCCATCCACTCGGTCAACGTCTTCCAGGGACACACCGAGTAAGTCCACACATGTCAGATAGAGATAGATAGATAGATAGATAGATAGAAAGGCCCTATACTTGCTTTTTTATTTTAATTTGCTTTACTTTTATTTAATCAGGAGCCCTTTTCATTACAAGAAAAACACACACGTCTCAGTCATCACAATTTGTACTTGAATTTATTAAAGTGACACCACAGATTCCAATTTAAGATGTTTCTGTAAACTATTCAAAGACCTACCTGTTCCACTACCGTGTTTCCCCTCAGGCCTGTAAACGTGCGGTGTTGTGTTCCTCTGCTTGCAGCACCGTCACCTCGGCCGTCTTCACAGTGGGAGATAACGTGGTCTCCGGCAGTGACGACCGGACAGTCAAAGTGTGGGACCTGAAGAACATGAGGTCGCCCATGGCAACCATTCGCACCGACTCGGCTGTCAACAGGTGAACGCCGCCGTACCGTACAAACACACGGAGTCCCAGGGTTGAATCAGATGTACTGTGAACTCAGAGGAGGCGACGTAATCATCCGACTTCGACAAAAGAAGAGCAGCCTGTGAAGCAACAGCCACAATAACATTAAAATAGCATTTGCATGACTTCATTATCTTTGCTGATTCATTGGGAACATGTGTAAAAAAAACCTAGTTGTTGCGACAGAGATGGGACTTGTTTTGTCTTGCAGGAAGATCAACTTGTAGGAAGAGAAACTCATTATTTAAGAACTTTTCGCAGAGTTGTGATGCTGATAATTAATTAGAATCTAAAGCTGAATTTTGGCTTAAAGGGACAGTTTGGAATTTTGGACATAGGACCTCATTTCCTAGTGAGCCAGAGTGTTGGAGACATTGTTTCAGCCCTAATGTGAGGATGTGATCTGCTGTTCCAGGATCAGCGTGTCAGTCAACCAGAAGATCATCGCTCTCCCTCACGACAACCGGCAGGTGCGGCTGTTTGACATGTCCGGAGTGCGGCTGGCTCGGCTCCCACGCACCAACCGACAGGTGGGTCTCACACTCACGTCTGTGGGTTAATAGGAGGGCCAGACTAACATACTGCACACTGCCGCAGCCTTCTGTTTTATTTATTTCATTTTCAGTGGGTCATTGTACATTAATAAACATTACAGTAATGTAAATGTGCCTGAATTAGCCCGTCTGGAGGTGCCTCCGCTGTATCTGTTACACTGGACAGTAATACAGGAGGACAGAGAAGGTGGAGCTAAACCATGCAGAATTTTATACACTAAACTAATATGATGCAGTTTCAGAAGGTTTTTCTATAGAGCATGTATGTGCGTAGGATAGAAGTCTGTGCATATTTGTCTGTAGTTGAGCATAAAATAAATATTATTATTAGGGGTGTCAAATTATCGCGTTAATTGCGATTAATTAATTACAGTCATATTTAGCGCGTTATGTTTTTTAATCGCGTTAATCTCATTTTTAATCTCTAACTTTACTGTTTCTGTATGCGAGTTGCTTTATTATAAAATCTGTTTTTATGCGTTGCTGGGACAACAACACACACACACAAAAACACATTTATACATTTTTTTATTTTGGTAATTCCACTCATTGCCGGAAACCCACACAAAACGCGCGCAGTAAGAGCGATGTAAACATTATGGTAACGTTGGCGGCGTCAGTCGCACAATGGACGAGGTCGTAGAGCCAGTAGAACAGAGGCAGCAGTGCACAGGTAAAAACACATTCGTGTCTTGGAAATTATTCTCCCGACGTGAAATATAAAAGAAAATAACAAATATAATATCGCCTACAACTTAAATGTCACTGGTGAAAACAACCTGCATAGACTCATGATGTCTGCACTACTGTCCTATAGTGACCTGCCACATGAGGGGACACGTACACAAACACACACAGACAAACACAAACACACACACACACACACACAAACACACACAAAACACAAACACACACCTTCATCATCGTCATTAACCTGAGAACGCGCGGACCACGTTTCCTTCCATAGTTACTGCGCGGACACTGACGTGCTCCCGTGAGCCGCGTGTGGATCGTGTTTTCTCGCGTACGCGACGTAAACCGCGCTTCCTACTGTGAACCTCTAACTAACACCAAGACTAAAACCAGGACTAATCCAGTCCAGGACTAAACCAGAACTAAACCAGGTCTAAACCGGGACTAAACCAGAACTACACCAGAACTAAAACCAGAACTAAAACCAGGTCTAAACGAGGACTAAACCAGGTCTAAACCAGGACTAAACCAGAACTAAAACGAGAACTAAACCAGAACTAAAACCAGAACTAAAACCAGGACTAAACCAGGACTAAACCAGGTCTAAACCAGGACTAAACCAGAACTAAAACCAGAACTAAAACCAGGTCTAAACCAGGTCTAAACCAGGACTAAACCAGGACTAAACCAGAACTAATACCAGGACTAAAACCAGGATTAATCCATTCCAGGACTAAACTAAGACTAAAGTAGGACTAAAGCAGGTCTAAACCAGGACTAAAACAAGGACTAAAACCAGTGATCTCATATATAAAGCATTTCTCTATCAATAATATTTTTAATATGGTTAAGGAAAGACTGGACTTTTTATTGTCTTTAAGTAGACAAAAGTTATTATGTTCAGATTTCCTCGTCTTTGCTACTTTACAACAAACAGTTTCTTATTCATGGAGACTTGGGCTCAACAGACAATTTGGGGAGATTTGTTAAACAATAAATGACTTTATAAAGTCACTTTTTTTTTGTTCTATATCAGTCTTTTGATCTGCCACAATAATGTAATAATGAATTTAAATGAAAATACCTCAAATTGAAGCTTTTCTCAGCAATTTTTAGATGAGATTAAAATGAGATTAATTAGATTAATTAATTACAGATCATAATTAATTAATCTATAAATTTTTTTAATCGCATGACAGCACTAATTATTATATACTCTTGAATGAGTCCAGTCGTAAATAAAATGTGTTGTGTGTATTTTATCCATCAGAATTGAAAAGTTACAACATCAAGAAAATTTACGATTATGCTTTCTTCAGTACGAATACGAATTCACAGATGTCACTCGACTGTCAAAAATACGTAATCACTTCACAGGCATTATTTATAGAGCAGAAGAAAGATCGATTGGGACTGACCTCGGTGCAATGCGGGTGCGGGTGAGGCGCGGGCCTGTGGAAAGAATATGCAAGAAGCCTACCTTTGCTGGACACCACAGTGGTTTCTGACGTCAAGCCGACAAAATCACATGAGCAGAACGGAAAATCAGATGCGCAGAACTGACAGAACCGGTGTATTTTCAGAATAAAATATCCCCACACACTCCTCATACTTCATGAATAAACTTCCACATTGTCGATAGCCATGGTATTCAAACACGCAAGAAAGTGGTGGTAATGTGAAATGCCTTCGTTTACATACTAATCTATAGATGGATCACACATTTTTCCAAAAAAGTGAGCATCAAACCATGATGTTTGTTTTCTCAGTGGGTGAGTGGGTTTTCTCAGTTTCACATAGATTCACACAGATCTGATTCCCTTTTGCATTTGTGGAGTTTGCAAACTTCCGAAGCCCATTTCTCGAGCTGTTAGGATCCAACAACCACACAATTACGATGTCCGAATCCCATAACTAAAATATGACAATATCAGAACCAAAAACAAAAGTGATATGGTTCAGAAGACAAGAAAAGATCGGCTTTGTCAATAGACGCATCCCACTGAGAAAACAAACGTGGCGGTGTGATGCTCACTTTTTCGTAAAATCCTTCCCGGTTAAATCCTTCCCAGTATGCATTGCGCAATGACTGGAAGTCCAAAATTCGTGATGCATCTATTGCATGAACTCCCAACTAGACCACGAATCCCCGCGAACACCTTGTTTCGCACCGCACCGGATCCGAACCCCACCTGCAGTCGGTGTACATCAGCGGTCATAGTTCTTTGCTGTCTCTGCTCTGACTCTTCTGCTGCTCTGCTTCCAGGGGCATCGGCGCATGGTGTGCTGCTCGGCCTGGTGCGAGGACAGCGCCCCCTGTAACCTGTTCACGTGCGGCTTCGACCGGCAGGCCATCGGCTGGAACATCAACATCCCGGCTCTGCTGCAGGACAAGTGACCGAGCCGCCGCGCCGCCGCTCCAGGCCTGAGCACTGTGTCACGTGTGCGTTCAACAGAGAGAGAGGGGGAGCGAACCTTTAAGTAGTGCACTTTAAACACACGCCGCTGCTACGGTGGGAGGCTTTCAGAGCACAAACGCGAGATGGGTGAGAAGCCCGGACCACTGCCACGACCACACCACTTTCTCTGTGTCCTGCAGAGGAGCTGGTCTGGTTTGAAGAAAGGACTCAAAGAAACGATCTGTGACGTGTAACTGTTCGTAAACCACTAGAGGAAACCGCCACGTTAGACTTTTGGTTTGACCGACAGCACAGAGGGAGCAGCCGTTTGGATTATTTTGGTTAAAGAAATGCCGACTTTGCCAAACTCTGCCCCCTGTGCTGTGAGTTGACTGTGATGGGCGCACTGGCTCTTTTCAAACGTTCTTTAGGATTTAGGAGACAACACTTCATTATCATTCACAGATTTTTCTTTTTTACCATCATGTTTAAAAACGGTGGCACATTTTGTACATTTCCTGGTGAATGATCAGTCACTTGTCTCATGAACGTGTTGTATTGCCTGGAATGTTCTATATTAGCTTCTATCTTTTTATTTATTGAATTACAAAATACTTATCTGACCGGCCATATCCACACGCTTTGACCAAACTTTGCAAAAACGTTCAGTGTGTATCTGGAGCTGTGTCGTGTCTCCCTGATTTCAGAGTGCGTGCTCTGTTCACATCAAAAACAAAGCAGAAAAAAACAAAACAAAAAACCTCAAGGAGTGAGAAACTGTGCGGATTTTTACACCAAACTATCGTAGCTGAATGTTTGGAGAATTTTGGTGGAACAAAACACAACTCCACGTGCGGTTTGTTTGTGACGAGGAAACAAAATTATAACACAAATCAGAAAATACAAAACATTCCAGGCAAAACGGCAACATCTTCCAAGAAATAAAAAAGGTTTTGGAGCCGCCACCGTATTATTTTACAGTTTCCTTCACTGTTTTTGTCACTTTATCGCTCTGTTTTCACGTGCGGTTGCCAGCCCAGTGTGCCCATCAAACTAAACGTCTTGCCCGTAAGCGTGGATTTTCGCAGGTTTGTAAATTTTGCCTACGAGAACCGGCTCTTACGATTCGCTTGAAAGAATCACGAGGAGCAAAACCAGAGCGTGTCGGCAGTGTGTCGGTGCGTCTGGCCAGAATACTTTAACCATTCCCTGCATAAAAAAAAAAAAAAAAAACAACTCACAAACTCTCGTATCGTTACTGCACAATAATGAGCCTTATGTGTTCTGCCTCTCCGCTTTACCGAGGCTTTACTGTAAACTTAGCTTTCTCAAATATTTCTATCCACAAAGAGCATTTTGTTATGATTTTATACTCACGGTGCTGCGTTCGAATTGATCCTTTTAAATGTCCGCGTAGTGCATTTGTATTCTGTGTTTTATCCCGAGCAGAGACAAGATACGGGGCCGGTGAAAAATGAAACTGTAAGAGAGGACTTAAACTTCAAAACAGTATTACTCAAGAAGAAGTACTTAAGAGATTACTCAAGTACGTGTTATATTTAAGTTAAAGGGACAGTTCGGAATTTTGGATACAGGGCCTCATGTCCTAGAGCAGGGGTGTCAAACTCATTTTGGTCCGGGGGCCGTATCCAACCTATTTTGATCCCAAAGGGGCCGGATCAGAAAACTCATGTCATATAAACCCCAAAAATATCAATAAGTTCAAATATTTGTGCAGAGAAACACAAATCTATTACAGAAATCTTTTTTAATTGATGAACTCTTCCTTTTACAAAATATTATAATATTATGAACAACCTGAAACTTTAAGAAAAATACAATTTCAACACAATGTTTTAACATTAACTTGTATGTAAATAGGAATAAGTCAATTTTTGTTGTAAAATCCTGCACTCGGCTTCACTTTTCTCATTTTTGACATTTTGTTGATGAGGGTGTCACGGTCAACAGTCAAAACGATCGTCCTTTAAGAGCATTTGGAAAGAAGCAAGTCTTCATTTGTGCTGCTCTGGTGGGAGGGGCCACGTACAGAGACACTGGAGACGCTGCTGTGATAAACGCCACAGAAAATTTACAATCTTTTAATAGAAAATATAATTAAAATATTTTAGTAGAAAATCAGCCGAGGGCCAGATTAAAGGTCATACGGGCCGTATGTTTGACACCTGTGTCCTAGAGTGTTGGAAACGTGCTGAGACTTTTTAAAATGTTCCATCCAGTCCTTGTATTTGCAGAGGTCGCTGGTGTTAGACTAGTGCATGTCAATGGTCATATTTATCCTGCCACTAAAAACAGTCTTACCCCCTCCACAAAACACCCGAAGCAAATCTATTATTACATCAGACTGTCCATGTAAATGTCTGTGTTGATAGAATAATGTCTGAAATAAAACTAACCTTGCATCTCATGAATCGTCGCATGTTGAGGGACTATTTTCACATATATCAGTCCGCCGATGCCCAGCTTTCTATCAAGAAGAACAACTCACTGCTGCTGCTCAGACATAAATCCTTCAAATGCAAGGTTGGTTTTATTTCTAAAATTATTCTATCAACACAGACATCTACACTGATACATTGATTGCAAAAGTAACAAATTACTGTAATGTGTTGCTTTTTGCTGTACCGCAGTAACGTGACATTACAGGGAAAATAATATATTTTACTTGGTACAAATGTCAGTAACATGCGTCACAATGCTTTTTTAACCTGGATTGAAGTGGTTGGTTTTTTTGTTTTTATTCATACAAATGTGCTAAAATCACGGCGATATCAGCAGCGGTGAAACGCCATTGTTACGGTTCCGAGTGTCGGGACGGGCTGGAGATGCACCCACGTAGACCGTCGGGTGACCGCGGGCGAAAAGACCGACGCAGAACTCCACACTCCACGGGGCGATTCGCAGCCGACGCCCGATTGAGCTTTGCGGAGTCTCTGTTCCACAGGCTCGGTGTTCTCTCAGGGGTGGTCCTAGATTCCAGTCCCAGTTTAGTCCTGGTTTAGACCTGGTTCAGCTCTGGTTTAGTCCTAGTTTAGTCCTGGTTCAGTTCTCCTGGTTCGGTCTTGGTTTAGTCCTGGTTTAGTTCATATATGGTGTAAAAGTTCAGCATGTTCACAGTTATTTTGTTGAGAGTAAATTAAAAGTGCTGTAATAGTCGTGTAATATTTTACATTTTAAACACAGTAATATTGTAATGTAACGAATTACTTTGAAATGACAGAAACAAGTCATAAACAACACATTACAGTTTTGAAGTAATTTGCCCAATAGTGAGTGTAATAATAGATTTTCTTTGGGTGTTTTGTGGAGTGGGTAAGACTGTTTTTAGTGTCAGGATAACTATGGCCATTGACATGCACTAGTCCTAACACCAGCGACCTCTGCAAGTACAAGAACTGGATGGAATTTTTTTTTTTAAAGTGTCTCCGCACGTCTCCAACACTCTGGCTCACGAGGAAATGACGCCCAATATCCAAAATTTTAATTAAATTTGGTATTTTCAAAGGACAGAGACAGATCTGAGGGAAGCGCTGCAAGAAACACAAACGTTCAAATCATTTCATCTTGTCAACATAAAAGCTTTTGTCACTTATACACTTAAAAGGAAGTAAACGTACGAGTAAGATTTAGTTACACTGTCAAATATATTACTCAAGTAGGAGTAAATAAAAATATGGGGTCTGAAAACTACAAAGTTACTCAACAAAATGTATCCGAGTAAAGCACAACGAACTTCAGAAGTAGTAGTGTTTGTCAAAGTGTGTCACATGTTGAATAATTACTGTTACAGAACTGTTTTTTATTGTTTTTTTGGTTTTATTTTGTTTCGCTTAGACGGTGAATCCTGTAAAGCAGCTCGTGATGGAGGTAGTGACGTTCTGAAACGACATTTTGCGCTACGGAGACGTTCTGTAGACTCGCTTAATCGGCGTAAACAATAACTTACTTCTAATTATTCAACTTTAACCTTCAAAATAAAACGACAAAGCTTCAAATGTTGTGTTTCAAGGTGGGCAATATTGGCAAAAATGTATAGCTTGATTTTTACATTTTTTTTATGAGCCCACTGACGATATTAATCTTGACAAAAGTGCACAAATATTTACTAATTTAGCCAAATAGCAATTGCGGTTTTATCATTTCTGGATGTATTTCCCACCTGTAGATCCGTGTGACTTCCTGTTACAGTGATGCAGTAGACCTTTGTTTGTCAATGTGGAAGAATAAAAAACGTCTGAACTTCATTGTATTTGTGTGTTTGTGTGATTGACAGGGCCTGGCGTTTTTACTTCACCACTTTGGAACAAAAAGCCACCAAGATTAAAACAAACGAAAAAGGATATTTGGCTGTTCAAATTGGTGAAAAGTGGATTTTGTAAGGAAAATTGGTAGACATTTGCCTGATTCAGCAGCCGGTTTCACTTCGCGGAAACTGTCTGACCTCGCAGCATTAGGATTTGTCGTGACGTATGTAATTCGCCGCTAAAGGGGATAACTGGTGTATTAAACTTTTCCCAAATCCCGTAGGAAGAAGGACAATAACGTCTTTCCCCTTGATGAAATTCACCAAACATTCTCTTTGTTCCGGCTTTAAATCCTCAATGTTGGGTAGGGCTGGGCATCATTAAGAAGCTGCCGATACGATACATACCTCGGTACATAGGCCACGATACGATGCATATCTCGATACAGTGCACTTTTGATGCGATACGATTCGATATGGTTCAGTAAAAAAATAGTCTAAATCTTGGCTGTGACACTAAAACTTTGTTAAACCACTTCTTGTGCAAATTTCATATGAAACTAGGGCTGAGCAAAATTTTAAAAATTAATCTTGATTAATCGCATGAGTTCAAGCGATTAGCCAGAGCCGGGCCCACGGCTCGCAGAGTCTCAGTCAGAAAAAAGTGTAAAGAAAAGGCATCAAACTTAAATGCTCACGGTGGACTTTTTCAAAATAAAAGCCAGTGAGAAACAGACGTTTACAATAAAATAAATAAATTAATAATAAAAACTGCGTTAAAATAATTGTGTTAATGACTTAATTAGTTAACGCAAAATTAATGCATTAAAGTGTCTGGCCCTAATATAAAACAAACATTTTAATCATTAAAACAGTGAAAATGTCAAATGTGTCACATAAACATTTCCTTCCTCGAAACAAACAACAAAACTTTAGTACTGTAACAAAATAATTTAGTAAAATATACCAAAAAATACTTAGTGATATATCGATACAGCAGCCCACGATATTGATATTGTATCATCACATTAAACAATACGATATTGATATTTTTGCACACTTCTAATCTCAGGAATCGTTGCTAACACAGAATGTCTGGCTCTTCGCTGATTAGCTCACACTTCGGGGGTTCTTGCAAAACATCTAGTGTATTCCGATTCCTGACCTAGTCGCTGGAGAGAAATGAAACTGAGGTGGTGCCAGCCTGGACTGGTAAACATTGGAACAAATACAGAACTTTAGTAAAAACTGTCATTTTAATGGTGTTGATTCTTCCACAGAGAAGCAGCAACTCCCATTTCTCAAAATTCTGCTTTAGTCTTGAGAGAAAAAGCTGAGAGTTTGATTCTATAGGTGAGTTTCAGATGACGTCATCGTTATTAAAAGCCCGCGTTGCTGCTGGGAAACATTTGTCGGAGGCAAGAAACAGGATAACAGTCAAACACAGTGCGTAACCTCACGTATTTATCCCCGATAATGGTAAATTCCTGTTGCATTATTGGATGCACAAATAGAAGCACGGAAGAAGGAAAAGAACCGCTAACGGTGAATTAAACGGCTTTCAAACATCCGCAGAGCAAACGTAGAAGATCCTAACAAACCGTGGACTCCAACAAGTTCAACAACACATCGAGACTCTTGGAGGTTTTCATCTTTTCTGCTGTGAATGGCCCAGGAGTTTCCACCAAGTCATTGTGGATATCGCCCAAGTGAATATTTGTCCAGGTAGTTGAAGATTCTGACCAGAAATTTGGTTTGGTCCACCTTTTGTAGGGGTTGAAAACGGTGATTTGGCGTCCGTCGATGCTTATGACCATCCATCCATTTTCTTCCGCTTATCCAGGGCCGGGTCGCGGGGGCAGCAGTCTAACCAGGGACCAATTTCTGGTCAAATGGTCTTGGGTCGTCTGCCGTTAGAGTGGATAAATAACCGGGATCAATACCCTTTACGTGCTTTCTCACTTCGTCCGTCATGTTGAATTAATGTTTCTTGCCGCTGACCAAAATAATTCCCAGCATGCAACGCGCGTTTTTGTCAACAATGAAACTCGCCTATAGATCCTGATGATTTTGTGTCATCCATGTTATGAGGTATTTGAACTTCTTAAATAAAATCTTGTGATAAAATGATAAAACTGAGCTCAAAAACCAGGTACACACAAGAGCAGCCACCACTGAGCCCAGTCCACTGAATCATCCTGAAACTTGTGCTCCTTCCTGAAGCTGGCAGAAGTTCACGTAGTCGCCCACAGAGTAGAGGCGGACCCCCAGAGCGAGCGGCTGCGAGGGGCCGGTGCTGGTCGTGTGGAGCAGGTGGAGGTGAGGGGTCAGACTGTAAAAGCTCAGCTGACCCGCGGCCTGGTCCACGAACACGGCCACCCTGGACGAGCGAGGACCTGACAGAGAACGGCCGAGTCCTCTGTGCACCAGCTCGTAGCCCGACTTCTCACAGTGCAGCGCCCAAGAGCCGTCGCCCGAACCAAACCTGCACGACAAACACAAGAGTTACAAGAAAACTACAAAAAACTAGAACTAAATTTAGAATAAACTAGGATCAAACCAAGACTAAACCAGTGTTAAACCAGGATTAAATCATGGAAATAAACCAGCCCAGGACTCAGTTAGGACTACAACAATTTGGGAATTAAACCAAGACTAAAACTAAAAAGTACTGATCTAGGACTAAACCGTAAGCCTATAGAACCTGACGACTTATCAGGTCTAAACTAAAACTGAAATCAGGAGTAAATGGTGGTGGTTTAGACCTGGATTTAGACCTGGATTTAGACCTGGATTTAGACCTGGATTTAGACCTGGATTTAGACCTGGATTTAGACCTGGATTTAGACCTGGATTTAGACCTGGATTTAGACCTGGATTTAGACCTGTTTAACCTGGATTAGACCTGGATTTAGACCTGGATTTAGACCTGGATTTAGACCTGGATTTAGACCTGGATTTAGACCTTGTTGAGTTCTGGTTTGGTCCTGGTTTAGTCCTGGTTTTAACTTGGATTTAAACCTGGTTTAGTTCTGGTTTTAGACCTCAATTAGACCTGGATTAGATTTGGTTTGAGTTCTGGTTTAGAGATATGGTCCATGCGGCGTGCAGGTGTATGGAAGGGGGTTTGTGGACCCCTGCTTTGAAGTATATTTCGATTAAAGTGGTACCAGACTGTGTCACAAATTGTAAAAATCTAAACCAGGACTCAACCAGGAACAACTTTGAAACGGGCTCGAAATTCCATCCACACCTGCTGTCTTCTCCTGACCGCGGGACTGTCTTGGAGACCAGCGCCAAGTAGAACCCCCAGCCCGACCACTCCACCTCCAGATAACTCCTTCCACTCAGACTCTCTGTGCTCAGGACCTGGGCACAGTCTGTGAACCTGTCCCGGTGCCGCCCGTAGTCCTGGCCGTCTCGCAGTAGAGTGGCCCTCGTGTTCCCCTGGGAGAGGAGCACTCTGTGGTTCGCCGAGTTGGGGTCCAGGTGTACGGAGCGCGAGTACTGCAGAAGCTCCTCTCTGGTGCGTGGACGAGGTTCTGGCACCGGCTTTGGAAGAGAAGTCCGTCCTTCACTTACGAACGGTTGAAGCTTCTGCCAGAATTCCGAGACAGCTGAGGAAATGTCGGTGAGAAATCCTGGAGGGTATGAAGAAGGGTTTAAGGATTGGTTGAAGTTCAGATGGTTTGTGTAAAGGTTGAGTAGGTTTTCCTGGTGTGGCTGTCCAGGAGGTCTCTGCTCGAGCTGGGTCCGTCCAGGAGATCCCAGATGGGTCTGGGTCTGTTCTGGAGGTTGTTCCTGGGTCGGTCCTGGAGGTCGGAGTTGGGTCTGACCTGGAGGTTGGAGCCGAGTCTGTCCTGTAAGTTGGAGCTGGGTTTGTCCTGGAGGTTGTTCCTGGGTCTGTTCTTGAAGTCCCTGCTGGACCGTGGTTCCGGTCCCCGATTGTAGCTCAGAACATTTTAGTTCTATCACATGCAGCAGATGTTGGAGGAGCAGCTCTGTGGTCTGTAGAGCTGTGAGGACTTCTCTTTGAAGAACACGCACACACCTGAGACAAAACAAAGATTTACTATTTTACACATACCAACATAAGAATTTAAGTCTCATATTGTTCCTCCTTAACAGATTTTCTCATTTAGATTTGAGCTACCATCAGACAAGTTTCCCTTCCACTCATGTGTCACACAAAATATAAAATAAAAATCCATAAAAGTCCACTTGATCACAAAACAAATCCCAATTCCCTGAAGGGAAAAAAAGATTAAATGTTTTTCATAATGTACTTTCTCCATATAACCAGGGTTAACCGCTCTCTAAAGCTCATCCTGATCTTTTGGCGCCCTCTAGTGGTCACTCAAATACTTCTCTCAATTTAGTTGCACATTTAAAACGGACAGAGTGGAGCTACCAATTTTCTAGTCAAGTAAAACAGGTGTTTTATGGAATAAAAGGGGAGAGGCCTTTTAGCACACAAACTCATGTGGACAAAGTTGTCCACTCTGCTGCTAAAGATATTTTAATACATAATTCAAGAAACTCAATTCAGTCACGCAGCTATAGATTAATGTCTCTAGACCAGGAGTATCAAACTCAAATTCACAGAGGCCAAAATTAAAAACTGGAAGTCGTGGATCAAACTAAATATTAATTGAAAAATTTCAACAACATTTGCATGTTTTCTCTTCTTTAGAAATATGTAATGTTAAACCTTTTATTAAAATAAAGGTTTAATAATAGTTTTGCTTAAACGTTGAGTCCAGAACAAGCAGAATATAAAATAACATTTTCAATAAATTTTGTCTCGAGTTTGACATGTCTGCTCTACAGTTTTCTACTAAACAACATTTTGACAAAACATGCAGAATAATTTTTGATATCTAACTCCAAATCTGATTTATTCAAGTTTTAACTCCAAAAAACTAAATGTAATTTGCATTTTTTTTTCAGTGGGATTTAATTAACTTAAATAGTAGATATCAAAATCCTGTGTATATTTTTAGTATCCAGTATGACAACATGTAAAAATTTACACCTCTCCATCTGTTTGAGATTCAGTTGCTCCAAAAATGGGAAATTTGTCCGTTTTTGTGTTATTTATGAAAAGATGACAAGAGGAAGAACTTGTAATACATGTTTTTCTTACATTTACTGCATGTGACTTTCAAGTTGATGTCTCTAAATCAGGGATATCAAACTCAAATTCACAGAGGCCAAAATTAGAAACTGGGACTAAGTCGTGGGCCAAACTAAATATTTATTGAAACATTTCAGCAACATCTGCATGTTTTCTCTTTTGAGATATGTAATATTAAACCTTTTCTTATTAAAATAAACATTAATAATAGTTTTGCTTAAACACTGAATCCAGAACAAGCAGAATATAAAATAACATTTTAAATAAATATGTCTATATCAGGAGTCTCCAAACTTTTTCCTCCAGTGAGCGACCTTTACAAAACAAAAATGCCAGAGAGCTACTAGTTTTAGCAATCACACGAAATGTAGTATATAAAAGAGCCACAGCAAATCTTAGATGAAGTACAGTTAGATTAGTGTGACCAGACGTCCCCGTTTACCCAGGACAGTCCCAGTTTTGAGCCTGTGTCCCCTGTCCCTGCAGATTTATCTAAGACCAGTGATTTTTCCCAGTTTTATACAAGAAATGTCCCACATGTCTATTTTTGACCAATCTGATCTCTGCCAACAGTAAAGAGACATAAACTGTTATTTGTTTAGGTAAAATACAGAAAAGCTGCTGAAAAATGACCAAAACTTAAAGTAAAAGTGACTGGTCATCCTTAGTTAGATGCCTATAAAACAAACTATTATACATTTATTAGTGTACAAACTAAGGCATCAAAATGATACATGTGCAATGGTAAAAGGCACTGAATTAATCAAACGTTACTTATTTAACAAAATATGTGTAATTCAGAAATCCCTTGGTGAGCTACTTGGAAGGAGGTGGAGAGCTACAGGTTGGAGACCGCTGCTCTACAGCCTCTGTGTAACCAGCAGGCAGCTCTAATACATATTTAATATGATCTCGCGGACCAAATGTAATTATATCACGGGCCAAATTTGAGCCCTGGGCCTGAGTTTGACATGTCCGATCTACAGTCTTGTACTAAAGAACATTTTCACAAAACATGCAGAATAATTTTTGATATCTAACACCAAATCTGATTTATTCAAGTTTTAACTCCCAATAACTAGACATAATTTGCATTTTTTTTTCCAGTTGGATTTAATTGATTTAAATACTAGATATCAAAATCCAGTGTATATTTTTAGTTTCCAATATGACAACATGTAAAAGAAATGTACACACACCTCTCTCCATCTGTTTTTGAGATTTAAGTGCTCCAAAAATGAGAAATTTGTCAGTTTGTGTTATTTATGAAAACATGACATGATAAAAAAAACTTGTAATACCCGTTTTTCTTATTTATGTGAGTAAACTACAGCAGAAGTTTCAAGTTGATGTCTCTAAATGTAATATACTTTTTCTTTTCACCTGTGTCTCACCTGAATGCACTTTTGACAAATAACCCTTAGTTACTGGACCTTTTCTTTAAATTAAAAACTTCAGTACTTTATATGAGAGATTTACAGAGTGCAGAATATTGTACCTTTGGTCTCCAGAGACTGTCCCCTGGTGTGTCCTCAAGTCTTCTCCTCCTCTCCCGTCCCTCTCCCTCGCTCCGTGTGAGAGCTCAGCCAGAACAGTGTTGAGGGCGAGCCGGGGTCGGGGGTCAAACCTCTGCCTGCACTGGGGACACCGGGGCCCCTCTACCGTCCTCATCCTCCTCCTCGTCGGCGGCAGCGTCCCAGTACCGGAGCACGCACTGCCGGCAGTAACTGTGCCCGCAGGGGACGGTCACGGGTCTGTCCAGGAGGTCCAGGCAGATGGGACACGCGAGCGGGTGAGACATGAGTCCACTTGTCCAGAGCTGCTGCAGACGCACTGAAGGCAACAGGAGCCGGGAGTCCACGCCCTCCCCTAACCCGTGAAGGCAGGAGGGGGAGGAGCCAGGAACAGGAGGGGGAGGAGCCTCGGACCAGACTGAACGGACCCCCCCCCCCCCCCGAGCGACTTGTGCTGATACCTGAGGACTTCTCGGCTACTTCTGAACAAACAGGAGGGTTTACGGGGAGGCGAAGTACTCAAAGGAAGTACATGCTGTTCAGGAACTCACAAAAGTAGTAAGAGTAAAAATATTTGAAGAATCTACTGTAATGTTGCGACCGAGAACCCTTATTTACTCACAGAATCCGTTCTGGCATAAAAAAGGACAAGGGCAATGTGGTATAAAAGTTACACATCTTTATTTAATCTTCTAAACATTTAAAAGAAACATTTCATTTTCCTGGTTCCCTTCTTGATACGCCCCTCAATTATCATAAATGTAGGACTCAACAACACCCCAAACTAAAACACAACAAATCAAATTAATAAGCCAAACCAAACGTTAATACCAAAAAAACACAAACACTAGTTGAACCCTACATTTACAATAAGTTAAAAGTGCGGGTGCCAAGGTATCTGAGGTAGACTTTGTTACAATAAAGGGCATAAAATTAAAGCTGGTGAAAGTGCTCGTGCTAAGGAGGCCTATTTGGGCGAAAGTGACTTGTGCCAACCCAAAGACCTAACCTCGCATTGCACTGACCCCCTGACCAAAATATTGCACTTCCCTCCAAGACCTCGGCTACTGTTAATCAATATTCAACTAAAACCAACAGTTAAGATAAAGAATAAAAAGCAAGAATGATGCAGCAGTGGCAATCTGTTACACAGGGAAAAATAAATTTGCTTCACTTAGGGACCACCACCCCAGATATACAACAAAAGAGCATTTACCGCAAATTTAGAAGCCTTTAAAATGCAGTCAGACACATCGCATCAAAGCAAATTCTATCAGAAATATTAAAACAACAACTCCGGTACTTACGCGCGCTGCCTTCAAAAGCCACCGAAAGCCCGACTGCCACACCACGGCGCGCGCAGCCTTTTCTAATCGCGCAATCAGTGGCGCCAGGAGCCACGCGCAGCGACGCACAGGTGGACGCACTCACAGACGCAACACAGCAGGACAACATAGTCTAAACACCCGCTTACACTACTACTCCAGAGTTGACAAATCATGAACAAAGTCTGGTATTTGCATAAAAATGAGACAATGTGGGATTGATTGACGGCTCAAAAACAGATGCCAATAAAAAAACAAAACAAATAAAAAATGAAAAGCACGCTCTCTTTCTCTCCTTCTCCCTCTCTGTCTGTCCTCTCTCTCTCTTTATCTCTCTGGGTTTGCAGAGGTGAGGCTGATCCCTTCCAGATGAAGAATGTGATTTTGGAGAGCGGACGAGAGGCGTGGCACTAAAAAGACGTGTCTGAAAATAAGTCGAACCTGTTTGACACATTTTTTTTTTTTGCAGTGTTGATGTTCGTCTCTTAACTGTAAAATATGATCCATAAAATCCAGACCAACATTGTAAATAAAAATTTGTCCCTAACATTTTTCCTGGTAACATTTCAGCTCTTTATGGGATCTGAATCTTTTGGATCTGTTCATTTCAAAGATCTGTCTCTTTTTATAATTATTGAGATGACAGAGACTGAGAGTAGAAGTGTTATTATTATGAAAATCTAAATAAACTATAGTAATAAGCTCTATTCATCTGACCGGAAGACGTTTGGAAACATGCGGATGGCGAATTCCCGTCACTGGGCATGTGATAAAACCGTGGATTTAGCAGCAGCGTCTTCACAACCTGCCTTTTTGACAAATTATAATATACAAATTAATAGGCAATTCATAAAAAGAGAAAAAGAAAGAATACAATTACATTTAGATAAAGAAAAAAACAGATTTTCCCAGAGTTTCTATCACCCAAAGGAAGTCTTCATCTGCATCTTTCCAAATGTCTTCAAGTTTGATCACATCTCACTTTTTTTTTGCTTTTTTTGTGTTGGGTCAACAGTAATCAATGTAAAAAAAATAATAATAATAATTTGAAAGATTAGGTTCAGAAAATTAGATCCGGTTCCAGTTACTAAGAAACCGTTCAAAAGAGCCGCGAACGTCACATCACAAGGTAAAATAAAGGTTTAAAAAGGTGTGAATGTTAATTTTGGCTCACAGATGGTGATTTTACAGGACTACATTCATATTATAATACTCCCTACAACTCTACAACAACTCACTTTTATGTAACAGATAATATCCCTACAACTGTACAACTCACTTTTATGTAACAGATAATACTCCCTACAACTGTACAACAACTAATTTTTATGTAACAGATAATACTCCCTACAATTGTGCAACAACTCAACCTTATGTAACAGATAATACTCCCTACAACTGTACAACAACTCACCCTTATGTAACAGAAAATACTCCATACAACTGTACAACAACTCACCCTTATGTAACAGATAATACTCCCTACAACTGTACAACAACTCACCCTTATGTAACAGATAATACTCCCTACAACTATAAAACTCACCTTTATGTAACAGATAATACTCCCTACAATTGTGCAACAACTCAACCTTATGTAACAGATAATACTCCCTACAACTCTACAACAACTCACTTTTATGTAACAGATAATGATCCCTACAACTGTACAACAACTCACTTTTATGTAACAGATAATACTCCCTACAACTGTACAACAACTCACTTTTATGTAACAGATAATACTCCCTACAACTGTACAACAACTAATTTTTTGTACAACTCCTACAATGTGCAACAACTCACTTATGTACAGATAATACTCCTACAACTGTACAACAACTCACCCTTATGTAACAGAAAATACTCCTACAACTGTACTAAACTACACTACCCTTATGAACAGATAATACTCCCTACACTATAAAACTCACTTTATGTAACAGATAATACTCCCTACAACTGTACAACAACTCACCTTATGTAACAGATAATACTCCCTACAACTATAAAACTCACCTTTATGTAACAGATAATACTCCCTACAACTATAAAACTCACCTTTATGTAACAGATAATACTCCCTAGAACAGTACAACAACTCACTTTTATTTAACACATAATAATCCCTACAATTGTGCAACAACTCACTCTTATGTACCAGATAATACTCCCTACAACTGTACAACAACTCACCCTTATGAAACAAATAATACTCCCTATAGCTATAACACTCATCTTTATGTGACTGATAATACTCCCTACAACTGTACAACAACTTGCCCTTATGTAACAGATAATGAAAGAAAAGTTTAATGCCATACTGTGGAATATTCCAGGCAACACAATAACGTCTCCATAATGATAAGAATGTGGTAGAAAGGTTTCGTGTTGCTCCTTTAAGAATGAGTAATAATATTGTGATAAAATGTGGAGGACAAACCGGTCTGAGCGGGACACACCGGAGGACAAACCGGACACACCAGAGGATAAACGGGCCTGAGCGGGACACACCAGGGGACACACCAGAGGACAAAAGACAAGACTCGCCCCAACACCCGCCCAGACGCACACTCATTAGAAAAACAAAGAAACAACGTGTCACTGTTAAATACACGAGAGAAGAGGGAGAGAAAGTGAGAAAGAGTATTCCCGGAGTCGACTAAATAAACAGCTGGTTAATTGCAGACGTGCCCAGTGTAAATATTAGAATAGAAGGGGGCGTGGTCATTTTAAGGAGATTTTAAAGGTCTTATATTACACCTGAAAGACTTTTAGAGTGTTAAAGGTTGTATAGAGGATTTTTTAAGGGAAGTGAAATACAGCGACAGTCCTTTTTCAAATGTTGTGCAGCTCCTTCAGTAGAAACATCTCCTCCTCCCGCCTCTTTACTCTAGAAATCACATTTGTTTACATCCAGTGCGCGTTCAGAATTACTGCTGAAGTGACCTGTCTAGAAATATTTTAGCGACCGACGTGTCAGTTTTTAGACCCTTCGTCTGCTTCAGTCGCGCCATCGCTGGAAGGAATCTCCGAGAATCACCTCGTTTGTCTTCGCTTCTTTTCCCCTTCTTCTCTTCTTCTTTCCGCGACCTCAAAAACGGACTTTCTTTTGCGGCGAACTGGTCGTGGATTCTCGTCCGCCATCGCGACAAACTTTGTGCGAAATGCGAGGAAGCGACAGTTTGAAAAAGCCTCTAAAAACCACGTAATCCGGCGAGTCAGTTAAACTAGAAACGTAAGGAGTTTGATTGACAGCCTAACAGCCAATAGAAAATGAGGTAGTCTCGTTTTCTATCGGCTGATGTTTTTCTGGCCGATTTTCATTCTTTTTTTTTTGTTTTTTTTCTTGGTCATCATAATTACAAGGCTGCTGTGTCTCTGTAATGGTATTTTACACTTTCAATGACAATTTGAAACTAAAAAATAATCCTCCATACAACCTTTAAGCCATGAAGTGAAGGTGTATGGAGTTTAAAAACACAGTGGAGTACTTCTTGTATTACCACATGACCTCAAGGAGTGTTTTCTGTGACCTAAATATGCAGAGTTTCTATGTTAAACACAAATCCAGTTATGTCTGTTTCCTCTATGTCCATAATCAGGTTTAATCTGGAGTTTAACGTTGGCATTTGTGTGTTGTTAATGAATAAAGTTGTGAAATACATACCTAAAATACCACTGAAATCTAGGAACTACTTTGAATAGTATTTTTCATGACTAATTTGACTGTTGTGTTTGTAATTCAACCGCTGATCTTGTTTAAACATGTTTATTTCAAATGACTGACAGCACACAATACATAACATAATACATAACATCAATTAACATTTTTAATTCATGTTATGACATGTTTGTTGTTCCACAGAATTTAGGCTACGTTTACACATGGCCAGGTATTTTGAGAAACAAATATTTCCCTCCCTCGGTTTTCCAAAATAACATCGTGCACACAGCATCGTTTTCAAAAAAGTTTCCGTTTACATCAACCCGGATAAATACGCCATCTCACCCTCGATGTAAGGACGCAGCAAGTCGGAAAGTAACAGCAGTGATGACCGCGACATCCTAAAACTCTTCCGGGACAACAATTTCAAAATTATCCCACCAGACAGCAGTTCGCCCAGGTCGGACCCAAAACCGGCGACGTTGGTGGCGACGGCAACTGTGTCTTCGAGTAGGAGGGAAAAGTGACAAAATCGCCGATCTCCGAGCCCTGATTCGTCTCTGCTCATCGATATGATCCATCAGCTGTGTATGTAAACACGAACACACGCAAAGTGTCTGAATCAGAAGAAATGCGACTGCTGCTCTGAATGTTTCCACCATCGTCGTCATAGCAACAGGTAAACGTCGGCCGCACTTTCAGCGCGTCAGCTCCTAAAACTCGGTTTATCTCAGTTTACGCGCAAACGTGAAACCGGAGTTTTCCAAAATCTCCACTCTAGCCAGAGTTTTTAAAAAGATTCGTTGTCAGAGGTGAATTCGCCGTTTGCGTGTAAACGATGTGTACAAACGAAGGGAAATGTCTCCGTTTTTAAAAATACCCGTGTACGTGTAAACGGACCTTAACATCGTGGAAATGTACACAAAATGTACAACACTCACGACACTAAAGCACAGAGAGCGACTTTTCAGTAGACACCTACAATCGATTTGTGTTATGGGCACAAATCAAACATTCAATATTTAAAACAAGCAATATAATTTAAAGAAAAAAAATAAAAAATCAATAATGTGAAACTGCTAATGTAATATTTCATTTGATATAATTCTATCACCGTAAGTGCTGAATAAAAGGCGACGTTCAGACTGCTGCCTGAAGTGACACAGATCTGATTTTTTGGCCCCTGTGCTCCAGTATCTGATCTTTTAATGAACAACACAGATCCAGTTTTTTCAAATGTGACCCAGGACACTTTGATTTGTGCTCCTAAATCCGATACATACCTGATCTTTTGACATGCGACTTCAGTCTGAACGGTCAGGTCGCCTTCATCCCACCTACACGTCAGGCTCGGAGTCTCGTCAATGGAGGGAGAGTGAGGTTAGTGAGTTTATTCATCTTTGGAGGGATTGCTGTATTCAGGACAAATTCGAGGAGTCTTATCGGAACTGGACGGTTTTTGAAATGATGCTAAAGAAATGTGCGAGCGCGACTACAGACGGTCCTGACTCCAATGTCAACGAAAAATAAAGAGCCTGCGAGACAAATACAAGGAGGATAAAGACTCAAACAAACGAAGCGGCCGTGGACGTGTAGCCTGTCCATTTTACAAAGAATTGCACCACATTTTGGGAGAAAAGCCCAGAGTTTAGGCGACTTCCATGAACTTCCGGACACTTTTGGGGTGTTTAAAATTCATTAATTGGAAATGTGAATGACCTCGCGAAAAAATCTGATTTCACAAAAAAAAATCCAAATTGCGCGTTAAGTCCTACAGTCTGAATGTAGCCGAAGTTAAACGGAGAAGTGTGTTGGGAAAAACGACGTCCATGTGAAGATAGAGATGAACAGGACGAACTCCCCCGATATAAAGACCGAACAAAACAAAAGGAACAATCATGTCAAGTATTTTACATTTCATACAAACAACTTTGTACAGCACAGTTCAGTTTCATCCACACTTTTTATTGTCATTTTGTCACGGGGTACTCTCTTGGGTCATTGTGGAGTACTTCTCGGGGTCACAGCGAGGTACTCTCTTGGGTCACTGTGAGGTACTGTCAATCAAACAATCAAACTTTATTTATAGAGCGGTTTTCATACAAAACTGCAACGCAAAGTGCAGTGTCGAGGTCACAGCGGGGTACTCTCGGGGTCACAGCGGGTACTCTCGGGTCACAGCAGGGTACTCTCGGGTCACAGCGGGGTAGTCTCGAGGTCACAGCGGGGTACTCTCTAGGTCACAGCAGGGTACTCTCTGGGTCACAGCGGGGTACTCTTGTGGTCACAGCGGGGTACTCTCGGGGTCACAGCGGGGTACTCTTGTGGTCGCAGCGGGGTACTCTCTGGGTCATAGCGGGGTTGTCTCGGGGTCACAGCGACTTACTCTCGGGGTCAGAGCAGGGTTCTCTCGGGGTCACAGTGGGGTGCTCTTGGGGTCACAGCGGGGTACTCTCAGGGTCACAGTGGGGTGCTCTCGGGGTCACAGTGGGGTACTTTCGTGGTCACAGCGGGGTACTCTCGGGGTCAGAGCGGGGTACTCTCGGGGTTGCTCTCGGGGTACTCTCGTGGTCACTCTCGGGGTCACAGCGGGGTACTCTCGGGGTCACAGCGGGGTACTCTCGGGGGTCTCTCGGGGTCTCTCGGGGTCACAGCGGGGTACTCTCGGGGTGCGGGTCACAGCGGGGTACTCTCGGGGTCACAGCGGGGTACTCTCGGGGGTGCTCTCGGGGTCACAGCGGGGTACTCTCGGGGTGCTCTCGGGGTCACAGCGGGGTGCTCTCGGGGGTGCTCTCGGGGGTCACAGCGGGGGCACTCTCGGGTCACAGCGGGGTACTCTCGGGGGTGCTCTCGGGGTCACAGCGGGGTACTCTCGGGGTCACAGCGGGGTACTCTCGGGGGTACTCTCGGGGTCACAGCGGGGTGCTCTCGGGGTCACAGCGGGGTGCTGTCACACTGGGTGCGCTGGTCGTGCTGGAGGTGGACCATGTGTCCGGACGTGGTTCTGAACACAGTGTGGGTCAGGGGCAGGTCTCTGGTCAGGGCACAGTTCAGACAGAGGCTCCTCCAGGTTCTCCTCAGCTCCGCCTGGACCTGCAGCAGGGAGACGGGGTCAGAGGGTCAGAGGGTCAGGGGTCAGCAGCAGTTTTAGTCTAACTATATTTTCTATTTCACTCACTACAAACTGTTACAGAGGTTCTCTGTGAGCAAATTCTGATGTGAATTTGGTTCTGACTCAAACTTGGGAGTGACGGTCTGCAGCTGAGTCAGGGCCGGGTGTGAGAGGTAGAGTCATGGGTCAGGGCGTCACAAATTATAATTATGTATCAGACACAAGTACAATAAGTCTTAAGTAAATGAGTTGTTATTTATATTTGTTACACTTTTGTCTTGTCTTGTATTTCTGAGATGCTATAAACTTCTCCCAGTTCCAGTCTGCAGTTTTCATCTTTCTGACTGTAAACTGAACAAAAATGTTCTGACCTCTGCTCTGGACAAAGAATATAATTATATGAACTGGACAAAAAAAACATGCTCCTCTGAATGTAAATGTAGAGAAAAATGTCTGTGTAATTTCTCTGTTGTCCCGTGTGATCCACAGGAAAAGAAAAATCCAACTAGTTCGACAAGTTTATCAACACTGACCTCAGAGTTGAGGAAGCAGTACAAGATGGCCACCACCAACCCCTGCGAACAGAACATCTGTGAGAACACCGCAACATGAGGGAGTACCCAATACTCCGCACACATGTGTGTCTGAGCATGAGGGAGTACCTGAGGAGGGAGTACCTGAAAAGAGCCGAGGGCCAGGTCAAAGAAGATCTTGGACCTTTCTGCCACAGACTCGCTCAGAGACACAAAGACGATGTAGTGGACTCCAAACAGAGGGATGAGGAGCAGAGTCGACTTGGCCAGTCTCCTGAAACACGGAGACGTGAACCACCACAGAGCGGATACACATTCTCTGGATAAACTGAATTTTTATTATGATGGTTTGTAAACTATTTTCCACCAAGAGTAGAGCACCCTCATGTGCACGTAAACTGTGTAGATAAGAGGAATATTTCACAAAACAAGATTAAGCAAAAGACTCAAAGATTTTATTTAGTCAATCCAGACTCATCAGATCATATGTTCTGTTCCACGATCTTTGTACCATTTGTTCTTTTGAATTTCAATTAAGAATGAAAAACAATAAAATAGGAAAGCAATTTGTTATTTCATTTTTCAGTTTTAGAATCAAACAAAAAAAAACAAACAACAGATTTTGATAAAAAAAATTGTTGTAGTTTTGTAGACAAACGTCGTCTTTTTTTTATAGTGACACATTTATTTTCACGTCTTAGAAAGTCATTGTTGAACTCCATGACGAGAAACAGGAAGCAGCAATAAACTTTGTTCAGGTGACTCCATAAAACTATAATAAAAATATTTTTTATTATAAATCTGTGGTTGAGCAGCAAAATTTTTGAGGCAAATAAACCAGAGAGAATAAAATATCAAAATTGAAATAGACACTAAGACACTTTTTTGATTGTTGTTATTTGAAATAAACTTTAAATGAAATATTGGAAATAGAGGTCGAAATCTGTTTTTTTTTTGTTAGACACTAAAATGAAATAATGAAATAAACTGTTTTCTCATTTTATTGTTTTTTGTTCTTAATTGAAATTCAAAAGACACAATAACAAACACTCTGTTGTCTTTGTCTAAATGTCTAAAGAAACAGTTTGATCAAATGTTTCATCACCTTTCATGCACCTACACACTTCCAGGACCTGCCTCTGTCTGTGCGATGATTTTTATAGCACCTTATATCACCCCGGGTGTTTTGATCCCAAATTTCTCTTTTCACTATAATGTTGCCAGTTTCCCAGTTTAGTGGTTGGGTCTAGAATAGATTTCCAGACGTCTGCAGGGAGAGCGAGCGGGAAAATGGTACAAATGTCTTCTTCTGTGTGGACTGGAGCGTTGAGTCACGTGTTGTACCTGTACTGGGACTGGTCATGTCCTCCCATGTCTGCCCCCCGGAGCTTCTGCATCAGCACACGCACGATTCTGATGAAGAGGAGGAAATTCACCTGGACCAACAGACAGGAGATGAAGTCACGGAGGTTCTCAACGTTTTAAAAGGAAAGGAAGAAACGAAAATAAGAGTAACTGAGAAACGTGACAGATTTATGCAGAATCAGTGAGTGAAGCTCTACACTCACTGGGGTTGAACGAAGTTTGGTTTGGGTCTAAATACACTTTGAAAACATCAGATCTCAATGTGAAAAAAAAGATGGATATCTACACAAAAATGGAGAGGACAATGTCTTAAGAACAAAAGGAGGCCGCCTCTTTTAATGAAAATAACATGTTCAGCCTATAGAGGACTTCATTTCAGAGACACCCTGAAAATCAGAGGTTTGTGGAGAGGTAAGCCTGCTCAGAGTGAGGAGACATATTTTTCAGTGAGTATCCAGATGCTTGTGTCCACATGTGCTTCACGTTCCTGCATAATGCATGAGAGTGGACCTTTAAAGGTGGCTCACACTGAGGCGGCTGCAGTGAGGACGCTCTCTTGGAGACACGCTGCACAGGGACGAGCACGTGCCTTTAACAGGGAAGAACTCCAGATTGGACAAACAAATTAACGTTGGATAATCAAACTAGAGACTGTCAGCTATAGATTTTTTTCAGTCAATTGTTGGGTTTCAGACGACAGATCACAGCAGAAGATGCCAATAATGTTTAATACAGATGAGGGGCAGCTACAATTAGTTTAGTCCAAATTGAGATTTTCGCTATAGCACAGCAAGCTCTAGGGCAGTGTTTCCCAAAGCATGCTCTGTTTTTTTTTTTAAAATATGTTAAAGACAAATGCACAAAAAGTGAACCAGGGGTTGCCTAAGCAGAGGAGGAGGATTATGGTGAAAATGTTCGTTTGGATTTTACGCAGACACAAGCCCCACACTGGAGAATCCACATTTAGGATTTGGAAATTGAGCATTCACCAGGACCGAGGAGGAGGAGGAGGAGGATTTTGGCGTTTTGAAGTTTGGATCATATTATTTGTTTGGCTTCAGCTTCATGCGGACACTGCAGACTGGATGTGGATTTATTATTCTGCACAACAATTTGACTTTGAGATGCTCTAAAGGCGACACACTCAATGTGTTTTTAAGTAGATACAAGTTGAATCTCTGGATGTGGTTACTTCAGCTCTTCTGTTTTACCAGTAAGACGACACTGCTCTTTGTTTGGCCACATGGACTATGTTAAAACCTGAGTGTTGTAGGTGCCATCCTTTGCACTACTGTACGGTGCCTGGATTTGGCAACATCACGTTGGATTTCAAAATCTCCTAAAAAAAGAACTAGCCTGATTCAGCGGCTAGTTTCACTTTGTGGAAACTGTCTGACCTTGCAGCATTAGGATTCGTTCGCTTGACTGTAGGCAGGTACTTTTAATATTTATATTTTATATTTTAACCAATCGCTGCTATTTGGTCGTGACGTATATAATGCTCCAAATCCCGTAGAAGGAAGGACAATAACGTCTTTCCCCTTGAAAAAATTCACCAAACATTCTCTTTGTTCAGGCTTTAAATCCTCGATCTTGGGAATCTTTACCAACACAGAATGTCTGTCTTCGTCTACATCCATCTTGACGCTTTGTTTTCTGTTGGGCTGTTCCACAAAAGGGACCCAGACAGGCCCTTGAGTTTGACGTCATGGCTTCACAGCTCTTGCTGTGATCGCTGATTGACTGGTGCGCGGTCTACAAAGTCTGGTTCTTGCAAATCGTCTAGTGTATTCTGATTCCTGACCTATTCGCTGGAGAGAAATTAAATTGAGTTGAGTGGAGGCACTAGGTGGCTCCAGCCTGGCGAAGAAAGAACACCTTCAGTGAGAAAAGGCTGGAGTTGGCGCATCTGCAGTCCTTCGATTTGGTACAGTCACTTACAACTGGAACTTAAATTTTCTTTGGTCACTACTTTACATCAGTGTACATCAGTACAGGTACATCAGTACCTGTGCTAATGACCTCCACTGTGAATGCCAAAGATCCTGTTGAGATCTGCAGCAGGTGGGCCTCCAAAGATCCAGGTCCAGGTGCAAAGGCCAAACAGCACAATGACAACACAGGAGGTGTGTCTTTGTGACTTTGAGCTTTTATCACATGTCAGCCAGAATTGGACGAGTCTCATGATCTCTCACTTTTTTATGTTGCAGTCGTCACTTCATGGATTCAGTACAAGTCACACTGATTGGCACTTAAACAACAAGGATTTCAAGTTCCGCCTGACAGACGAGCTCATGGAGTGAAGAGGAAGTGAAGAGGACTATGTGCCTCCAACCAAAATGAGAATCCCTCAGTCTGAGGAATGTCACATGTCAGAGATGCTGGATATAAAGAAAGCTGAGAGATACAGAACCAAGAGGTGTGAGGGGAAGATGTTTGTGAGGTGCACAAAATGAAAGATGTTTCTCTGCCTGACCAAAAAGAAACACTTTCAAGCAATACTGTCGATAACGGGCGACTGTTTGCCCATTTTATGTTATTGTTAGGTTCTTAAGTTCTTATTCATTTAACAACAAAATGTTCCCAACATCCACCACAGTGGACATGTATGTCAATGTAAATTTTAATTTAAAAAATCTCTAAATGCTAACATGCTTATTTACATGTAAATAGAAAGAAAATCTATTATGCTATACACTATTTTCTTTGAGTCCCAGAAGACCACGATAAATATGAGCACAGGTACTATCCCTCCAAACCAAGTCAAAGTTAGAAAAACACAAAAACCTGTCAGATGCACTTTAATACTTTTTAACCACTAGATGGCAGATGTGACTTTTGATTGTAATTCGGGCTCTGTGTGTCTGCAGACAGAAGAGAAACGAGTTCAAATCACATGTACTTTTTACTAGTAACAATTCTAATGTTGATTTTGTGTTTTGGTTCTCAAGATAATTATCCAGTCAGAAAGAAGAATGAGTCTCACATGAGTTTCTCATTTGGGTTGCCAGTTTATTTCAACCTAAAAGACTCTCTGATAGGCCCTGCAGCCAAACATGAGTTCATGAGGACTGTCCTCTCATGAAACTAAACTCAACCACACGTGTGAATGGTGCGGTAGAACTTATATGCAAAGTCCACCATAACTACCCCCCGCTCCCGTACGCACCAGGACGGACAGACCGATGGGGCCGTTGATGAGCCAGTGGGGGATGGGGTGGTCGTTGATCTCCCAGCACCTGCACAGACACACACACGCACACACACACACACACACACACACACACACACACACACACACACACACACACAGCTTTCATCAGGCCAGTCAAACAGCACGTTGCCCTTTGGAGATCACACACGGAGCTTTCATTACGAGAGTAATGAAGACTCCCTCAGACGCTAAAATGGACTTTGAAGTACTGTTAACCACTCTGCCACACTGGGCACTTTGATCGAAGCCAAGTCCAAAAACATGACTTTGTGTGACACTGTTAGACTTGTTACAACTTATTTACAATGACCAGTTATAACAATGGCAGTTTCTAAATATATCAGCAACTTCAAAACCCTTTTTATCGGTATCACATCGACCCCGAAAATCTATATAGGCTGAGATTGAGCTTGTATTCCATAGATAGAGTGTGTGTGTTGGGTTGGGTAAAGGAATGGCAGGACTCGTCTTATCCTGGTCAAAGCCGTTTAAACTCGTCGCTGCCCCTCCAGAGTCAAACCCCATTTTGTGTTGAAGTGATCGTTCATTACGTTGTTTATTCTGATAACCTGTAAAACGCCCACCCGCTCTTCCATTAGTTGTGGTTCTGTATAAAACCTGATTCACAATGTCAACACGTCTGGCGGATGGTGTCACGGTTCCTGTGTAAAAACGTGTCTGTGTATCCCTCAGTCATTCATGGCAAAAGAAAACTGTAAACAGCACTGTCACCGTCACTTGTTTACACGCTCAGGAGGAATCGATTAAGTCCATTGAACCGGTGGCGCAGGGCTGAACTGAGACAAGAAATGGGCCCTGGACTTTTTGCTCACCACAGAGACAGCAGTGGCCTAAACACCACAGGCTTCAGGATGTCTGGACTCATGTTTGTTGACACTTTTAAAGAGAATCACTTTTGCTCCTTTGCTGAAATAACGTTTATGGAATCAGTTTTAACTTTTTCACTGGTCTCATGATTTAGGAGCGTCAAAAAAACAAGAACTCCCTGAATCAGTCGGTTAAACGGGCGAGTGAGGTAATTGTCCATCCTCAGAGCCGCCTGGACTCTCTATACTCAAGACACTTACAGAGGACGTCCCAGAGGATTTTAAAAGACGTGCAACATCCACTAAATTCAGCTGCTTCCCTTTGGTCAGAGGCTTTTAGTCCCAAGATCTAGACCGAATCGTTTTAAAAGGAGCTTCGTTCCAGCTGCTATCGTACTTATGAATAAATTGTAATCTATTTATCTATCAATTTTAGTACGTTTGTCTTGGGAAAATTGTGTGTTTGATGGATGAATTTAACACATTTTTTAATGGAACAAACCTATTGTACACTGGAGCTTTGTAACACTTTATTTTGTAACTGTGTTTTTATATGTTTATTGCACATAATGCGGATGAATGAAATGTTTAATTGGTAAAACTCCGTCCTACCTCAGCTCACTCCTGCACATCCACAGGTCCAGACACACTCTGTGCTCCAACAGACACATAACCCTGGTCGTTCCTAAAGCCCGCACAGCTTTGGGCCACTCCACATTTCAGTTTTCTGTTGCAAGTGACTGGAACCACTTCAACAGACTTTAAAACTTAGTTCGTTTTTAACTCTGTCGACCTTTAAAAACTCCACCCAGAGTATTTTACAGGATAATTGCACATGCTTTTAACACTTTTATATCTTTAATGTGCAAATGTTTCACTGTCTTATATCTCTATTCAATGTTATAGTTGATGTGTGAGTGTTTTCCGTTTGCGCTTTTGTTTTATTCTGCCTCTTGGCCAGGTCGTCATTGTAAAGGAGAAAGTGTTCTCAACTGACCTACCTGCTAAAATATTGGATAAATAAAAATAAATAAATAAATAAATAAAATGTGGGACCTGCCTCTCAAATCTGCAAAACAAATTTACCTACGGGTACGAATAAAACAACCTAACCTATAACGTAAGAAACAAACTGCACGCCTCCATGGTGAAGTGTCTTTTTGTCAGTCATCTTGGCAGTCAAAAAAATAACCTGAACTACATGAATATGAGGTCTATCAGTGTAAAAACAAAAAAAAAGTGCCTGGCTTTGAGGGCTTTAAACCATTCCTAGTCCATTTCATAGTTCATTTCAGTGTGATTTGTGTGTGGGGAAGCGATGAGCTCAGAGTAGAGCGTACACAGCCAGTGAAAGCCGGATAAAAGCGGTAGAGTAACTGAAGCGTTACATCAGGACTCTGTGTGTGGTGTTGAGCACAGGTCTGACAGTGACCTGCTTAAAACCGAGAAAACTCCAGGTGCTCCGGAGTCCATCTGGAGTCCACCCCTGCTAAGGTGTGAACTGACAACATTGCAAAATATGGCTCAGGTGACAGTTCACGAGCTTGATTCATCAGACTTCGTAGAAACCGTCTGACCTCGCAGTGTTAAAATTCGTTCGCTCGACAGTAGACGGGTATTTTTTTTCATTTAACCAGCCGCTGCTATTTGGTCGTGACATATGTAAGTGCGTATATTAAGCTTTTCCCAAATCCCGTAGGAAGAAGGACAACAACGTCTTTCCCCTTGATAAAATTCACCAAACATTCTCTTTATTTCGGCTTTAAATCCTCGATCTCGGGAATCATTGACAGCACTAAATATATGGCTCTTTGCTGATTGGCTGGTTCACACTTCCGGGATTTTTGCAAACCATCTAGTGTATTTTGATTCCTGATCTACTTGCTGGAGACAAATGAAACTGAGCGTAGGGACTAGGTGGCACCAGCCTGGTTAACAGTTCACACTGCAGGACTTGGATTTAATAACGGACGCGCCTTACGAGGGTGTGTTCATTTCAGTAGTGACCTGGATGCTCTAAAATAATCTAAGTTTGAAGATCTCATATCATTATTTAACCCTATCCTGTAGACAGCACCACGAGTCTGAGGAAGAGCAGATCAAGTTCATATTTACAGTGGATAAAGAGAGACTCACTGACCCGGTGTCCTCCAGGTACAGCCTGGCCAGAGCCCACACACACACCAGCACACAGGGAGCCCCTACACACACAAGAACAAGAACAGGAACCATTAGAGCAGAGTTTTTAGCACATATGAAAACCTTAACGGGACAGTTCACAATTTTGGATATAGGACCTCATTTCCTAGTGAGTCAGAGAGCTGGAGACTTGTTATCCTGCCACTAAAACACTCCACAAAACACCCAAAGCAAATCTATTATTACACCAGACTGTTGATGTAAATGTCTGTGTCGATAAATCATCTTAGAAGTAAAAACCAACCTTGCATTTGAACGATTTATGTCTGAGTAGCAGCGAGTTGTTCTTCCTGATAGAAAGCTCGGCAGCGGCGGACTGATATATGAGAAAATAGTCCCTCAACATGCGACGATTCATGCGATGCAAGGTTAGTTTTATGTCAGATATTATTCTTTGGACACAGACATTTACATGGACAGTCTGGTGTGATAACAGATTTGTTTCGGGTGTTTTGTGGAGTGGGCAGGATAACTATGTCCATTGACATGCACTAGTCTAGCACCAGTGACCTCTGCAAATACAAGGACTGGACAGAATATTTAAAGGTTGTATGGAGGATTTTTTTTTAGTTTCAAATTGTCAATGAAAGTTTAAAATACCATTACAGAGATGCAGCAGCTTTGTAATTAAGATGACAAAAAAAAAAAAAAAAAAAAAAAAGAAAATCTATCAACTGTTACCAAATAAACATCAGCCAATAGAAAACGAGGCTGCCTCATTTTCTATTGGCTGTTAGGTTGTCAATCAAACTCCCTAGTGTAAATGACTCATCGGCGTGCGGGGATTACATGGTTTATGCAGCGGTTCTTAGAGGCTTTTTCAGACTGTAGCTTCCTCGCATTTTGCACAAAGTTTGTTGCGATGGCGGACGAGAATCCACGACCAGTTTGCCGCAAAAGAAAGTCCGTTTTTGAGGTCGCTGAAAGAAGAAGAGAAGGGGAAAAGGAGTGAAGACAAACTGAGGTGATTCTTGGAGATTCCCTCCAGCAAGCAGCCGAAGGGTCTAAAAACTGACGCATCGGTTGCTAAATTATTTCTAGACAGGTCATTTCAACAGTAATTCTAATCTGAACGCGCACTGGATGTAAACAAACGTGATTTCTAGAGTAAGGAAAGGAGGCGGGAGGAGATGTTTCTATTGAGGGAGCTGTGGAGGAGGAGGGTGGTGTCATGCATGCACAAGTACTGTCATTGTTCTCTTCCCTTAAAAAAATCCTCTATACAACCTTTATAAAAGTGTCTCCACACGTCTCCAACACTCTGGTTCACTAGGAAATGAGGCCCTATGTCCAAAATTTCAAAAACTGTCCCTTTAAGCTGAAGGCCTGACCCCAGCCGATGAACAGGTAGGCCCGGAAGTGTCGGTTGTCTGAGAAGATGACCAGGAGCAGCGTGTGAAGGTACAGCCCCTCCACCAGCAGCCACGAGAAGTTCGCCATGACGAAGTACTGGAGGATGACCAGAGTGATCCTGCAGCCCACCTGAAACACACACACACACAGGCTCACAGCTCAGGTCTCTGCAGGCAGTCAGGGATCATGTAGTGAGTGTTATTATGTGTGTCTCACCAGGGAGCCATGCGGAGAACACTGCACATCTCTGCTGAAGAGCACCTGGTCCTTCAGAAGAACGGCCACAGCTCTGAAGATGAAGCTGAGGAACAGGTTCAGGTGGATGGAGTTTCTGGTGCAGTGCAGTCTCCTGAAAACACAGGATTTTCCTCATCAGCTCACAAAACAATGACATGACAGCAAAATCATGTCAAATAGAGCAGCTCTCGTAAGGACAGGTAAACATCACTCTGGAGCAGAGTCCTGCACCGGGCGACAGGAAAATAGTTGCTGAAACGGGTGGGTTTTAACTTTCTGGAATATTACAGGCGAGTATGCGGGTGGGTAATGATTACACACGGGTGGGTCAGGACTAAACCAGGACTAAACCACGACTAATCTTGGACTTAAGAGAGAGAGAACCCCGAGGAGCAGGGTGTTCAAAAAGCACGATCGGGTGATGGCTGCGCTTACCTCTGTGGGATGTGAAGCTCTGCACTGGTGCTTTTGCACCTGGTCACACTCTACGCGGGTGCACCTCCCGGCCCGTCCCGAGGAACCAGTGAGTCCTGGTTCAGTTTTGGTTTAGTCCAAGTTTAGTCCTGGTTTATCCCTAGTTCAGTCCTGGTTTAGTCCTCCTGGTTCAGTCCTGGGATCAGTCCTAGGTTAGGTTAGTCCTGGTTTAGTCCTGCTTCAGTCCATGGCGTGTGCAGCGCCAAAGTCCAAGTTTGATCAATGTTTCTTCTGCTCAGTAAAAGCCTGTGAAGTGATGAGAGTCGAGTCGCATCTGTGAATTTGTATTCGTAATGAAGAAAGTGTAACCGTTTAATTTCGTGATTGTAATTCTTGAAGTCGTAACTTTTCAATTCATATTGTGATGGATGCTTCAGTTAGAATGCTTTTAATTTGTGTGTGGTTTTTCACGGGTCCGGGCGGGTGCGGGTTTAACTTTGATATAATCTTGGGTTAACTACACTACAATACACTTGAGTAAAACATACATATATGGAGGAAGACTAAAAGAAGTAAAACTAATTTTAAAGATGATATGGACGACACTGTTACGTGTAGAGTGCAGCGGTGTGTGTTGGAGGTTCTGACCTGCAGAGGCACAGGATGGCGCTCCCGGTGGTCAGAGCGAGGAGGGACAGACTGTGGCCCACTGTGTACAGAGCCTGGACCAGCACGTAGAACAGCAGCTGAAACACATGAGGACGATGAGACCTTTACACACTGCACATGCTCAGACAGAGTGGCCCAAGAGTTTGAGTTAAATCCATGTATCATTCATTCATTCGTTTTTCAAAATAAAATCAAAAATAAGAAAACAAAAAAACAACTGTTTTATTCATTATTTGTCTCCAAAACCAAAATGACAAAACGGATAAGAATTTGTTCTTTCAGTTTTCGATTTTATGTTTAAATGAAAAATGGAAAAAAGGGATAATCTTTTCTATGACTTAAACTGTGAGGCCGGACTTTTGCGCCGCATATGGACTGAACCAGGACTGAACCAGGTCCGGGACCAGACCGGGACTGGGACCAGGACTTAGACAGGGACCAGATTAGGACTGAATCCGGGACTTGGACTGAGACCGGGACTGAGACCAGGAACAGGACCAGGACTGAGACCAGGACTGAGACCAGGACTGAGACCAGGACTGAGACCAGGACTGAGAACGGAACCAGACCGGGACTGAGACCATGACTGAGGCCTGAACCAAATCAGGAACAGGACCATAACTGAGACCGGACTGAGACCAGAACTGAGACCGGACTGAGACCAGGAACAGGACCAGGACTGAGACCAGACTGAGACCAGGACCATATCAGGACCAGAGCAGGACTGAGACCAGACTGAGACCAGACTGAGACCAGGACCATATCAGGACCAGAGCAGGACTGAGACCAGGACTGAGACCAGGACTGAGACCAGGACTGAGACCAGGACTGAGACCAGGACTGAGACTGGGACCAGACCAGGACTGCAAACGGTTTAGTCCTGGTTTAGTCTTGTTTTAGTCCTGATCCAGTCCGGCATCGCAGTTTAAGTCACAGAAACGGGAAACAGCCATTATCCGTTTTTTTCCATTTTTCATTTAAACACAAAATCAAAAACTGAAAAATCGAATCATCGTATCTGTTTTTTCATTCTGGTTTTGGAGACAAACAATGAAGAAAATAGTTGCTTTTTCGTTTATTCGTTGTCATTTTTGGTTTTATATTGAAAAACGAATGATACACAGATTGAGTTAGATTTAATTTCCCATCGAATTCAAATTCTCTGGACTAGTTTGGGTCGGGGCAGGAGAGGGGATTTGTCTGGGTCAGGGCAAGAGCGGGTGTGTGGTCTGGTCCCGGGGTGGCGGGGCAGGGTGTCTGGTCCGGTGGTCCGGTCCGTGGGCAGAAGACGGGGTCTGGTCTGGACTGTCCCGGAGCGGCAGAGGGAGGGGGGGGTGAGAGCGACGGGTCTGGACCTGCACACGGACAAAGGGCTGACCCCGGCTCACCCTCTGCTCTCACACAATTAGCAGCAGTGACACCCAAGGCTGGCACAAGCGCCGCACGGCCCCTTCACTGCCCCTGGAACCGGGCAAGACCGTGGCCTTAGTTTAGTCTGGAGTTTGGAGTACAGATGTAACAAATAAGAAAGACAAAGACAGAACTAAGACAGAATTAATTGTCTTATATTGTAGATGTCAATTGCTGTTATTTGTCATTTTTAATCAGATTTTTAAAAATGATTAATACTGGTCTAAATTTATCACTTTGTTTCTCTTCCAAGTTGGAGGAATGTAGGCACTGCATTCAGTCCTCTGTCCTCCCCTCCCTCCTCTATTCACATTATTCTGGAAGCCGATCTTTACTGTAAATAAGTTCAATACGAATCCGTGTATCATTTGTTTTTCAAAATAAAACCAAAAATAAGAAAATGAAAAAAAAAACAACAACAATTTTCTTCATTATTTGTCTCCAAAACCAAAATGAAAAAAAAAAAACAAAAAAACGGATAAGGGCCGTTTCCTGTTTCTGTGACTTAAACTGCGATGCTGGACTGAACCAGGACTGAACCAAATCTGGGACCTCACCAGAACCAGACCAGGATTGAGACCAGGACTTAGACTGGAACCAGACTAGGACTGAGTCCAGGACCAGACCGGGACCAGGACCAGGACTGAGACTGGGACTGAGACTGAGACTCAAACCAGGACCAGACCAGGACTGAGACCGTGACTGAGACCGGGACCAGACCGGGACTAAGACCGAGACTCAAACTGGGACTCAGACTGGGATTCAGATTGGAACTCAGATCAGGACCAGACCAAGACCAGACCAGGACTGAAAACGGTTTATTCCTGGTTCAGTCCAGCATCGCAGTTTAAGTCACAACGGGAAACGGCCGTTATCAATTTTTTCCATTTTTCATTTAAACACAAAATCGAAAACTGAAAAAACTAATCGTTATCTTTTGTTTTTTTCATTTTGTTTTTTGGAGACAAATAATGAAGAAAATAGTTGTTTTTTTCATGTTCTTATTTTTGGTTTTATTTTGAAAAACAAATGATTAATACGGACGATAAAAACTTTTTAAAGTTCATCAGGGAATCGGTGCAGTGTGACTTGTTGGTGCACATGAAAACTTAACATTTTCCACAACTGAACCGACTTCATGTCATATTTAACAAAAACGTTTCCCAAATTCTCCACTGACAAGAATAGGATCCCTGTTTAACCGGAAGCATCACCACAAAAAAGTCTAGTTTAGGAGCGTTTAGAGACAAAAGTGGGCAGGCTGAAATAAGATGAATAATACTGTAAACGAAAGATGCACCAATCCATCTTTTTCAGTATATTTCAGAATGTTCTAGCTGCAGACAGGTGGGTAAGACTTCACAGCTCATCATCGAGCTTTAGTACTTCCAATATGCATGTTGGAAGTAACAATTTACACTTTAATTTCATGGCTCTAAAGAGAAATAATAGTGACAAACATACAAATACATGAGTGTTGACTTGATTGTCAATACCAGTTCTGATATCACCATGATCATGAAAAACACTCACAGCAAATTCATAAGTGTTAAATTCACAGTGTTGGTGTTGTGAGTAAAGTGAAGAAAATCCAGATAGTCAAGAGGTACTTCAACTCTGACAGTGTTGTAGAGTAAAATAAGTAGTTGTTGATCCACAGTGTTGGTGTCAAACACTTATAACGTGTGTTTTGAATGTTACACTACATCAGTGTTGGGTTTTTGCAATGTTTCCAGTGGACGAGCTACAGCCATTTCACCTGCGAGCTGGACGGCGCTGGGAGTGGGGCACATGTAAGAAGACCTGAGTTATAACTTATGAAATGTCTTGGTCCTATGATTGTATGAGGGCATTATTTTTAATGGAAGTTACGCTGAAATGTAATTGTGTGGTAGTTTTCATTATTTTACATTTGTAAAAGTGATTATGAACTAGAATGACCACAGTATTGACACTGTTTAGTGAAGAAAGAGTTAATATTGAATAGTGTAACATGAAGAACACATAATGCAAGTGTTAAAACATGTCAGTATACTGTTATTAGTTTTACACTGTAGACTAGTGTAAAAAAATCTAATCTAAATCAGTGTCAGATTCAACTATGAGGAGTGTACTTACATCACTTTACCAGTGTTGAACGGTATTCACTTTGGAAAGTAAAGTTTTAACAGATTCTAGTGTGGACCTCATATGACATGGTAAAAGTGTTAAAATTAACAATACATGAGTTGAATTGACGCTCTTGAATTTGCTGTGCATGCTTTAAATGGTCGTACTCTTTTCTATTCTTATGTGGCCTTATATCTGTGTAAACCTTCAGTGGTCCAGTAGGTTCCACACTGGTCCATGGGCGTATTTGTGCTGTTATACTTGTTCTGATACAGCTCAAGATCATTCTTTAGCTACTTAGGAAAGGTTCATTTCTGTCCTGTGATGTGATGAGTATTGATACCTGCTCAAATGAGTATCGACTTTCTTTTGACAGCCCTAATAAACACACGACTTTTCTAATTTCAAATAAACGTGTCCTCCCTGATGCATAAGCCTAATGAGACACCAGATTCTATAGAAACTCCGCAGAGCTGTGGGGGTGAGGAGAGCAGAGGTAACAGTCTGTCAGGTCGGTCCGCAGTGGGGCCGCTGGCCTTTACGGACTCACACTGCTCTGCTAATGAGGCTCAGCAGGGGGCAGTCTCGCTCCCATCACACTACGGCCCCTGTGCACCGCCCCCTACTGGTGTGAGCTCAGGTTCAGACCGACATCAATCCACAGACTGGAAGAGTGATTACATGACAGTTTTTTCAATCTCTTTGGCATATTTTCTTAAAGTTTTTATACACTGTGTGATTCAAATATAAATACAGTCATCAGATGTGTAAATGTGTGTAACCTCTAAGAGCAATTTCACACTTTTACACGTATTTGCTCCTAGAGTAGCAAGTTTAGAATTTGTTCCGAAATGAGACTTGAGTGTGTAAAAAGAGATGAGCCTGAGAGCAGAGGTGTACCTGATCCTGACTGGTGTCCGCTCCACACACCGACGAGATGTTTGGGAACACCTCAGACCATCCCTCTGACGTGCACCTCCTGCTGATGTTCCCTGGAGACAAAAAAACCAAAAGTGAAAGCGTCAAATACACAAAAACCCGACATAATAGGGCTGGGGAATCATTAAGAAGATTCCGATACGATACATACCTCGATACATAAGCCATGGTACGAAACACATCTAGATACAAAAATAAAGGCTTTTGTACGCATTGATCTTCCATTTACTTAAGCGTTAGGATAAATAACTAGACTTAGCTATTTTGTGTAATCACTTCTATAGTTCATTATTGTATCGAGGTCATTTGAAGATCAGGACTCTCACAGACTCACAGATACATGTCAAAACAAATGCATGATATTCTGATCTATGTAATAGCAAACTAACTAAACAGGACAAGAACTTCTGACAGGGGCGATGTCATGACTTGGTAGCCAGATAACACCCCGGATGGAGTCTGATTGGATGTGCCAACGTGCCAAGAGGTGTAGCTGGTCTGTGCACCAACGAAGAGGCACTAAGTCTAAACCTCCCACTACAGTTTGCATATAAAAGTCATTGTATAGGCGTAAAACATTGAGTCTCTGCATGGGAAAGTCAGCACAGTCTCCTTGTACAAGTATGACTTTCTAATATTGGAATAAGTAAATTATCTGGACCTTATTTCCATTTTAAAAGGTAATTTTTTATCTTAGCAGAAACTAACGAACACATGAGGAAAAGGTTGTTTTCCTCAACAGGAGATAAATGTGCATAAAGTGTATTTGTTTAGTGCATGTGACTCACTGGAATAAACTGTTGCACTGATCAGTGCTGATTCAACCGCAACTTAGATGAGCTCAGTATCGTCGGCTGCTGTATTGATATATGATCAAGAGTATTTTTTAATATATATTTACCAAATTATTTTGTGGCAGTTCTACAGTTTTGTTGCTTCATCAGAGGAAAGAAACTCCTTTATGCAACACATTGGACATATTCACTGTTTTGATGGTTACAATGGGTGAGTATCATATTCACTTTGCCCAGTAAGTGCTTTAACACTAGCCTGATTCATCAGCCGGTTTCACTTCATGGAAACCGTCTGACCTCGCAGCATTAAGATTCGTTCACTCAAAGGTAGGTGGGTTCTTTTTTTATTTAATCGCTATTTGGTTGTGATGTATGTAATGCGCCGCTAACGGGACTAACTGGTATATTAAGCTTTTCCCAAATCCCGTAGGCAGAAGGACAATAACGTCTTTTCCCTTGATGAAATTCACCAAACATTCTCTTTGTTCCGGCTTTAAATCCTCGATCTCGGGAATCGTTGCCAACACAGAATATATGACTCTTTGCTGATTGGCTGGTGCCCGAACTCACACTTTTTTTTTGCGAACTGTCTAGTGTATTCTGATTCCTGATCTAGTCGCTGGAGAGAAATGAAATCGAGCGGAGGCACTAGGTGGCGCCAGCCTGGGTACTTTAACACAGCATCACAGCCATGATTTAGTATTGATGTTATGAGCCTTTTGAGTAGATAAACTGCATAAGTCCCTTAGCCCCTTTGTTGATATAGATACTATATTATCAAATTCAGTACATATATTAATAAGATATATCACCCCTGCTACATAAGGCTGAATTAGAACACAACAAAAGTAATCGCCTTTCTCATAAAAACAATCATATTTAGACAACCAACAAAAACACACCATATTAGAAATGGGATTAAACTGAGTCTAAACCTGGAACTAAATTTAGACTGGAGCAGGCCTGAACTTGGACCAGACTAACTGGGCTAACACCGGGATCAAATCAGGACAAAGTGTGAGTGCACCACTTCGAACATCGAGTGGATTTAATGCCATGAATCCAAATGTTTGGACGAGAGACATGAGGACACTTAGCGGCAGATTTGTCTGACTCATGAAGCACAGCCAGACCACACACTTGACATTTTCTCTAATGGTCTGCAGCACAATGCAGACTCCAGAACGGATCACGTGCCAGAAAGACAGACTTTCACATTGGCTCATGCGTGATAAGAAGGAATAAAAGAACGGAGGGATGAAGACGTGTACAGGTGTCTCCCTCTGCAGCGACAGGTGGACATAAAAGTCTCTTGTAGAATCACAGACAAAAGCAGCAGAAATGCACCAATCCAGCTTTTTCAGTTCCGATACCGATATTGATACTCTGACTTTTTTTTTGTGTGCCACTATCCAATATTTACGGAAGCCCTGAGAGGCAAGAATAAAAAAAAAAAAAAAGAGGCAGGTAATTTTGGCTCTATTTATTTATTTATTTTTTTTGCACCAACTCTTTTTTTTTTGTAAAAGGTTAAGACATGAGAGGCCGGGGTTCGAAACTCACCTGCTTCCGGTTACAGGTGTATTCAGTTCCGCTCACCTGCCCGCGCCTTTGCCTTGCGCAGGACCTGAGTGTCTGGGCCCAGAAAGAAATAAGCTTCCCTGGGCACTTTGAGCGCCACTCCACGAGGAAAACACGAGCAAAGACAAAAAACAAGTCATCTACCTTAAAACTCAAACTCCGACTCCTTTAAGCGATAGTGCAGCCCTTTGCCACGTAAACTAAACAGGAGCACATCAACAAAGTACAACAGCACAACTATAGTACAATAGACGCATCAAGAATCTCAGACTTTTGGTCATTGCGCAATCCATACTGGGAAGGATTCTCCGAAAAAGTGAGAATCAAACCTCCATGTTTGTTTTCCCAGTGAGACGCATCTATTGTCAAAGTCGATCTTTTCTAGTCTTTAGAACTATATCATTTTTGTTTCTGGTTCTGATATTGTCATATTTTAGTTTTGGGATTCGGACATCGTAATTGTGTGGTTGTTGGATTGTAACAGCAGAAAACAGCTTGAGAAATTTGTTTGCGAACTCCATAAATGCAAAAAGGAATCAGATGTGTGTGACTGCAAACCTCCGTTCAAACTGTTTCCCTTCCCCAACGGAATTGAAAAATAGTGAAAGGCAAAGGGCAGGATTGATCCACAGGAAGGACGAAAAAGGAAAACTTTGACTGCCTAAATCATCCCGAGTTTGCAGAGAACATTTTGTATGTGAAGCGCCAACAAAACAAAATCCCGTTTGTTAATCGAGAGGAGCAGAAGACAAACAGACTGAGCTCACACTTTCTTGTTCTTGTGGTTTTACAGCAACATCACGTCTTGGTCTCTTTGCAGTGGAAGGTGTTTCTTGGTGAACAGCTGGTGCCTTTCGCTTTGGCGTTGACTTTTTAAAATAGTAACCAAGGTTGAGCGAGGGATCGGGATCCTGCTTTGATGGCGCTCCACATACAAAATGTTCGCTGCAAACTCGGGATGATTTAGGCAGCCAGAGGTTTCCTTTTTGGTTCTTCCTGTGTATCAATCCTGCCCATCGCCTTCATCTTTCACTATTTTTCAATTCCGTTGGGAAGAGAAACAGTTTGAACAGAGGTTTGCAGTCACACACATCTGATTCACTTTTGCATTTATGAAGTTCGCAAACAAATTTCTCAAGCTGTTTTCCGCTGTTAGGATCCAACAACCACACAATTACGATGTCTGAATCCCAAAACTAAAATATGACAATATCAGAACCAGAAACAAAAGTGATATGGTTCAAAAGACTTGAAAAGATCGACTTTGTCATTAGACGCATCCCACTGGGAAAACAAACATGATGATTTGATGCTCACTTTTTCGGAAAATCCTTCCCAGTATGTATTGCGCGATGACCGGAAGTCCGAGATTCTTGATGCGTCTATAAAATAAGAAAAGTCTTGCGTAGTGTGATCGGTGCATGCATCCATTAGCATCATCTACTCATAGCATAGCAAACTACAAATTGAAGTAAAATCTCATAACTGAAATCAGAAAGAAAAGAATGAAAACTGAACTTTAAAAACAGGTTTAAAATCACTTTTTTCACAGTTTTGTGTAAAGTGCCAGAGGAAGTTCTCTTAAAGAAGAGGTTCTCAAACTGTGGTGAGGGTCCAAAATGTTTCAGTGCAGTTTGCTTGGTTTTTATTAGGTAGATCTTTATGACTTGGTCATTTTGTAAGTAGCCGTATCCTGAAAAAGTGTGACACCCTGCTTTAAAAGAATTGGTAACATGTGCATGGTGACATCATGAAAAGTTTTTAAAACGACGAATGCAAACTCCGAACTGGGCCTTGGACAAGATGACCCAGAAAAGAGCTTTTCAAGCTTAACTGCTATAAAACTAAAAACAGAGAGAGACTGAGAGCTGTTGATGAAGAGCTTCGTGTGTGTCTTTCTTCTATTCTGCCAAATCAGCTTTGTTTTCAAAAACAGACGCAGGTCTCACACTGAGTAAGTAAAATTAATGTAGCTTATAGTGTCATTTTGTAACATTTTGGTTAAAGATTTTTCCAATGTAAAAAACGTTCCGTGGCTCAAAAAAGGTCACTGGTCTATAGAAAAAAGCGTCTTGTGCCTGTAGTGTGATCGGTGATGCATCCAGCTTACTTCTCATCTTACTCATAGAAGAGAACTCAAAAGTAAAATTCGTGAAAAGACTGAATTCAGGTAGAATGAATACACACATAACCAGGAGCATCCTACATCCTAATGCCATGAAAAATGAGTTGGTGCAAAAAAAAAAAAAACACTTAGAAAATAGAGCCCACATGACCTGCTTTTTTTTTTTTTTTTTTGCCTCTCAGGGCTTCTGTAAATATGAATCGATACCAGTGTAGGGACGGAAAATCGCTTATTTTCTTCAAACACAGTAGCACTTATCACACAAAAGATTTAATCGTGTTACGTAACTGTTTTTTATCCTTGAAATAACTACTGAGCAGCTTTGTATGAATAAAGGTTCAAACATTACAAGATGTTCTAGGCCAAAATCAGCCTGTAAATAGTCTTATTAGATCCAATTAAAGGCCCGAGCAGAGAGTTTGGAGGTGCTGTCCCAGAATGCCGCACAATGACCAAAGTCTGTCCAAGTGTGGGCTGGGCTCAGCTCCAGAGGGCAGGCGTCAGTCTGACCTGCCCATGGAACAGTTAGGCCCAGATCTAAACCAGGACAGAACCCCCCCCCCCCCCCCAGAGCCAGAGAAGCCAGAGAGAGAGAGGGGAAGAGACAGAGAGATGTAGACAGAAAAACAGAGAGAGCAAGAGAGAGGGAGGGACACACACACACAGAGAAAGAGAGAGCCAAAGAGAGAGACAACGAAAGAGACAATGAGAGAGAGATAGACAGAGAAAGAGACAGCAAGAGAGAGACAGACAGAGAGAGAGAAAGAGAGACAACAAGAGAGAGAGAAACAGAGAGAGACAGAGAGAGAGACGGAGAGAGTGAGAGAGAAAGAGACAACAAGAGAGAGAGAGAGAGAGACAGAGAGAGAGAAAGAGAGAGACGGAGAGAGTGAGAGAGACAGAGAGAAAGAGACAACAAGAGAGAGAGACAGAGAGAGAAGAGAGAGACGAGAGAGAGTGAGAGAGACAGAGAGAAAGAGACAACAAGAGAGAGAGACAGAGAGAGAGAGAGAAAGAGAGAGACGATGAGAGAGTGAGAGAGACAGAGAGAGACACAGAGAGAGAGAGAGAGAGAGAGAGAGAGAAGACGATGAGAGAGAGAGAGAGAGAGAGACAGAGAGAGACACAGAGAGAGAGAGAGAGAGAGAGAGAAACGATGAGAGAGTGAGAGAAACAGAGAGAGACACAGAGAGAAAGAGAGAAACGATGAGAGAGTGAGAGAAACAGAGAGAGACACACAGAGAGAGAAAGGGAGAGACGGAGAGAGAGAGAGAGACAGACAGAGAAAGAGACAACAACAGATAGAGACAGAGACAGAGAGACAGAGAGAGACACAGAGAGAGAGAGAGAGAGAGAGAGACGGAGAGAGTGAGAGAGACAGAGAGACGGAGAGACAGAGAGAGACACAAGAGAGACAGAGAGACGGAGAGAGTGAGAGAGAAGAGACACAGAGAGAGAGAGACAGAACAGAGAGAGACAACAAGAGAGAGAGAGACAGAGAGTGAGAGAGAGAGAATGACAGCAAAAGAGAGACAAAGAGTGAGAGAGACAGAAAGAGAGAGAAACAGACAGAGAGAGATACTGTACTGATCCTGAGGGAAATTCAAGTTTTGCTGCATGTCTCAGTGTCCTCTGTGTCTCAGTGAAAGGTGCAGTTGAACAGGAGGAGGGTCAGCAGATCTGTGTCCGGGGCGTCAGGTGAACACAACGGGAAACGCCTCATTCTTCCTCTGCTCTGGTTCTTCGGTCGGTGTTTGGTTGATAAAACTAACTACTCCTTTCACAAAACCCAACACAAACTCTTACCTGTGTCCTTTGATCTGCACCCGCTGCACTTCTCGGTTGATTAAAATCCCACGACTTGATGTTTGAAAGTCAGTCCTTGTTAGATATCTGGTCCCTTCATGCGACCACATTCACGTCTCTGAGATTGAATCATTATTTCTTTGAGCTATTCTTAAAAATAATTCACCTTAGTTCACTTGGGCAGACTTCGACTGTCCGTTTTTATTTCATGTGGATAGGTTCAGTAATAAAAGTGATATTAAACATACACAAGGGCTGCGAGATCAATCATCACAATCAAATTAATCACAAACCAACAAATCATTTCCTCCACGAACAACAAAATGTCCTGCCTTGCATAAAAGCACCGCAAAGCCTCTAGTTTATATCTGCAATCATGTTGGTTTTGTCAATTTCTCTGGGTTTCTCTCTCTAGATCAAACACCACAACGTTATCACATGACTTAAAAATCACAGTATGATGTAATTTAACCTAAAAGTCTAAATGTAGAGCTGAGAACTCTTTAGAATGTGATAAGAACATGTGCCGTACCGTCTCTGCTGAAGAATGTCCTGAGCGCCCGAGGACAGGGAATCACCACCGTCTGTCCCACCTCCGCTCTGTCCCAGCAGGCCACGCTGTCCCACACGCCCCGGCACACACCTCCTAACACACACACACACACACACACACGCACACAAAAAACAACAACAATCATTATCATTCCATCTAACTGGATTATCGCTCGTCTAACTAGAAATTATCACTTGTCTGTCTGAACATTATCCCCTCTGGACATCAGCACCTTTCTAACTCGACATTAAAGGACATTATCACCTGTCTGACTGGATTTATTTATTCTTTCATTTATTTAAGAAAATTGGAACCGTGCATATTAATGAACATTTAGACAAATGTAAATGTGCCAGATTATAATTTTGGGTTAATTTCCTTCTGCAGAGCCCCTGACAGTTTGATGTTACAAAAAAAAAAAGATGTTAAATAAGATGGAGACTGACAAACATGTAGAAATCCTATTCCACTGCACTGCTCTGGTTCATAATACACTGAGTTCTACACAAAACACATTTAGACAGTATGGCGTCTATCACCTGTCCAAGTGCACATTATCACCCCTCTAACTGACATTATCACCTGTCTAACTGACATTATCGCCTGTCTAAGTGACATTATCGCCTGTCTAAGTGACATTATCGCCTGTCTAACTGACATTATCGCCAGTCTAACTGACATTATCGCCAGTCTAACTGACATTATCTCCTGTCTAACTGACATTATCACCTGTCAAATCGCTCATTATCACCTTCTAACGTTACCACCTCTCTAACTGACATTATTGCTTGTCTAACTGACATTATCACCTGTCTAACTGCACATTATCACCTGTCTAACTGCACATTCTCATCCATCTAATTGACATTGTCACTTGTCTAATTGACATTATCACCTGTGTAATCGCTCATTAGCACCTTCTAACATTATCACCTCTCTAATTGACATTATCACATGTCTAATTGACATTGTCACATGTCTAATTGACATTATCACTTGTCTAGTTGACATTATCACGTCTCTAACTGACATTATCACCTGTCTGACATTATCACCTGTGTACATGCACATTATCACTTGTCTAAGTGCACATTATCTCCAGTCTAACTGCACATTATCACCTCTCTAATATTATGACCTGTCTACCTGACATTATTACATGTTTGACATTATCACTTGTCTGACTTCACATTATCACCTGTCTAAATGACATAATCATTAAATGACATGATCGCCTGTCTGACTGCACATTATCACCTGATTAAAGTGACCCTGTCTGTCTGAGTAACTTCAGAATTGAACCACTGACCCTTAGACCTTGACATGTCGGGACATAGGAGCTAAAAGGAGAGGATGACAGGTGATGGTGAAGAGGAGGAGGTGGAGGTTGAGGAGGTTGAGGAGGCTGGCGGTTCTGCTGCGATGGAGACGGGCTGGAGCTTTGTGAGTCATAACCAATAGATTTAACGATATGAAATGTTGGAGGACTGACAAAAGTGTTATATTCTCAGTAGGTGAAGGCAAACGTGCAGCTGTGAGGTGTGTGTGGTTAACAGAACAGAGAGGTGACGCGCTGGGGGATGAAGTGGACGTTTCATTTGACCTTAGCTTTAAATTGAGTGCTTGAGTTGAATTCGAGTGCCCCTCACACGCTGCCTCGTTTCCTAAAAAAGACTCACTTTGCATATACGGGGGTTTAACCTACAGGATGCTGCGGAGTTGGAGTATTTGGTTTTAATCATCACTGTTCAGGCCACAATATTGTAAGAACTAAAAAATATATACATTATACGATACAATACGGACAATTTTAAAAGCTCACCTGTCTCTCCTGCCCTGTCCTGCTCCTTCAGTCGGGTCCCGCAGTCTGACCGGTCACGCTCCAGCTCCAGGAGGAAGTGACAGGTGGGGTGTCGGCCTTGCACCTGCCCACAGACAAAGCGTTGTTAATGGAACAAAAGTACAAAAGTTATGCATAGTTAGATCATATTATAAAAAAAAAAAAAAAAAAAAATCAACAAAAAGCCACAACACACCAAAAAAAAAGCCACAACGCAAATGACCGTGGGACTCTATTTTAATGCAAACTCCGCAACAAGTACAAACGCCACAACACAAATGCAAAAGCCACAACACATCAAAAAGCCACAACGGAAGTGACTGCGGGACTCTATTTTCCGATGAACCAATCAAGCGGCAAGTGAAGATTATTCGTTTCACGTTGTAGTTCTTCTTCTTCACTTGCCGCTTGATCGGTCCATCAAAAAATACAGTCCCGCGGTCACTTCCAT